ACTGAAACAACAGTTAAGAGTTCTAAATGGATCATTAGAGAGATTTCGGAGCCATTTTGACAAGCTATGCCACCGACGTTGCTGTCGAGGCACGGGATTGCAATGATCCATTTAGAGCTCTTAACTGTTGTTTCAGTGCCGCATCATGGGGTCTTGCGATGTCTTACATTTACAGTTAATTCTGAGTATTAATGCGCCTGAAATACGCTAACATGCCATGCCTTCGCCGGGGTTCGAAGTGGGGGTACTCGACCTATTCATATCAACTCATTCAACAAAGTGCCTGAGTGAATAGCGATTCATTCAGAATGAGTCTACTGATGAGTACGAAACGCTACTCAACCGGTATTCATGCACTGTCGCTGTTCGGGTTGCTCTTGTGTCTATGTGTCTGATTCACTTTTGCAAAGTAGGCGTTTGGTGCCAAGGTTGTCGTCAGCTCCTATAAGGTAGCTATCGTGGACGATATGTCTCGATATTTCTGACCATATGTAGCGTATACAACATGTGGTAATATGAACGGCTCCTATGGTGTAATGGTTAGCACTCTGGACTTTGAATCCAGCGATCCGGGTTCAAATCCCGGTAGGAGCTCCTTTTTGCAAATTATTTTCATCTTGGCACATCAAGTTGTTTTATATTTCCAAAATGCCGTGCTCTATCTAGTCCCACGGCCGCCGGTACAAGGTCGCATTTTTCCGCCTCTGGGTGATCCTGTCCGGGGTCATGATGCACCTCGTGTGGTGTCACCGCAATGACTCTACAGGCACCGAACGAACTCGGTTTCTCCCAAACGTGACCTCGTCGAGATCTCGTTCTTCACCCTGTGGATGACGACCGTCGTGCGCCTCCAAGACGCCGACGACCCCGACGCGACGGCTACCAAGGCTGCTATCGTGATGCTCTTCCGACGTGCCCCGTATACCGCTGTCCAGGCCAAACATCCACGCTGTCTCGATCTCGAAACCTCGTTCGATGTGCACTAGGTCTTGCCTTGTATATGATACACTAGCTAAAGGATTGAACTTTGGCAATAGCAGTAGTAGTAGCTTTAATCATTTAATGCAGAATCCTTGTGCAGAATCTTTTTTAACAACTCCACCAATTGAGCCAAAGGAGCTTACAAATACTCCAAGCACACGTGCTCAACAATCACCATTTTAGCGATTTTATTCGGATCAATTTCGATTTGTCGCCGATACATGTACTTCTCACAATTGTACACTACACACGACTCCATTATGCGCGTCTCCTAGAATATTGTCAGCGATTTTACATGCCTTTTTCGCCTCCTTCAAGAGACCTGTCTGACCGGTGGAACGACCTGATTAGGGTCGTCAGTAATGTTTCCGATTGAGAGCTTTCTAATCATTAGACAAAAATCCGGTGAATTGGTCTGACGCGCCCTACGCACGCTGACGGGCATCATTGACACCCTTTTTTCCATGTGGCAAGATCCATGCTATTAAAAACATGTTGCTGAGTGTGTGAGAAACGAAAAAGGAGCTCCTACCGGGATTTGAACCCGGATCGCTGGATTCAAAGTCCAGAGTGCTAACCATTACACCATAGGAGCGCTTCCTGCCTGCCGAAGCGATAATATAATACCACTAGCATCGCCGTGACAGAGCCCGCACATCACTCTTGTACCTTGTGCACATATACAAACATACGCGTGCTAGCCCTCGACACGAGAAAAATCATTTCTCGCTCTTACCCAGACACTCTTCTTTCTTGCGCTCAACTGTCTATGACACCAGTCATCTCAGTGCTACAGTGCTACACTACTTACCACACCGTCGTACACGATGTGCATATCTGATGTTTCTGGACGACTTGCATATCGAGCTTCCAACGCAATTGTCACCGTCAAGCTGCAAAGCCGTTAGAGACAAACCAGTCAAGTCGCCACAACACGTATATATGAGCATACGTGCAAAGCGGCAATCCGTGGAGCCTTGTGTTGACGCTCCACTCTTGCTCATCATTATCAAGAGCCAGCTTTGAGCGTCTCTCGAAGACAAGGGCTCCATTCGCTCCATTCTCAATGGCTCTCCCGACTGTCTCCCGATCGTTGGGACCCTTTTTACGTTTTGCAATCCTTTGCCACCCATTTATCTTACTATTCATTTCTCTCTTATTTCTATTCTTTTCTATCTGATTTCTATCCATTTCTATCTTATTTCTATATGTTTACTGCCACTCGCTATCGCTTTGCATCGATTTGCTCTCATTTTGCTAACGTTATCGGTTAAAATGCACGGCCATGTGATTTGACGTTGATACAGCTTGGTGAATGCCACGTCATCTGATCTCGACAGCGATCTTGTCAGCCTGACGCTCCCAGTTGCTGTGTTGAAGGACGCGCGAGAAACACCGTCTCGGTGCAAGTCGCACAACGTCTTTTCATGCGCGAGCATCGGGGTTCTAGTACGAGGTGTCGATCCCAACAATATTACAAGAGTCCCGGACCACGCTGTTTTCTGTCCGCTCGAGGCTTGCGCAATGTGTCTGCCGTAGAACGCAGCATTGACGACCAGCGCGCGTCAACTCCATTCCACGATGCTTCCTCGGCAAAGGCGAGGTGTACATCCTACAAACATCTGCAGCGACTGGGTGTTTGCTCTAAAATCATCCGTAAAAATGTACCATCATCCCGCAGCGCACCTCGTGGGGAATGACAAAGTGCAAGACTGTGGCGGAGAAAAAGGAGCTCCTACCGGGATTTGAACCCGGATCGCTGGATTCAAAGTCCAGAGTGCTAACCATTACACCATAGGAGCTGACCTACAATCCCTGAAGATTATCTAGCTACCATATGGTCCTACAGCAGATGTTGAGCACCTGGTACACATCACACAAAGCAACGCTGTACGTCTTGTCTGTCCGCCTCATTCCAAGTTCTTTGGTATACCAAAACACACTGTTTGGTAATGAGCGGTAGCATCTGGCAACGATCGCCGGTTTCAACTCCTGCCACGGAGTCACGCCACGTTCCAAAGGTCTTCAACGCTGCAGTGGATCTCAAGGCGCAGCTGTCAAGTCAAACACGGTGTCGCCGCCGTGTAAATCGATTCAACAGCATTCACGTTAGCATACCGCAAAGGACTGTGCTCATCACCTGCCGCTTTATCCTTTTCGTCACTTGCTAATGTCACCGACGATGAAGCTGCAAGTTCCTCGCCAAAACGAACGCGTCGTATCCGTCGCATGTAATCGATAGCTCATCGCTTACTGCGCATTCGCATCGAACGTCCCACAACGCAGCATCATTATTCTGCTACTACTTTAACAGTACATGAGTCGTGCACAATTGAAATATTTTCTCGCATTTTTCTATTGGCCACAAGGATCACATTTATAGCCAATCCCGTGCGATCCAGACCACGCCACTCCACCGCGCGCGCGATGCTGGGCCGCTCGGTCGTCCATGTGGCGAAAGAAATAAATTCGCCCATACTTGGCACAGCGATAGAAGACGTCGTTGCGAGCACAAAATGCAACGTCCCGTCGCCATTGGAGGCGTATCGCGAGAGTTATCAGCGACGCCGTTATTGCGGCATGTGCCACATTTAGCAGCCAGTTTGCGGCACCGTACTGCAGCGACGAAGACGACGCGGCTCAACGCATGCATGTGTCCTACTGCACGCTCGCACGACCATGATCTCATGCTTCATGGAGGCGTCGGCGCTTGGCCGGCGCTTGGTCGACGATAACCCTGATGACGGTCTGTACCTGCCACGGTTCGTAACCGAGTTGGCACAATCCTCTGCTTGCGCTTCACGAAAAACCACACACAGCGAGGATAGTTTGAATCTGCAGGCGCCATTTGCGCTAGAGACGTGCGTCGACATCAAAAGGGATACAAAAAGCGAGTGTATTTGCGTGCGTCTAGCCCGGCGGCAGCTTGGAAATGTCCATGTCGTCGTCGTCGACGGTACTCACGCCGTCGTTGGCGCCTTGGAACGCAATCTCGACCGTCTTGTCCGTCACCGACATGACGCGATCCATTGCAATGACCAAGATCGCTGGATCTCGACGATACCCATGGGCTTGAGGAGCTCGAGGAAGGCCTCGATGCGGGGCGGCGTGCCTGCCAGCTGCACCATGACCTGGGCCGACGTCACATCAATCACCTTGGCGTCAAAGAGGCCCGCGAGCTCCGCGACCTCCGAGCGCGACCCGGGAAGGTGCGTCGAGACCTTGGCGAGCATGAGGTCGCGCTCGATGACGTTCTCGCCCGCGGCTTCTTGGCCCGTGAGGATCTTGACGGCAGCAACCTGGACGACGTCCTCGAGCTGCTTCTTCATGTTCCAGACGTTCTGGTCCGTGCCATGCACGACGACGCTCATGCGCGAGAGCTCGGGCACGTCCGTGCGCCCGACGACGAGGCTGTCGATGTTGTAGCCGCGGGCCGCGAAGAGGTTGGCGATCTCGGCGAGGCAGCCCGTCTGGTTCACGACGAGGGCCGCGATGACGTGGCGCCGGCTCCGGCTCGAACTCGTGAGCTCCGAGAAGCGTCGCAATGCACACCGCGCAAGCATCTTTTTTGGAAATGCCATGATGGCGTCCGCCGACGGATAACGTCCGGATACGGCGGCCGACTTCAACGCGATTGCGCAATCGGCTGGCGGCCGCGGGAAGATTTGTGTGACCCGCGGCGGCGATTGCGCAAATCGGTTGCGGGCTTTGTGGCCACCGAGTCGCCTCGGCTGGCTCGACACCCTTCCAGCTGCCGGCGTCAGATGCATGCAACGTTGGTGGCGTTCCAGCCTCGATTAAGAATGACTGAAAACGTACAATTGGACGACGAGGGTGTTCTGGCCACCGCCGCCCGACGCACCCGACAAAAGAGCTTTTGCGCCGTCGTACACTATGCTGGCTCTAGTCGCTGCATGGATAGTGGCTGGCTGCTCCACCTAAGACAACGCCCCATGAGTTCTCAGCTGCTACCATGGCTCAGTCGCATCATGTCGTCCATGCGCGGTGCCCGACTCGGACCAGCGTGCTACCTCAACTTCAACTTATCAAGCAAGTGTACTATTTTTTTCAATGCGTATTTAGTATGGAAAAGGAAGGACTTGGAGTTTGTGTTTATGACCAGATGGACGCGACCGCCGAGGCCAGCACGAGCGACGACGCCGCCGCCGTCAGCGTGGCCGAGTTGGACTTGGTCGCCGCCGGCGCTGGCGTCACCGCTGCACTGGCCGTCGTAGCGGCGACGATCGTCACCTTGGGCGCCGGGTGCGCGGGGTCGGAGAGGTTGCCGTTGGCGTCGGGCACGGACGTCCATGCGAGCGAGCCATTGCTGGTCATCTGCGTCGTGGGAAAGTAAAAGAAGGTGCCGACCGAGGCGTTGGGGAGCTTCATCTGGAGACCAAAGTCGGCGTAGAGCGCGTCCGGGAGCTCGCCGCCGTACCACGTGACCGTGCTGAGCGTCTTGTTGGTGGCGTCGGAGTAGCCGAGTTCGACCTTCCAGCCGCCGACGAGCTGCGGCTTGACCGACGTGACCTTGTCTGGGATCTGGACCGAGACGTTGGTCGTGATCGCGCCCGGGTACGAGTGCGGGACGCGGATCGTCGTCGCAAAGTAGCCGTTCGCGGGTGCCGTCGGCGGGTTGCACGAGACGTGGGCCGACGCCAGCGAGGCGAGCGAGAGCGCGAGGAAGGACGTGGTCGAGACCATATTTGTTGTTGTTGGCGATGGGAAATGAAAAAGTGAGCTTTCGGCAGCGAGCGATGGGCGACCGTCGCGCAGCTTCAACGAGTCGCCATTGCGCCGCAATTGTTGACGTAACATCTGGTGTAGATAGAAATTCGAGGTGATCGATATGTGCACAGGGTCAATGAGGCCAGACTCGTGATGCTGCAGCCGCAGATGCCTCGTCGATCTACGGAGAATAACAGAGGGTGTGTTCAGTAGCAGCAGCAGCTGCAGCCGTGGGATTCAGAGGACGACAGGCGCAGCGGGCATCGAGTATCGAGCCACGCACCTGGTTTTTCGTATTTCTCCGACAAGAAGCGACCCTTCCGCCGCTAGTTCGAGCGTCACCCAGTACAACAGCGCATACACCGAGTGAACGTTGAGGTGGTATCCATGTTAGATTCCTTTACCCATAAAGTTCGATGCAGGTCACCTTCCCCAGAGGCCGCCACCATCAAGTCAACAATTGCTGTTGAATGGTCGGTCGAAAGATTCCTTGATGCAGTGGTCAGTCGAGGATGCTCAACGCTTTCGGTGGCTGGGAGCGCTCGCGCGTATTCCCAGCAGTTCGCACCTGCAGCAAGCTACAGTACACTATACTGGCGCATGGACGAAATTGCTGCATGGTATGCGCCGTCGGAACCTCTATGATGCGCATTTGTGCGGCAACCTCGTAATATACTCTGTTTCACATTCTGGATGCCACATAGGCTATGGAAACGTTGTTTTCAATTTAAATACTGTATGCTCATCTTACGCGATCGAGATGCCTGCGAGCTTGGCGGCGACGAGCGAGATCTGCTTGACGAGGAGGGGCGCCATCGGTAGCTTGCGGGCTCGTAGCACCGGTACGCAGAGCAGTTTGAGCACGATGGGAAGCTTGAGCGCCACGTCGCCTGTATTGGGCGCCCAGTCTCTTGGGAGCGTCGAGTGCACTTGGAGAAAGTTGTGGGCCACGACATCGCTCGGCGCCGTCCCGTGTGTGAAGACGCTGCTTTTCACGCGCTGGTAAAAGGGGCCGAGGTCCTTGGCGTCCGCCAGCCGCGCGCACGCTTCCAAGAACTCGGGAAATCCGATCTTCTTCCACTCTTCTCCGTCCCCAGTCGCGTCAAACACCTACAACGATCCAGTGAGCTCAACCTTATCGAAACAGAGTGCTCCGAAGCAGAATATGATGTAAAACAGAATATGAAATCCAAACCACATGCTCACAAACAGAATATGGACTCAAAACAGAAAAAAAAATGCGGAGCAGAATACCAAAACAGAATATGGACTACGCACCTCGGTTTCTTTGGCGCGCATGAGCGCGAGCTTGACGTCGCGCGTCGCGAGGCCTTCGTCAATGATCTGCGCTTGCTCACAGAGGCTGACGAACTCGGCGTAGCTGAGTCGCTTTCCGCGGCCGTCGCCGACGTCGATGGACCCGGCAAACAGTGTAAAGAGCTCTTTGAGGACATGCAAGTGGTCCTTTAAGATGGCGTCGAGCGCTGGCGTGTGGAGCGCCGCTCCGCGATAGGTCTGGCTGTCGTGCCACGTCGCGCGCGTCACGTGCTGCTCGATCAAGAGCTGCACGGCGGCGGCCACAGTTGGTGCGCGCTTCGATTTGAGAAATTTCGACGACGCGAGCGCGACGAGCGCCTCGAGAAACTGAAAACGAATCAAGCTCCGGCGCGTGTTCCATTTGAGTTTCGGGCCGGACGAGCTCGCGGCGATGAAGCACATTTCGGCTTCGGCGCGCGTGCACGTGTTGGCGTCGACAATGTCGGCGTCGGCTAAAAAGTCGGCGAACGCGTTCGAGGCGAGCGTGAACGGGTCCGCGCCGCTATCGGTTTCTTTGTATCAATGTATCGATAAATCAAGTACCCGCTCGTCGCGTAGTGCCGAAACACGTCTTTGAGCAAGGCAAAGTGGCTGCTCAGGACCGCCTTGAGCGCGTCGACGTGCCCTGCTTCTTTGGCCATTCGGGACAGCTAGTACGGTGATTGGTGCAGAGCAGTGGCGGATGCGTGACGCGTACCCGTGACGTCGACCAGTCGACTTCGAACGCCTCCGCGAGCACGGACGCCGTGTCTTGGTGGTAACTCGCAAAGACAGACTTGGGAAACCAGTCGTCGACGCGCCCGGGCGCCGGTGTCGCGAGGCGCGGGAGCGCCTTGGACGCCGACGCGTCATCGCCAACGACGCAGAGCGTGTTGACGAGCGACTGGTGCGGGAGCTCGAGGTCGCGCGGGCGGTTCTTGACGCCACCCCAGAGCCGGCTCTGGAACGGCGCCGTGACGTGCGCGTCGGTCGTGACGACGGCATCGTCGACGACAAAGAAGAATTGGGAGGTCCCCGGCGGCACCATGCGGTACACTTCCCACACGTTGGGCTCCGTCGCGCTCGGGCAGAGGTGGTGCGGCTTCCAATAGTCAAACTCGGCGCGGACGACGACGCTCTTGGGTCGTTGGCCACTTTGGCGCCACAGCAGCCTACACAGCTCTTGTAGACAGTAGTGCAGCAGATACGATGACGCACCGCGTCTCGACCCAGTGCTCGCAGAGCCAGCAGTTGGACCGCTTTTCCCAAACGAACGGGCGGTCGACGTGGCTGCCGGCATCGCCGATGCGCGTGAAAATATGGGCGAGCGCCGGGTCGTTGGGCGTCGCGTTTGGGAGCACAAAACCGTATGCGTCGACCTCGACGTCGTTGCCGGCAAGGTGCAGGCCCCGCAGCGTCTGGTTGGACGCGAGCGCGGCGCCGAGGCTGTCGCAGTCGCCGGCGCGGAGGCGGTTGTGGCTCACATCCAGATGCGTGAGCACCTTGTTCATTTGGAGAGCATCGCAGAGCGCGACGAGCGCCTCCGACGACGCGAGCGATCCGAATGAGTTCCACGACAGATCGAGCGTCCGCAAGGTCGAGCTACGCGATGGTCGATCGGTCCATGCGAACACGAACATGCGAAGAGCGCACCAGTGCTGGAGGCCGCGCGCGAGGTGCGCCGCCCCCGCGCCTCGAATCTTGTTCCACGAGAGGTGCAGGGAGGTGAGCGCGAGCACGTACTTGAGCGCGCTTCCGAGCGCCATTGCGCCTTCGTGGCCAATGTTGCACCGGCTACTGTAGCATGAGTCGCTGCAACCACACGGAACGCTGCTACGTGAGGTTGAGCGTCTGCAGCTGCGGCGAGTCGGCCAACGCATTCGCCAAGAGCACGATCGGCTTGTCGCCGAGGAGGTTGTTTTCAAGGTTGAGCTCCAGCAGCGGCGAGTGCGACGCCGAGAGCAGCGGGAGCAGGTGCACGACGCCGCCGAGGCCGAGGTTGTTCCAGGACAAGTCGAGCGCCTGCACCGAGCTTCCGAGGAGCGCCGGCGTGAGCTCGCCCATGCTGGCGGTCGTGAGGCGATTGCCCTGCGGTGGATGAGGATGAGAAGGAGTCGATGCGAGCGTACGTGGAGGTTGAGATGCGTGAGCGTCTCGATACCGGCCAAGCTCTCGGCGAGCGCACCCACGAGCTGGTCGCCCATGCTGTACGAGCTAATGCAAGATGCGTTGTCGACAGCGTAGTCATAAAGGCGTCTACCCGAGGTGCAGGCGACCGCTGCGGCACTTGGCCCGTGCTTTCACCACGATCGGCTCGGGCACCAGGTGCAGCTTGTGGCACTTGTCAGCGAACAGACTCGCCGGCGTGAGCGCGCTACGCAGCCGCGTGACGCAGCAGTCCCACAGACGTCTCACTGTACCGCGGCGCGTCGGGCTCGTGAGAGAGGCGGCGGCCCAATTGACGTGGCCGTTGACCGCTCTCTTCGCGCGACGACGGCGCACTCTCGTCGTGGACGATCGGGACGACTTGGTTCTTCGCGTAGACGTGGTCGTTGCTCTTGCTGCGCTTCGGAGGAGCTTCGGTCGCGAGGACCACTGGTGTCTGGAGAGGCGCTACGGCGGGTGGTGTCGTCGTCTTGTGGAGCATGAGCTCCATGAAGGTCGCGTTGGAGCGCTGGCCGTGTGGCCGGCGGCGGGCGACATTCGGGACACCGGGCACGGTTGAGAAGAGCTCGGATGCATTGTCGTGGTAGGTGGACTTTTTCTCGCCGTACGAGCGCAGGCCGAGCTTGACGGCCATCGCCGCCGCCTCGTCGCCCATGCTTGTACCGTATTTTGCCACGTATAAATAGCCAAGCTCGACCGTGCAGTCTGTCAACCACGCTATCAAGGGCGGTACTCGAGCTACCCTTGACAGTCGGTCGCCTCGGTTCTCGGTTCTCCGTACCCGCAGCGATGGACCGCCGAGTCCGACCACCGCGCGGCTTATGCCAATACCTCAAAGATCCCAAGACGCAGTTATAACAGCAAGTACGACAAGACAGACGTTCTCGCAGTATCACACGCAGAGGAGTCGGTAGACGGCGACGGCGTTGAGGCCGACGATGAGCGCGTAGCAGGCAAAGAGGAAGCCCGGCATCTTGGTCAGCGGCGGCGAGGCGTCGAGGACCACGACGGGCGGCGCCAAGTCGTCGAGGCACGTGACGGCATGCGCATACTCGAGCGGCGCGGCCCGCTGCACGAGGGCGGCGAGGAAGGTGTTGACGCGCAGCGCCTGCAGATGGGACGCCTTCATCGGGGCACGGCAGACGGGACAGGCGATCGCGCAAGGCGACGCGCGTAGCCGGCGGACGCAGCGCAGGTCGAACGAGTGGCCGCAGGCGAGCGTCGCGGGCGTCGTGAGCACGTCGAGGCAGATGGCGCAGCGGATGTCGTCGACGTCGACCTCGACTAGCACCATGGTGCGACAAAAGAATGGATGTTGCGATGCAAATGAGAAGATCGAAGAAGAGAACGACGTTACGAGACAGATTAACAGGCCATAGGGGGTGCAAGCTCGAGGATCGGCGCGAGGCTGCACTTGGAGTACCCATGCTTCTTGGCGAGAGGCGGCTCGGCGAGCTGGAGCTGGCGGAGGAGGCACGGGATGCGACCTTCGCGCCGGTCGCGAGGGGTGATGCTGAGGTAGCGGACTTGGCCGCTGGTGAAGAAGCGCTGGAGGAGCCAGTGCGCTTGCGTCGCCACGAGCGTGCAGTTGCGGTAGAGCGGATTGGCGCCGATCTTGAGGAGCGCCTCCATGTACGCGTGGAGGTCGGCCGCGCGCTGCGAGAGCACGTCGTCCGTGTGGAAGAGCTTCTTGGCCGGGAACGGGATCGCGCGCAGCTTGGAGGCGAGGCCCTTGCAGTAGTGGCAGTGGGGCGCGTCAAAGACGTCGTCGAGGTTGTCGCGCAGGTCGGCGACGACCGAGTAGCGGCGCTTGACCTCCCAGAGGCCGCGGCCGCGGCTGTCCTCGACGACGACCGCGTACTCGGTGTAGTCGCCGGCCTGCTGCGGCACGACGCAGTGGATGAGGTACCCCTTCATGCTCGTCGGCTTCTCGGGCGCCGCCTTGGGCTTCGGCTTGGCCGTCCCGCTCGTCTCCGTCACGATCCCGCGGCCCACGACATGGCGTATCATCCAGGCTTTTGCTCAAATGAAGAAACTCAACTCAAAAATGGATGCGAAAACGACGCGCGCTGATTGGCTCGCTTCGCTTCTCAGCGCGCGACTTCAACGTCCGCGGAACGAGGTTTGAAATTTATTACGTCGACCTATTTTCGGCGACGGCGGGTTGCGTCGACGTAAATTGAAAGCGTACGTTGGGATGGAGAGATTCGACGAGCGATTGATTCCTCAAGCCTCCCTTGCTTGCGTTCGCGACGGCAAGGCAACCGCTGGGCTGCAAGCGTTTGTCCCTTTAATGAAAACGTGATAAATCGCACTTGGAAGTCTATCACATGCGCGCAAGCCAGAGCCAGAGTGATGTGGCGCGACTCAGATGCAGAGCGTCAAGAATTCATCCGCGGAGGGCGACTGCAGTGGGACGACGTGGCGCGGGTTCGACGGCGCTGGGTAGGACTGGGTGAGTCCTTGACGTTCGGAAAGGTGGACGAACGACCAGCGCATTTCCATGAATATCTCGGAGCCAAGGCATAATCAAGGGTACATAAATTTTTGTACCCTTGGCACAATGGAGCCAAGGAAGGAATCTTCGGGCGAATCTGCTGCGCCACTACCAACGCTTGCCGGACACTGGACACTGGACACTGGACACTGGACACTGGTTGTGGCCATTTGGGTTGTGGCCGCGTCTTTTTCTTCGGTAGAAGCGACTCGGCTGGTTTTTTAAAAATAATAAAGAATGCCAATTGAGAAACAAAATAAAAAAAAGAGGGCCCCAACCGGTGATCGAAACCGGGACCTCCTGCACCCAAAGCAGGAATCATACCACTAGACCATTAGGGCTCTTCATATTACATACCGTTTGTGTGACGTATCAATTTGTGATAGAATATGATTGAATTTTGAATGAACGGGTGAAACTTGCTGTGCGCGAGATGAGACGACATGCTGCTCGTTTCAAGAGATGCTAGTATGTGTAGAGGTATGTTATCGAGTCGATTCGACGACGGTTTGCGTCGTATGGTGACGAAAACGGTGGTGGCCATTTCGTGGTGGATTTGAGATTGAGTTTGAGCTTTGGTCCAATTCAAAATATTGGGCGCCAATTGTCCAATCCGGTTGGCGCGTCCGGATACGGTGCCACCACTGGGCTGGCAGCATATCCGGAGGCGCAAGGGGCGGAGCATGTTCGTCGAGGAGGTCATCATCGACGGCTTCAAGTCGTACGCGACGCGCACCGTCGTCTCTGGCTTCGACCCGCGCTTCAATGCCATCACGGGCCTGAACGGCTCCGGGAAGAGCAACATCCTAGACGCGATCTGCTTCGTGCTGGGCATCACCAACCTCTCGGCGGTCCGCGCGGCCAACCTCCAAGAGCTTGTGTACAAGCAGGGCCAAGCCGGCGTGACCAAGGCGAGCGTGACCATCGTCTTCAACAACAGCGACGCGGCCAAGAGCCCGGTGGGCTACGAGCAGTACAAGCAGATCTCGGTCGCGCGCCAGGTCGTGCTCGGCGGCAAGAACAAGTACTTGATCAACGGCCACACGGCGCAGGTCAGCCAGGTGCAGAACCTCTTCCACTCGGTGCAGCTCAACGTCAACAACCCGCACTTCCTCATCATGCAAGGCCGCATCACCAAGGTGCTCAACATGAAGCCGCCGGAGATCCTTGGCATGATCGAGGAGGCGGCGGGGACACGCATGTACGAGAACAAGAAGCAGGCCGCGCTCAAGACGATGGCGAAGAAGGAGAAGAAGGTCGACGAGATCAACAAGATCCTGGCCGACGAGATCACGCCGACGCTTGAGAAGCTCCGGAAGGAGAAGCGCAACTACATGCAGTGGGCCGCCAACAACACGGAGGTCGAGCGCCTCACGCGCTACTGCGTCGCGTACGACTACACAAAGGCCTTGGGCATCTCGAGCAAGTCGAGCACCGAGCTCTCGGACCTGCAGGCCTCGCTCGCGGCCGCGCATGCCAGAAAGGCCGAGCACGTCGCTGCGATTGACGCGCTCGCCGACGAGATGGACGAGATCCAGAGCACGCGCGACGCGCAGCTGCAGGGCGACTTTGACGAGCTCAAGAGCAAGGAAGACGCGATCGGGCGCGACGTCGTCAAGCTGCGCACCAAGGCGACCAACCACGCGTCAACCGTCGGCGCCGCCAAAACGCAGCTGGCGACGCTTCACGAACAGGCGGCCGACCTCGACCAAGCGATCGCGTCGCAAGAAGCCTCAATTGCGGCCTTGATGCAGCGCGGCGAGAGCATCGAGGCGACGCACACGGCGCGCGCTCAAGCCGTGACGGACCTGAGCGGCGAGATCCAGGCGCTCAACGCCGGCGTGAGCAGCTCAAGCTCCAAGCAGTCGCTCACGGACCAGCTCGCGACCAAGACGCGCGAGCTCCAGGCCACAAACACGCACATCCAGCAGCTGCAGCTCAAGTTGTCACACCACGTGACGTCGGTGGCCGCCAAGCAGGCGCAGCTCGCCAAGACCAAGAGCCAAAACAAGGCCATCGAAGCCAGCGAAGCGACGCTCTTGGGCGACGTGCAACGCCTCGAGGAGCAGGTCGCGGACCTCGAGCGCCGCTTCAACCCCGGCGCGGAAGCCGAGTTGCGGGCGAAAAGCGACGACCTGCAGCGGCGCGTGGGGCAGCTGCAGCGGGAGTTGGACGACGCCACCGCCAGCGTCGCCGCGCGCCTTCGCCTCGACTTTGACACGCGGGCGGTCAACCCACGCGGCGTGCACGGCATGGTCGCCAAGCTGCTCTCGGTGCGCGACGGCGCCCACGCGACCGCGCTGGAAATGGCGGCGGGTGGAAAGCTGTACCAGATTGTGGTCGACAACGAGCACACGGGCCAGGCTCTCATCGAGCGCGGGAAGCTCAAGGGGCGCGTGACGGCCATTCCGCTCAACCAGATCACGCACCGGACGCTCACGGCGGCGCAAGTGGCGGCCGCGCAGCGCATTGCGCGCGACAAGCGGGGCAAGGCGTGGCCGGCCCTGGATCTGATTGATTACGATGCCGCGGTCGCGCCGGCGATGGCGTACGCCTTTGGCGCGACATTCGTCTGCGACTCGAGCGCGACTGCCGAGGCCGTCACGTTCCACAAGGACGTCCGGGCGCGCACGGTGACCCTCGAAGGCGACTCGTTCGACCCGGCGGGCACGCTCCAGGGCGGGTCGGCGCCGAAGAACCACAGCGCGATTCTGAGCCGCGCGCACGCCGTCGCGGGCCTTGCGAAGAAGCTGGAGCGCGCGCGCGCCGAGCGCAACGCTGTCGCGGACGAGCTCGACGCGATGCGCGACGACGCCATGGCGTACGCCGACCTTCAGCGCAAACTGGACCTCAAAGCGCACGAGCTCTCGCTGCTGCGGCGGCAGATCCAAGAAACCTCGTATGCCCAGATCCAGGCCGAGCTCGCGCGACTCGAAGCCGACCACGCCGCAGCCAACTCGGACCTCGCGACCGCGACGGCGTCCGTGCCGACGCTCGAGGCCGCGATCCGCGCGCTGCAGGAGGACATTGCGTCGATGGCGACGGGCCGCGAAGGTCGGCTCAAGTCGCTGGGCGTGCGCCTCAAGGACGCCAAAGCGGCGCTCGTCTCGGCGGCGTCATCGCTGCAGACGCACACGCAGTCGGTCACAGAGCTCAAGCTCGAGCTCGACACGATGCGGGACGAAAAGACGGCGCTCTTGGAGGCACTCGCGGCGGCCGACACGAGCCTCCAGTCGCTGCAAACCGAGTCGGACAAGGTGCGCAGCGCGCTTCGTGGCATGGAAGCCAGCCTGGCCGAGGTCTCGGCGCAGCTCCAGGCGCAGCGCGCGAGCTTGGCGCAGTGCGACGAGGAGCTCAAGGGTCTCCAAGCCACGCTCGAGGCGCGCCAGAAGAGCGTGCGGGACGCAGACCTCGAAGCGAAGAAGATCGACGGGCGCATCGGCCGCATGCAGAAGACACGTCGGCCGCGACGTCGCTCGTCGAGAACCTCCAGAAGCAGCACCCGTGGATTGCGACCGAGAAGGAGTACTTTGGCCGCGACCAGTCGGACTTTGATTTCAAGCGGCTGGAACTCAACGTGGCCAAGAGCCGGCTCGCGGAGCTCAAGGACGCGCAGGGCTCGCTGGCCAAGAAGATCAACAAGAAGGTCATGGGCATGATCGAGAAGGCCGAGTCCGAGTACCAGAGCTTGATGGAGAAGCGGACGATCATTGAGAAAGACAAGACCAAGATCAACTCTGTCATTACCGAGCTCGACACGAAGAAGAACGAGGCGCTCGAGATCACGTGGCAAAAGGTCAACAAGGACTTTGGCTCGATCTTTGCGACGCTCTTGCCGGGCACGAGCGCCAAGCTCGACCCGCCGGACGACGGCTCGATCCTCGACGGGCTCCAAGTCAAGGTCGCGTTTGGCGGCGTCTGGAAGGAGAGTCTCACGGAGCTCAGCGGCGGCCAGCGCTCGCTGCTCGCGCTCTCGCTCATTTTGTCGCTCTTGCTCTTCAAGCCCGCGCCCATGTACATCCTCGACGAGGTGGACGCGGCGCTGGACCTCTCGCACACGCAGAACATTGGGCAAATGATCCGGTCGCACTTTAGCCACTCGCAGTTCATCGTTGTCTCGCTCAAGGAAGGCATGTTCAACAACGCCAACGTGGTCTTCCAAACCAAGTTTGTCGACGGCGTCTCGACCGTCGCCCGGTCCACGCCCCACGGACGCTAAGAACCGACGTTGATCCACGTTTTTCGGAGCGATATTTTTTTGGTGTTGTTGGGACTGCATCGGCCACGACATGCACGGCTCATCGTATGAAATGTGGGCCCAATAGATCGATACACTGATACATTGATAGTTTGATAGTTGGATGATTGATGTGGCGTGCAACACGAACAGATGCAGAAGCAGCTACGTGGCGGGCTCGGCGTCGCGGACTTCGGTCGTGACACTGTCGACGGCGATGATGGCTTTTTGCCGCCGTGCGAGTTCGAGGACGACGCGGAACGACGGCAGCGGTGCGCCGGTCGTTCGTACTTTGGCCAAGTAGGCGTCGGCGAGCGCGAAGGAGGTGGCGCGCCACCAGAGGCGCTCGATGTGGAAGCGGACGTCGTCGTGGTACTTGCGCCGACAGATGCGCCGGTGCAAGCGGGCCTCCTTGACCTTCTCGAGGAGGACGCCGAAGAGGATGAGCGAGATCGTTGTGCAGTTGGAGACGACGATGATGGCGGCGACTTGGTCGAGGTTGAGACTCCGCGCGTTGCCGACGTTCATGCGCACGAGAAGGCCGGCTACCGAGCCCGACGATCGATTCTTGCATTTTAAACAATTCAAATCGTACCGAAGAGCGTGACGAAGAGCTGCATCTGCGCCATCGCTGCGACCGCGTTGTTGGAGCCTTCCTTGTACGGCTGGACCGCGAGCAAGATGGACATGTAGATGAAGCTAGGCATCCCTTGTCAATGGCAAGAGAAGACCATGTATGTACATGATGATGAGCCCGACAACGACTTGGGCGATCGAGCCCTGCCCGACGAAGACGATGACACCGTTCATAAAGAGCTTCCTGCGACCACCGGCTCAGCGTTTCTTCCTTGCATAAATAAACGTACCGGACGAGGTCGACGATTTCGAAAAACCAGAATTCATCCTTGTCTACAACACGTGGGTCGTTCAGTTTTAATGTCGGACTATCGCAGGAGGTACAGGCGTGGTAGATAAAGCCGACGCCGGCGACGACGCTCGGGTTCTACGAGGCGTGACGCACCGCTGTCATGAGATCGGTGGTACCCGGAGGTTGCGCTTCATCATATAGCGCGAGAGGAGGTCGTCGGCAAAGGCCATGTTGCGCTCGTCCCAGTGCAAACCGTTGGCCTCGTAGTCGATCTTCATGGCGTCGATCCACTTGGCGCGCGCGAGGTCGTGCTTGCCGTCCCGGAGCTGCTTCATCTTGGCGCGAACGCCGTTGTGGCGCTCGCGTAGCAGGATGAGAAAGCACGTGAGCGGCACCCCTAGCCCCGATTATTTATATATACATACAAAATCTATCACTCCAGTACGTACCGAGGATCCAGCCGACGCAGCCGAGGGCGCCGACGGCGGCGCGAAGGTACCACTCGCTGCTGTAGCAGAGGTAGTCCATGTCAGCGACCAGGTGAAACCCGGCGCCGATCTCGAGGCAGTTGAAGAGGTCGAGGATCTTCTTGCTCACGGCCGGGTAAAAGACGAGCGCGAGCCAGAAAAAGATCTTCCAGCACTTGTTGCAGTACGTTTGAAAGTTGAGCCGGAGCCGGAGCCGGGCCTGCCAGAGCCGCAAGTTTGTCCGAATCACTTGTCGTCGGATCGCCTCCGACTCGAGGACGTGGGTCGTCGGGCACTGCGTGTGCGTGGCAGCGTACGTCGGCAGAAGCGGCGCGGCCGCGTGCTTTTCAAACACGAGGCGGTGGAGTCGCTCCAAGCGCGTGAGCGGCTGGGGGGCCACATGCGCGGTCTCGGTGATGATATCGAAGTTTGGGAGACCGCAGCGCGGACAGTGGCGCGGGACGCGGTGCAGCTTGCGTCGGTAGAGAAGTACGCCGATGCGATACGCGCCGTACAAGAGCACAAACAGAATCGCCGTGATCCCGAGCGTGAGCCTATAACATAGTACGGCACCATGAGAACGCAACATGAGAACGGCAGCGGACTCGAAGTCGACGTAAAAGTTGTAGCGCCAGACGCAGTCAATGTGGGGAATCGCGAGAAAGCTGAAGTTGAACTTGAGGAAAAACTGCATGAAGACCGCGACGTCGGACGGCCACTCGATGTCGTACGTGTCCTTGAAGCTCGCAAAGATCTGGAAGAAGCTCACGAGGATCTTGAACTTTTCCGGGTTGACGCTCACGGCCGGCGGGCGCAGGCGCTTGATCTGGAACAGGTTGGCCGGCGTCGCGCGCAGCGTGAGCTTCCTTCCCGGCGACACCCGCTTCCAGAGATCCGAGACCGGGCGCAGCACGAAGCGTTCCAAGTACGTCGGCGCGTCCGAGTCAGCGAGACTGTACGCGAACGGCTTGTCGGCCTTGGCGGCTTTGGCCTGCGCCATGAGAACGCTGTCGGTGCCTGCCCGGAGGTAGAGGAACGCCCCGGAGATGGCGGCCGCGACGAAGAGCACTGGTAGCAGCAAGTAGCCGTAAAAGGCGCTCGACGCTTCCGGAGTGCACACTACGTAGTATGAATGAGACTCCGCGGTGCCACGAAGGCATGGTTGTGCACCGGTGCACGAGCCGTCGGCCAGCTTTTCGAAGCCCGGGTCGCACGACGAGCAGAGCACGTTGCGGAAACCGGCGGCGCATTTGGCGCCCGGGCTGTTAACGAACGCGTGGCCAACGTTGGCCTTGCACGCCGACGCCACCTACGGAAGCGGGTCAGACCCCGGGGCACACGCCGTCGCGCGTACGGAGCACGTGTAAAAGTTGTAGCCCGACGAGCACGTAAAGATGCGCTCCGACGGCCAGTACGACTCGAACGTCGACGCGTTCAAGCAGGAGCGAATGCGTTCGAGGCGCGTCTCCGGTGTACCGCCGGGGCACGGGTCGCCACGTGCAAAGGCCGATTCGTCGTCGCAGAGTGCGCCCATCTTGGACGCCGGTGCGTCGTTGAGAAAGAACCCTTGTTGCGTACTCGGGTAGTCGACACCGGTGTACGCGACGCCGGTGCCGACGACGGTCGATTGGAGACACGTGGCCCCCATCGGACACGGGTGGCAGCTAATGCCGTCCAAACTACAGTGGATACACAGTAAGTCTTCGCTATGAACGACGCGGGACCGTACCTAAAGCTGCCTTGGGGACACGGAATGCATTTTCTAGGACCATGTCAACGCAAGAACAAGCACCGGTGTTGTCGTACCCGGCGTTGAGAGAGTACCCCGGGTTGCACGGGTTGACCTGAATGTAAATGTCGATGGCCAATTGACGGTCGTTGTAGAGCGTGCACGCTGCGTCAAAATGGAACGCCGACGATTTGGCCGTCGCCGCCACCTGCGCCTGCGCAAACGTCACAAAGCCAGCGCTCGCGGCGATCTGACCCGCGGGGGTAAAATCAATCGCATACGTTTCGCGCAGGTCCTTGTACAAGCGGCAGGTGGTCTGCCCATCGAGGACGCTTCGGGCGCCGTAGTAGTCGACGGTTAATATCGTGGGCCACGGCGTCGTCGAGGCGTTGGGATTCCAGAGAGTTTGGTCCACGTTGGACGCATTGGTCGTCATTAGCACGCCGCTGGTGACGTTCGGTGGCCACCACCCAGTCGTGATGTTCATTGGGTCCGTTGCCAGCGACGCAGTTGCCGCAAACGCGCACCCGGCGCAGGCGTACACCGGTGTCGCCTCGTCGTAGCGCCAGAACACATCGCTTCCGAGCGCCGCCGCGTTGCCACTGCACGCCAGTGACGTGTGCGAGACGCCCGACGTCGAGTTCATGTAAAAGCCGCCGCCAGTTGATGACGCGTTGTTGTCGACGATCTGGACGCCGGCCACAGCCACGGTCGCTTGACCGGTGGAGTAGACGCCGCCGCCCATCTTGGCATGGTTGCTACGAAGAAGCCCGTCGGTGGCGGCGAGCTACATACACACGTTGTCTTCGATTTCAAACGGTAGGAGGTACTACCGAGGCCGCATCGCCGAGGTAGACGCCGCCGCCGCGCACCGCGCTGTTGCTGACAATCGACGTATTGTCCCACGCGACGGCGGCGGCGTCGGCGAGGAAGAGCGCGCCACCGAGCGCCAGCGCCGAGTTGTTGAAGAAGAGACATTGGTGCAGCAAGAGGGTTCCGTTGGCTTGGGCGACGGCCCCGCCGTCGGTGGCGGCAAAGTTGTGCTGGAAGACGCAGTCAACCACGTTGATCGTCGCCTGGCTATACATTTGGAGCGCGCCGCCGGTAAAGGCGACGTTGCGCTCGAAGAGCGACGCTGAAATCGTCGCTGCGCACGTTTCAAAGTACACGACGCCGCCTTCGTTGTAGCCGTAGATGGTCACGCCGCCGTTGGCGCGGAACGTCGAGTTGCGGATCGTGGTCGCCGTGTCGCGGCTCCCGAAGAGCGCTACGCAAAACCGAGTGGTTCTATAGCGTACGTGGGGGAAGGGATGTACCCGAGCCGAGGCCGCTCGCAAGGTTGAACTCGAACAAACTCGACTCGACGCGCAGCGCGTTGTTGATCCCGATGTCCAGGAACACGGCGCCGCCTTGGTCCTGGGCCGTGTTTCGACGGACGACGGTCGTTGTCAGTGCGAGCTGCGACGCGCCGTCGAGGTTGACCCCGCCACCGTTGTAGTTGGCGGTGCAGTTTTCAAGCAATGACGCTGTCATCGTCACGACCGCGACGTTGGTGACAAAGAGACCGCCACCAAACTCAGTGGCGGTGCAGTTCGAGACCGTGCTATTGATGACGGCCAGCGCCGCGCCGTCGATGTAGATGGCGCCGCCGGAGCGCGCATAACCGAGTTGCAACGTGGAGTGTTCGATGATTACGCTGGTGAGGTCGTCCTTGATGTACAAGAGGCCGCCGAGACTGGCCACGCTGTCGGGCTCCATCACAGAGCCGGACACAAGCGAGTTGGAGAGGACGACATGACTACCACCTTGAATGTTGAAGGCCTACACAAACAGTAAGGATGCGAAGGATAAGTGCCGATGTGCGTACCGCGCCGTTGTAGTTGGAGTTGATGCGACTCTTCGAGATGGTGCTACTGTCAAGAGCGACGTTGCTACCGAGATCGATGCAGAAGGCCCCGCCGTTGCCCGCACCGACGGCGTTGTCGAAAGCCGTCATGGCGGTCCCGGTCAAGTTGGTGCGCGTGATCCAGACTGCGCCACCGTCTTGCGCAGACGCAGAGTTGTTGAACAGCGTTACGTTCGAGACCGTCACAACGCTCGTGCCCTCCGGGAAGACGTTGCTTTCGCCCGCGATGCGGATCGCGCCGCCGCCGCGCGTCGCCCTGTTGTGGGCCAGTGTCACGTCGGTGAGCGATAAGGACGATCGCTTGGCAGCGTACAGAGCGCCGCCAATTACAGCGACGCTGTAGCGTATCGTAGCATGCGACACGGCAGAGCGCGCCGCGACGTCAACGTACAGACTGCCTCCGTGGAAGCTACGACCGCCCGAGACGTCAACCCCCGCGATGGTCGCGTTGGCAGCCTCGAGGATACCAATGTTGGCGCCGTTGCCGCACACGGACGCGATGCATACGTTGTTGCTGGTGACGGTTGACGCGCCGCTCACGCCGACGAAGCGCGATACGCCGCCGAGGGCGAGTCCGCCAAACTTGGACGCCGTGTTCGAGGCAATGACGACCGACGAGTGGGATACGTCGGCGTTGATGAGAACGAGACCGCCGCCCAAGAGACCAGGGGTGATGTGGTTGTTGGACACCGTGGTGGCGGCCACGGACACGGTCGCATTCACGATGTAAGCGCCGCCGCCGGTCGTCGACGCCGTGTTTTGATCCAGCGTGAGACGCTGCAGCGACGCAGTGGCATTTGAAACATACAATGCACCACCGAGCGCCGCAAACCCCGTCGTCATGGTGACTGCCTCGAGCGTGGACGCTCCTGTGATTGCGCCGTTGCCGCCGCCGCCAATGGCCGTATTGTCTGTGATCTGCGCGACGTCGGTGGGGGTTGCGGGAAGGAGCGCGCTCTCGTCTAGTGCCACGCCACCGCCGTAGCCTTGGCTTATACACGCCGTGATGACTAGCGACGTGTGGTGCAGAGTCGAGCTTGACAGAGCAAGTCCGCCACCCGAGTTGGCGCTTCTACTGGTCGTCACTCGTACGTTTCGAAGCGTGCCACTGCTGTTCCTGCTGGCATAAATACCACCACCGACGTCGGTGGCGGTGCAATCTGACATGATTGCGTCGACGAGCGTGAGCTGCGCGTTTAAAGTGGCGAAGCCGCCGCCGCGGGATGCTGTGCACGCCGCAATCGTGGCGCCCGCGACACGAACCGCGCCCGTACCAGCGATGCCACCGCCATCACGACCGGCTCGGCATTGGCTAACATCGACTTGACCGGTGACAGCTCCGTTAGCAATAAACAGACCGCCACCGTCCGTCGCTGCCGTGTTGCTGATGATCGGCGATAGCGCCAGCTGTAGCGTGCTGCTCAAAACCGCAACACCGCCGCCGCTTGCTAGGCTGCTGCAATCTGACACAGCAACCCCCGTCATTGTGCTCGAGGGGCTGTTCACTGTCGCCACACCGCCGCCATTGACGCTAGCCGAACATCCGTGGACGGTGCACCCGGTCAGCGTCGCACCGGCTGTCAAGAAAACGCCGCCGCCGTAGCGCATCGCTGTGTTGCCGACGAGAAAAGCGTCCGAGAGAGCCGACGCGTCCAAACTGACGCCGGCGCCGTCGGTCGCGCGGTTGTCGGCCACAACGACGTTGGACGTGGTGACGACCGACGCACGCACAAAGTGCATGCCGCCACCGGCGACAGCCGCCGAATTGCCGACGATGTTGGCACCGAGCATTTGCAGCCCCGAGGCATTGCCCATGATGCCACCGCCGCTGTCCGACGCCACATTGAGCGCCGCCTCGAGGTTGGTCAGCGTGATCCTGCTGTCTTCCGTGTACACCCCGCCCCCCGCGCCTAGAAGAGACAATCAGATGCCATCGATCACGGATTCAATCGTACGGGCTTGGTTCTGGACGACGGTAAGTGCGTCATCGGCAAGAATGGCTCCGGAGGCAGACAGAAAGTACATGCCACCCCCGTACCCGAGGGCGTGGTTGCTCGAGAAGGTCGACCCGCTGCTGTTAAAGACGAAATCACCTGCCAAGTAGAGGCCACCACCGTTGTTGGACGCAAAGTTGCCGAGCACGATGGTTCTTGCCCACGCGATTTGGGCATACCCGCCGAGGACACAGGCGCCACCGCCATTGGCCGCTGCATTGGCCGTGATGGGGACGTTGGTGATCGCGGCCAAGTCCGAGGACGAACCATTGAGCGCGAGGCCGCCACCGCACACACTCGCCGTGTTGTGGGAGAGGACACTGGCCGAGTCGCCGACGATGCTGCCGGTATCCTGGGTAAAGATGCCAGCGCCGTACCCGGCAGCGTTGGTCGTAATGACAGCGCCGGCCAAAAAGAGCTGGCTATTTCGGACGTAGATGCCTCCGCCGAGGCGGGCGGTGGCATTGGCGATGATCGAGTTGTTGAGCGTCATGACGGATTGGGCATCGAGGTAGACGCCGCCGCCACTACCCATCGTTGTGGTGTTTCGGAGCACGACGTCCGTAAACGTGATGAGCGAGCCGTGCGCGGCAAGTCCTGCGCCGTGGCTAGCGCTCGTTGCACGCTCCAGCGTCACGCCGGTCACAGCCAGGGTGCACCGCGTTACGTCGAGCCCAAACGCGCCCGTGCACGTCAAGATGGTTACATTCGAGCCTCGGAGGGACGTGATCGTGACGCGGCGTTCGGTGAGCACGTGGCCGCAACTCGACGCGCCATAGTTGCCAGGGTACACAAACACAGTTGTGTCGTTTGTGGCGACTTGAAGTGCCCGCGCGAGCCTACACAAGTTGTTCTTAGTGAGCGTTGCATTGTTGAGAAGGGCGCGAACGTTGCAAACGGCTTGGCTGCGGTGCCTGCGACTTCCGACGTGTTCATCATTGCACCCGTGCCCAGAGCGTCGTCGCCGGCGGTGGCATCGACGACCAACACTTGCGACGACGGTAGCCGGCAAATGTCGTTGTTGCAGACGTTAGGGTCGACACAACACACGAGGCGATTGCTGCAGTCCTCCCCCGTGAACCCTACATCGCCACGTCATTTTGATTTCATCACTAACAAAGAGCGTACCGAGGTTGCAACGGCACGTGCCGTCCGTCCTGCAACGACCGTGCTCGGAGCAAATGGCACCGGCGGTCGTCGGGCATGTACCGGCCGTCGCCAATGGGGCGTCGGTGCTGGCAATGTACCGGATCGTAAAGCCCGACTTTGTGACTGAAGCATCCGATCGCAAGGTGATACGCACAGGCAGCGTGCCGTCGCTCCAGATGGAGAACGAACGAAGGCGCGTGCAGCCACCGGACCAGAGCACACGCGACCCGTCGAAAGGGAATTGCTCGATACGGACGACGTCGTGGTCGCACTCAGTGTCGAACCGGAGCACCTAAACTTTGCGTTGAGGGTGAGAAAAAGCGCAAACTGTTACCTCGAGGCGAAGATTGGCAAATACGACCGACGGCGCAATGGTCCATTGCGTCGCTTGGTTGTTACCGTAGGCATTTTGCGTGACGTAGCCATAGGCGGCGGTGCAGATATTGTCGGACGTGGCCGTCGTCGCCAATGAGGCGGTGACACCGACACTCTCTGCGCCGTGAGCGTCGACAGATTTGAGGGTGTACGAGTAGGCCGTCGACGGCGTCAAGCTTGCGTCTGTAAAATGCGGTGCCGAGACGGTCGCCACCAAGGCGCCGCCACGGTACAATGCGTAGCGATCGGCGCCCTGCACCGGCATCCAAACAAGTCCAAGACTCGTCGACGATGCTAAAAAATATAGTCACACACTGTCGACGCAAGAATCGGCGGGTACCGCAGGCGATCGTGGGCGCAGTCGGCGCGCCGTTACCGCTGGGCGTCGTCAGCAACACGCTATAGCTGGAAGGGCTCTCGTCCAGTTGAATGTTGACGGCCGTCTACACGTGGTGGGGATGAGAATCGAAGGACCGAAAAGTCGTCGTACCAGGGTCACACTGTATATCGTCCCGGTGCTCAACCCCACCAACGTCGCATTGAGATTCGAGCCCGCGACGACTGTTTGGCCAAGGCCCGAGTTGACGTTTGTGTAGGCCACTCGGTAGTTGGAAAGCGCGAGGCCCCCGAGGTCCATCGGTGGATCCCACGCGACGAGCGCACTCGTACCGGCGGGCGCAACGCTAAGGACCACGGCGTTGCGCGGCGCCGTAGGTTTGACAGAGAGCAGCGTCTTGGTTGAAAGGACCGGACTCGAAGGGGAGGATCCGACGGCGTTGGCAGCAACGACGTAGAACGAGTATGCCGTGTTGGGCGCGAGGTTGGGTACGATGCATGTCCAGATCAAGCCCTCACACACGGTCGTATTGGGTAGCTGTACCAGAGCAAATGACGTCACGGGTGAGCCGCCTTCGTCGACCGGCGACAACCATGACAGTTGAAGAGAGCCACCATAGGCAACAACGAGCACAGGCACTGCCGGTGCGATAGGAGCAGTTGGTAGCTGCGTGACGGCCGCGTTAAGAGCAGACGGGGCACTCGTCCCAACCGGTGTCACTACAGCCACACCAAACTGATACACAGTATTCGGATCCAGACCCGCAACGACGACACTACTCGACGGCGACGCCGCCGTGAGCCGACGAGACGTGGCTGGCGAAGACGGCGTCGTTGCTTGACTCGCAAGGACCTGCGCGTACGTGACGTTGATGACGTTCTGGCCGTTGGCAAACACCCTGTACATGAGCGTGGCAGGATCGACGCCACCAAGATCAAGAGGTGGGCTAAGCTGGAGGCTCACGGCACCTCCCGTGGTCGCTACGACGGTTGGCATGGCTGGCAACTGTGGCGACGACAGCCGACCCGAGGTCAAGAATGCGATAGGCGACTGCTCGCCAGACCCAATCATGTTTTTTGCCAGCACTTTGAACCGGTACGTTGTGAGAGCGCTGAGCCCGTACGCGATGTAAAATGGGTCGGACACTGCAAACCACGTGAACGGTCCACCGGCGCCGTTGTCGTGCGCGATGAGATACGACAAAATTGGGGCGCCGCCGTTGTCCGCAGGCGGTGCCCACGCAACTTCGAGGCGGCCACCGGTCGTTGTGACGTTGTACGGCGCTATGCAGGGACCAGGGACGCTGGGTCCCGTCGTCGAAAAGTTCCACGGCGTCGACCACAGCGACGTGTTGACCGCGTTCGTCGCGCGCAGGCGCCAGCCGGACGTCGTCGACGTCTCAAGCCCGGCCATGCGGTACGCCGGAGTTGGTCCGGTGTACACGGACGTCCAGTTGCTTGTCGGCGCGTCTTGCATCTGAAGCGTATACGAGTCGATGGACGCCCCACCCGTATCAAACGGCGGGCTCCAAACCATCGAAAGCCCCGCGCCGGTGGCCAAGACGACGCCGAGGTCCTCGGGTGGACCAGGCGTTGACATGGACGTTGTCGTGAAGGATGTCGCACTGCCAAACTCTGGGGCGTAGCTGCTGCAGCCAGACACCGCGTTCACAGCGACAACTGCCACGGCGTACAGCGACGTTGGACTGAGGTTTTGAATACGAATCGGTGCCGTCGCCTGTAGCGCTGATGGCGATGACCGGACAAGTGTACCGACGGCCGATGCATTCAACTAAGCACCACCGTCAGTCGTGAAGCAAACGACGGTACCAACCGTGGTGTTGGTTCCGTTGGCAATGTTGATCAAGAGAACTTGAAAGCCCGTGACTGGAATACCACCTAGGATGCTGTTAGAAAAAGAAGCACGTGCAAGAGTATGCGAGACCGGTGTCGGCAGGGGACGAGGCAGTGGCATACATGGCGCCGCCCGTGACGTGCGTCAGCACCGGTGCGGGTGCCACACCGGGATTGGTCGGATATGTCGTCGCGGCAGTGATAACATTGCTTGGTGCACCAACTCGGTAGGCTGGTACTCGAAGCTGCGTCGCGTAGGCGTTGGCTTGCGTCACAGTGAACAACGAGCTTGTGACGGCGCCACCGACGGTGAAGAGTGACGGCTACATGGCGTGTGAGTGCGTCCCTCCATCAATACCATTTGCAAACCCCGAGTAGAATTGCATTGCCCGGGGTGAGCACTTGGCGGCAGTCCATCGACGTCGCGACCGATGTCGCCGTGGCACTCACATTGAACACCCCCGGCAGCAGCACCGGCCCCGCGGCGTTTTCGGCGACAACCAAAAACGAGTAGCTGGTGGACGCGGTAAGCGGAGCCACGGCAAAGCGCGTTTGGGTGACGATCCCCGCCCCGTTGGCTTGCGCAAAGCTCGACGCGGACGCTGTCTTGAAAAAAACGTGGTAGCCTAGAATTGGTGCGCCACCTGTATGCATACCAACAGCGTCAGAGCAAACGAAGATCCGAATCTCGCGTACCCGTGTCCAGCGGCGGACTCCACGTCACGGTAATGCTACCACCGGTGGTTGCCGTCGGCGTTGACGAGAGAACCGGCGTCCCTGGCAGCGATGCATTGGTTGTGCTCAACGACGCCACTGCGCTATAGGGTCCCCAGCCTTGCGTCAGCGCGATCGGGACGGCGTTGTAGCACTACCAACGACCTTTGAGGCTTGTCATCGATTGGCCTTGGTTGTACCTGAATCTGAATGGGGTACGCTCGGCTGGCCACCAAGCCCGTGATGGCAAACGTTCGAGCGGCGTTGCCCGTCTCGGCAACCTATCAACGTCAATGGTACACATTGCGAGAGCACTTCGTGTCGCTACCTGCACCGCGTTGGAGGCATCGGTCCACCGCACGCGGTAGCTGAGAATCGGAACGCCACCTGCGTCGAGAGGCAGATCCCACTGCAGTGTGAGTGCACCGCCCGTCGCCGACGCCACCGCTACGTTCATCGGTGCCGTGGCCAGCGACGGCGCGCCGGTCGTGAAGGTGACGTTCGGACTCGGCGGACCGTAGCCAATGTACGCCGACTGCGCGGCAGCGAGGCTGAGTGTATAAGTCGCATTGGCCTGGAGACCGCCGATCCAGACACTGGGACTGCCGAGATACGGCACGACGGTGGTCGTTGACACGCGCGTCAGTACGTTGGTCGTCGTCACCGAGAACTTTGAGATGGTGGCCACGGCGCTGCCTCGGTTGATAGGTAGCTGGACGTGCAGCTGTACAGCGCCACCCGTCACCATCACGACCGAAGGCGCCGGCGGGGCACTGGGCGCGGAGCTCGCATTTCTGTTGTTGATGGTGATAAACACCTGCTGGATGTCACCCAGCACAGCGCCACCAGCGTACATGCTGAGAGCAACCGTAAACCGAGGCTCGGATAGCTGTAGATCTTGGTGTTGCGAATTGTAATGTTCAGCAGCGTCGGCGTGAGTTGGTTGTCGCCAAATTCGAGCGGTGTCGTCGGGAGGCGGTAGTTGATACCTGGTGCAGCGACATTGGGGTTGGAATCATTAGTCGCCGTTTTCGCCAACACCTGGATCGATGTGCTAGCACCGCTGTAGCGCAGCACCGGGATTGAAACCGTGCCCACGGTATCGGCGACGTCGTAATAGGAGGCGGCAAAGCGCACCTTCCCGGCGTTGCCTGCGTCCAGCAGCGTCACAGTCATCGTGGCATTGTTGGCACCGATCGAGGCGCCGCCCGTGGCGCTGACCAGCTGCAACACAAATGTCGACGGCACGGCGCGATAGATACCATCATTGAGGATGCCGATGGGAACAACCACCGACGCCGTGCCATCGGGAACGGCCACGACGAGCGTCGACTGCGTTGGACGGCTTGCGTTCAGCACAAACTGTGACCCAAGGTGCGCTGTATTGGGTGCTTGGATGGCAACGGTGACGTCACCGATGGTGCCGACAGCGCGCCGCAGGACGACGGAAAGCACGGTTGCGTTCTTGATCACAGACACTGCGGAGGCGTTGAGGGAGAAGACACCAGGCGAGCCCGACGCTGTTGACACGGTCACGGGGGGCGACCACGGCCCCGAGGCGGTTTGATTGGTCGACCACGCGCGGGCTTGCACCGTGTAGGCGGTGTCATATTGCAGGCCCGAGAGCGTTAGTGCGAGAGCGCCTTGCTGGATAGCAGAGGCGTTTGGCGCGCCGGACGGACCCACCGCCCGTAGTTCGTACACGAGCAACACTGAGCCCCCCGTGTCCAACGGCGCTTGCCACGCGCAACTGATGGTGCGAGAAGTCACAGCGGTGATGCGCGGCGCGAGCGCGATAGGCCCAGGCGCATTCGCCACCAGCGTCGTGGCCGAGAGAGATGGGCTTCGGCCACCGAGGCCGAGACTGTTGAAGCAAGCGTACGTAAACGTGTAGGCCGTTGACGCGTTGAGACCGTATGCCGTTGCGTTGGCCGAGCCGTCGAGAGCGCTCACTTGAGCCGCGGCTCGATTCCCTTGGTACAATACAAACGACAGCTGCGCGCCGCCACCCGTGTTGAGCGGTACTGTCATAAGGAAAGTGGCGTTGCCGCCGAACGCTGACACGAGTACCGGCGGTGTCGATATGTCCCCAGGCACGCTGAGCTGCGTCGTTGGCGTCGGTACGGACGCATTCGCACTGGCACCGACTTGATTCACAGCCTGCACCGACAAGGTGTAATTGGTTCGCGACAAGAGAAAGTTGGCATGGAAGGTCGGTGTCGCCGTGACCACGGCTTTGATTGTCGCATTGTTGAGCATCAGCGTCGCGAGGTAGCTCAGCACTGGCACGCCTCCCGTGTCGGCGCCGGGCGACCAGTTGACTGACACCTCGCCGCCCAAGAGCGCAACGTTGAACGCCGTGCAGGGGGATGGCACCGTCGGCGTTGATGTTGTCGCCGTCAAAGCGCTGCTTTGGTCGCCATATTGAAGTCCGTTGAAGCCAACGACGATGTACGAGTACGTCGTCGACGCAGTGAGGCCGCCGGCGTCGATGTAGGTCAGTGCCGCCGTGGCTTGGCCGATGCGCGCGCCGTTGCGATATACAAAATACACGTTTACAGGCTGCCCCCCGGTGTCGAGCACTGGATCCCACGCAAGTGTTACGGCGCCGCCCGTCGTGTTGGTGACACGAAGGTTCCTTGGTGCGGTTGGTGCTGTCGTCGATGTCGTCGCGACGACGGCGATAGGGCTCGGGGCACTAAGACCCACGGCATTTTGCGCCACGAGTTGAAACTGATACGATGTGCTTTGAGCGAGCCCGTAGGCGACATGACTCTTGTCGCTGGTGTTGGCAAGTAAGATTGGTCCCGACGAGGTCACTTGATACAAGAGATACGTCTGGATTGGAATCCCCCCGTGTCCATTGGCGGCGCCCACACGAGATGCAGGACGCCACCCGTGGCCTCTTGAAGGAGCGGCGCCGACTGGTTCAGCGGCAGTGTCGCGAGCGACGTCGTAGCTGTCACGGGTAGACTTGCCTCGAGCTTGTCGACGCTTCCGTAGCAGTACGAAGCACTGTTGTACGCAATGACCTTGAACGTATACGTTGTGTTTTGCGTCAGCCCGCAGATGGTCGTGCTGAGCGCTGGGAATGGTACGACGGCGCCGACGCTAAAGTTCTTCGCGCTGTCAGTACTGATGAGCACTCGGTACTCGACCAACGCAAGGCCTCCGGATGAAATTGGTTGCGCCCACTTGACAGAGAGACATCCGCCTGACTGCAACTGCGTCGGGTCGAGAGTGAAGGCATGTGGCGTTGTTGGGATCGATGGAACGCTGGTTCGCACGTACTTCGGCGGGCTGAGATCGCTTGTCCCCTGGGCATAGAGAGTCAATGAGACCCGGCGAGATATGTAGAGAGGCTCACATTGGCGTTGGTGACCGTGTACAACAGCTGGTACCACGTAAGCGCCGTCAGTCCGGTCACCACGATCGTGTCCTCGACCGATTTAAACTGCGTGAGCACGGTCGTTGTCTCTGTTGTCGCGACAGTACTGTTTGTCACGTTGATGTACAGCGAGTAGTTTTGAATCGGGAGCCCCCTGTATCACCCGGTAGTGGAAAGGCCACTAGCAAAATGTCCGGGCCGACAGCGGGCGTCGTCGCAGGCAGTAGCCCGGCAGGCCGAGAGACGTTGCCCGTGGAGACATCGATCGAGGCAGGCACCCCTGCACCTGCCTCATTCAGTAGCTGAACTGCGACCGAATAGTTCGAGTTGGCGGTCCAGTTGAGTCCGGCAAGGATCGCGCAGGACGATGGGTCCCGTGCATTATCAATGAGTATGACGCTTGAGGCATCGAGGATGCGGCTGCCTGTGCTTGGAGCACCCCCCGAGTCGAAGGGCGGTGACCAACACACGGTTGTGGTACCACCGGTTCGAGTCGTCGTCGTGATGTTCCGTGCTGGTCCTGGCAACGATACGGGTCCCGTCGTAAAGTTGGTCGAAAATACCGTTGACGCCCCCATTGATGGAAACCCCGCAGTGTTCCACATGGCACTCGAGACAGCGTACGAGGTTTGCGCCCTCAGACCGCCGACGAAAAACGTCGGTGTCGTCTGGTTCTGCGCGTCAAGAATAGCCATGCTCGGTAGCTGGTACGTCGTCAAGGCGTAGTAGGATATGGATTGGCTTGCACCGCCCGTGTGGAATGGAGCCTGCACGGCGACTGTGAGGAGACCACCGGTGGCGTTCACGAGCACTGGTGGCAGCCCCGTGTCGTTCGCACCCGAGACGTCGCCTTCGTCCAGCAGCCGCAACGAGGCCACTGCGAGCGACCCCAGTCGTCCCAAGCTGCCGGCACCGATCTGCAGTTGGATAGTAGTCTCTCGGTACGGCATATCGTAGATGTCGTTGGGAATCCCTCGCACCACGAGCATCGCAGACGTCTGACCATCTTCAAAAACGACCGTCGGTGTCCCGAACGATACCATCGGGTCGCCGAGGACCGAAGCGGTGACGGTGACGGCGCGGCTAAAGCCACCGGTGCGCACGAGCGCCAGCTCAAAGTTGGTGGCATTTTCGTTGAGCGTATAGACTGACGACAGAAAGGCGACCTCGCCGTCGTCTCCCGCGTCGAGAAGGTATACGGTGCACGATGCATTCGCGCCGATGCTGCCCGTCGCCGAAGTCATGTCTGTGAGCGTCACCATAAAGCTGGCGAGGTCGTTGTACACCGTGTTGTGGAAGATCGGAACCGAGAACGACTGGGACGTGATGCCGTCGGGAAACTCGACGGACGTCGTGCTCGGCAGAGCAAAGTCGATGTCGAGAAGCGCCGTGACTGGCGTCACGGTCACGTTGCAGCTGACGTCACCAGCTGCCCCGTTCGTCCGAAGCACCGTTATCGTGACCGTACCCTGGTCTTCCCGCACCGATATCGTGACGGACGCCATCTGGAGCGCGCCCGGGTTGGCGTCGTCAGTTGTAAAGCTCACGGGCGCCGACCACGCGCCAAAGACACAATGTTTTCAGCGGCAACCTGAACCGAATACGTCGTGGCTGCAACGAGACCGTCAATCCGAATCGAAGGCGTCGACGTCGAGAGGCTTTGTAGCAGACCAGCGTCCGACGAGACAGTAACGTTGTAGCCGAGAATCCCACCGACGTCACCGCCCGTGTCCGCCGGGACCGCCCACGACAGCGAAATCGTGCGATACGACTTGGATGGCGCCGTAATTCCCGTCACAAGCCCCGGAGCGGACACGGCCGGTGTCATTACGTTGAGCACGGGACTGTGCACGCTTTCACCCGCGGCATTGATCGCGGTCGTCCAAAACTGATACAGACTCTCGGCAAGAAGCCCCGGGATCGTGACCATCAATGCTTGCGTCGTATTCTTGTAGACGTGAGTGACCAGCGAGCCCGTGGAGCTGAGCTGATATACATGCATATCGACGCTACCACCGCCACGGTCGAGCGGGAGGCGGAGCCAGAGATCTACACTGCCGCCACGCACGACCTGCTGCTGCGGTTCCAACGGCATGGACGGAACCGACAGCGATAGTGTTGTCGTCCGAACCGTCGACGGCGCGCTCGACCCGGCGCTCGTGCTTACGCTCGAAACGATATCGTAGCTTGTCGCGGCGCTCAGACCGTAGAACGACGAGTTGGTCTCCGTCGTCGTCACGTTCGCGACCACGCCCGACGTGGTCGCGACGACTTGCACCGAGAGCGCGCGCAGCGGTTGACCACCAAGGTTTTCCGGAGGTTGCACTTGTACCAGGAGCATACCGCCCGTGACAACCAGCACAGATACGACGGGGGGTTGCGGCACGTCTGGTGTTGCCAGCGTTGACGCCGACACCGCAGCTTCGCCGCCTTCAAATTGCGCGTTTAAAGCCGACACCGAGTACGTGTACGTCGTGCCGTTGGAGAGACCGTGGACGTCCGTGAAGAACGCTGTGGTAAGCTGTCCAGCGATGAGAACAGCGTCTCGGTAGACTTTGTAGCCCACAAGCACTTGGCCACCAGCGTCGTTGGGGGCTGCCACGCCAACGCGACGAGCCCGCCTCCGATCGCTGTGACTTGCAAGCTCTGTGGCGGCGTCGGTGGTGTCGGTGCGCTCGTTGTCGCTTGTAGAGAATCGCTATAGCCACTCGTGCCGACGATGTTGACGGCGGCGACCTGAAATATGTATGCCGTCGACGGTGCGAGTCCAACCACCTGGTAGCTTTGAAGCGTCGCTGGAAGCGCTGCCACGACGACCGTCGACGAATTGATGAGGCGGACAACTGTGTAGTTTGTCACTGGGGAGCCTCCATTGTCGGCGGGCCGACTCCACGCAATCGTCACGGCGCCTCCTGTTGCGCTCACTTGGACAATGGACGTTGGTGGCGTCGGTGCCGTGGGGTCCAGTGTGCGCACCAACAGCTCTGGACTCGGCATGTAGGCAGCATTGCTGCGACAGGCCGACACAGGGTTGAGCGCCACGACAGAAAAAGCGTAGAGCGTGTCGTTGGTCAAGCCCGTAAGGTTGATTTGGGACACGGGCGGGACAGCATTGGACAGAGCGACGTCCGCAACGACCGTCGACGCGGTCCACTGGACGATACCAAACACTGACACGATGTTGGCGCGCATGAGCACTTGATACCCCGTAAGCAGCGGCGTGCCGCCAAAGTCACTTGGCGGCGTCCAACTGAGCCAGACAGTGCCGCCCGACACCCGGACAAGCACGGGTGTCGCCGGCGCACTCGGCAAGGACATGATCGGAGCCGTCGATACCATCTGGGAGCTGCTCGGCAGGCTCGGGCCCTACACACATGTTGCCTATGAGCGTCGTGTCTGCAACGAGCGCTGTACCTGAGCGTTTGTCACCACTGTGTAGACGGTATATGCGGTATTGAACGCCAAACCGTACACTGTGCACGAGAGCTGGAGACCCGAGCACGCGCGCACCGGCGACGCACCGCCCGACGTCAAATATAGCGAAGCGTCGAGAACAGGGCCGCCGCCCATGTTTAGCGGCAAAATCAATGCGAACGACAGCGCACCGCCCGTGGCGTTGCGATAGATCGGTGGGGGTGGCGTCGACGGCAATTCCATCGCTGTCGTCATGACATGTACAAACACAGGCATACCCGTGGGCATGTGGGGCGCCGTGACCGCGCTGATGGCAAACGTATAGCTTGTGAGAGCCGAGAGATTGTACGCAGTGTACGTCTTCGTCACGGGCAGTGTCATGGTCGGAAGCCTCGGTGCCGACACGACGTAGCCCGAGATGGCGTAGCCGCCCGTGTCATTGGGTGGCGCCCACGTCAGCGTCGCTACACCACCGCCAATGTTGACCGCAGTCGCGTTTTGTGGCGTGCTCGCCGGTGTCGGGGGCGTTGTGGAAAACATCTGCGCCGGTGTTGCCGGTCCGGCGCCTGCCGCGTTGGCCAGTGCCACCTGCACTACGTAGTTGGACGACGGCGCTAAGTTGTACACGACAACCCCCGGCCTCGAAGACGTGAGAATGGTCGGCGACTGAACAGCGGTGCCCACTATGCCAGCGACAAAGATACGGTAGACGCTCGTGGGCGTGACGCCGGCTGCAGGCGGCAACCACTGCAGCGTCAGCGTCGTGCCTGTGGCTTGCGTCAACACCACCGTGCCACACAGCATCGGCACTTTGACGACGCTCGGGTCGTCAAATATAAAAATATTGACGACGATGGCAGGCGCTGGTGGCACGTTGCCTACCGGCACCTGGCGCAGCGCAAGTTGGAGCTTTCGTCCGTTGGGGTTGTACTGTAGACTTCGCGTGATGTTGGTCAGAGAAATCACACCCGTGGTTTGACCTGGGGCAAGGTTCACCGACGTTGGTGGTGCGCCGACGTCGACCCCAACCGTCGCAGTGCCATTGACGGGAGCTACCGTAGCATTGAGGAAGCCACTCACGCCGCCGACACGAGTCAAAACGATCGACGCAGTCGACACGTTTTCGTACAGAACGACGGTGGCCGGCGCTTGGATCGATCCTGGGGACCCGTAGAGGTACACGGTCGCTGTCGTCGATGCATTCGCAGCGGGCGGCAGCGTAATGTTGATCAAGTGCGGTACGTCGGTGACCACGAGACTGTTCCACGTCTCCAGCGTCAAAGTATGCGTCACGTTCCCAGCGCCAAACGTGATCGACGGTGTCGTCGCGGCCGTGGCCGAAAACGTGCACATCGTGGCCGAGCCTGTCGAATTGCACACGAGGTACCGTCCAGCAGGTGCGGTTGCCACCGTGAGCGGCACAACGAGTTGCCCGCGGGCCCCGTACAGTCGCTCGAGCGTCAGGGTCGTGCTGTTGCTGCCGTCCGTCAAGAAGACCGCCGGCATCGTAAACGAGGCCACGCCTATTTTGATCTCAATTTTCAATGCCGCTTGTGACGTGGGGTACGAACCTGGCAGGTCGAGTAGCGTTGCATACTGAGCTGTCGCCACGGGGCTGACGCCTTGGGGCGTGACCACCTGCAGCGCCACGTCGTACGTCGTCGCAGCGTCGAGGTTGCTGAGCGACCACACGGTCGTGCTGGCCGCTGATCCTTGCACCGTCGTATTGCGGACGACACGACCCGCGAGCGACAAGGTCGCTTGAAACTGCCACACGTCTTCGGTAAAGTTGGTCGGGGGCCATAGAGAGAGGCTCAGCGTGTACGAGGACGCAGTGAGGAGGGCAACACTCGGAAGCCCCGGCAGTCCCGTCGTCGTGGTTGCCGTTACCATCGTGAGATTGCTTTTCCCGGCGTAGTTGCTCGTCCAGACGACGACAGTGTACGTCACTGATGGTGTGAGACCTGCGATGGCAAAGCTTGACGCCGTCGATGGGATCGCGAGCATCGGCGACAACGGCATCGGCGCGCCGAGAGGATACCAGATAGCATGGTTCCACAAGACGTTGGTGCCGCCAGTGTCGCAAGACAGCGCAAACGCGAAAGTTAGCCCCGTTGCCTGGGCGCGGGTCCAGGATACCGATGGCGTCATCGGTGGCTGCATCACCGACGCCACTGTCGTCGTCGATGCGGAGGGTCCCGCGCCCACAGAGTTGAGAGCCATTACCGCGTACTCGTACGTGGCCCCGGCGCGAATGCCGCCGCAGTCGGTATAGGTCGTCGCGCCCGACACGGAGCCGACGACCACGCCGTTGCGTGCAACCGTGTACTGAAGCGTCGTTGAACCGTCGCCCGAGTCCTAAGACGACATGTTGACATCAACTTGTATGGATATACGTCGACGCACCAAGGGAATATTCCAGACCACGGTGATGACGCCGCCTGACTCGACGGTGGTGGTGAGGTTGAGCACGGCGCTCGGTGGCGTCACCGCACTAGCACTGGGTTACAACTAAAATGTATAGCGCAAGGGACAGTACCTCGTGAGCACAGTAATGGGCGCCGACGCCGCACCAGCACCGAATGCATTCGAGGCCACCACGGTTACGGTAAAGTACGTCGACGGCTGAAGCTCGTACAAGGTGCAGTGCAGCGAGTTGCTGTTGCACGAGCCAATAACGTTGTCGTTCGTTAGTACGGTTGCGGTGTATATCAGCGCGTCACTGCGACCCCCCGTGTCCTCGGGTGGACGCCATGTGAGCTGAAGGGCGGTGCTCGAGATGGACGCAATTGCAATGCCGGACGGAGGTCCGGGTACGGTCGCGTTCGCCGTCGTCAAAAACACAAACGCTGCAGGTGACACCAACCCAAAGATGTTTCGAACCTGGATCGCCACTCGGTACGTTGTGTTGGCCGCCAGACCCGAAATCGTCGCCACGGGACTAGGTGGAAGCGGCAGCCACGTTGGCGATACCGACGTGCGGCTCGCATTCACTTGTACTTGGTATTCTACGTTGCATCACTCGTGTAAGTGGCATTTTGTGTTGTCGCGCGTTACCAGTGAGGGCCCCGCCACCGGTATCACTGGCATACACCCAGGCAACCGTCGCCGTGCTTGCCGTGACGTTCAGAATTGTTGTTTGCGCCGGCGTCGCCGGCAACCCCTACTCCGTTGTCAACACCCACTCAAAATGCTACACTGTGTACTCCTTGCACGGTCGTGGCCTGGAGCACATTGCTGCGCTCGGTTGTGTTGCCGAGGCTCGTTAGCAGTTGCAGAGCAACCGCATACGTCGTCGATGCGTTGAGCCCGGCGATCGTGGCCACGACGGCACCGGTCGTCGGGAAAAACACCGTGGTGGCGCCGCCGACGGGGGCCGAGGTTGTGACGTACACGCCGAGAGGCGTCGCGCCCTGCATGTCATTGGGCAAAAGACTTGCAGCGTGAGGCGGGATGCCTCGGCCGACACAAGATACGCGTCGAGGTACCGACTGCTGGGCACTTGAGCGGGCGGGATCGTGACGCGAAGCGCGTCACTCCTCCGTGCCGCGTTGTCACTCGGACAGAGCGCGAGCTCGTTCATCGCGATGACTTGAATATCGTACGTTATCTCTGGCACCCACGCTTCGCCCGGTGCCGATTCGTACAGATAAGCCTCAGTCGTCGACGTAAACGCGGCGTTCACCATGGTACCGTTGACGCCGACGTAGATATGGTAGCCAAAGATATCCGATCCGCCTAGAACGACCCGATAGCGCTCCCTAGTACTTGATGCGCTCAGGCTAAAGAGTGCATACCCGTGTCGAGCGGCGGCGTTAAGCGCAGTTGCACGAGACCCGCTACCAATTAGAATACTATAAGAAATCAAAGGTCGTCTGAAACACGCACCGGTGGCGGCCACAAGCACCGGCATCGGGCACAAGCTCGGGTACGTGACGTCCTTCGTCGTCACGACAAGTGGATAGCTCGTCGGACTTGTCCAGTTACCGGTGTTTTCAAGCGCACCGAGATAAAGTACTCGGTGTTGGCAACCAACTTGTACAAAGTCGCAGATTGCGGCCCAAATTGCGTAAACACGGGCACGAACGGATCGCGGTCGACGGCGTCGGCGATGATTTCCACCATCGATTCGATCGGACGCCCACCCGTGTCCTTGGGGTACCGAATACTAATGTTGACGTACCCGCTGTCGACATGCACCGCGACGGGGGATGGTGGCGTCGCCGGTGCCGTCGCTACCGTCGTCGCGGCCAAGAGGACGTTGACCAAGTTGGCGTTCACTACATCGACAACGACCACGACGTACGTCGTGTCGCAGACAAGGCCTTCGAGCGTGTAGTCGTTTGTGATACCGAACGCATGCCCCGTGAGCGACCCATTGACGTACACGAGGTACATCGAGTCGATCGTCGCCGGCGTAAACCTACTGCGTGTCAGCATCAGCAAGCTGTCTGCAAGTACCAATGAAAGGTCATGTGGCCGCCGCCGACGTCGAGAAGTGCCATGGGCGTCGCGTTGGCGTACTGCGACGGCAGCGCGTAGGCCCCCGGCGCCGTGATCACGTCGCCTTCGTACGTGGAGCCGCTGCCAGCGTACGAGTAGTAGGACGACGAAGCGCTGCTGCCAGTGTAGGAAGAAGAAGACAAAGCGTAGGCGACTACAGTGGAGCACAACGCAAGCACGGCGGCCGCGACGTGCGCGAGTCGGGCCATTCGCGCTGGAAAGGTTCTAATCCAAGCGACAGGATCCTTCGATATAATAAAGATAAGACGACCAATCAGAGGCCTCGTACACCGTTTACATAGCGGCGCCAACACGACTAAAAGTGTGCTGCAACTATGACCCGCTGTATGCTCCGCTGCGGTCGATGGCGTCGTTCACGTGGCGTACCACGGTAGGACGGGTGACGTGGCGACCGCAGACGGCAAGAGCATATTTTCAACCAATCATTGCGCTTCTTGTCACGGATTGGCCAAAAAGAGCCGAAAAGGCGCAATCGAACCCGTTTGGTTCACCGCTTTGACACCGGAACTGGGTCCACTTCGATACCGGTAGTACTGGTTCTACTGCTCGCGTCATCATTGGTGGTCATTATGTACTAAATCATTTTTGCTTATCAAGCATCCTATCTACTGCTACTATTTGCGGCTTTGGCCTCTTCCTTGACGATCGCAACGACGTCCGAGCCTTGGCTTCGCAGCGTCCGCTTGGCCTCGGCGCGGCTCGCATGGCTGTCGGACGAGAACGCAAAGCCATTATGGACGCCGCACCGCAGCATTTGACTCAAGCTCACGCGCTTCTTTTCCCCGACGGGGACCACCGTCGCGGCGTGCTTGGCCTGCGCAATCGCCGATTTCACTAGCAGCGCCGATGGCTCGCGCGGGGTGCGACCCTGCCACGTTAGGAGCGACTCGTCCAGATGCAAGTGAGCGACCTCCTTCGCGAGCTGGTTGTACTCGGGGCGCCACTCGGCCTTGGCCGCGTTCATCACGTACGTCGGAAGGAGCAGCGTGACGGGCACGAGCAGCAGCACCAGCCAAAAGGCGGGCGTGCGCACGGTCACGCCCATCATACCACTCCAGTACCAGCCCGCGAGCTCGTCCCAGCTCGACGCGACAAAGGCGACTGCGATCCAGAGCCCGACCGACCCGAGATAGACGATGTAGTGCACCGGGTGCCATGCGTGCTGAAAGAGCGCGAGCTTGGCGTTTGCGAGCACAACAACGATCGTAAACACAATGTTGCCGAGGTACCACATGGGCGGCGACTCGGCGTAGACACCGGCGTCCTGGAGACCGTGCACGAGGAGGAGGGTGACGCCCACCGACTCGGCGAGCGCCGACGCGATCCAGAGCGAAAACACCGTCGGGTTCAAGCACCCGTTCTCGGGCCCGAGCATATACAGCTTTGGAAACCGCAGCGCCATGTCGTCGTGGATATCCATGTCAAAGATGGCCAGTAACACGACCGGGCACGCGGTAAAGATCACGTTGTAGATCTGGAACCCGGTCTCGAGGTAGAATTTCTGGCCCGAGAACCCCGACATCCACGTGTACCAGAACTGCGCGGCCGTGAGCAGAATGTTCTTGTAAAACATGTACACGACGAGCTGCGCCATGCGGAGGTAGCTCCACCGGCCGTGCACCAAGAGGAGCCGCTTGAGGAACCGAAAGCGCGCGATCGCATAATCACTGGCGTTCACGGCTTGGAGCCCTTCTTGCCCGGAAATCCCGATCCCAATGTGTGCAGCCTGGATCATCGGCACGTCGTTGGCGCCGTCGCCGATCGCAAGCGTCTTGACACCGGGCACATGGCTCCGGATGAGGTCGACCATCTCGGCCTTCTGCGCCGGCGACACGCGACATGCGATCACGGCCTTGCAGCCGCGCGCGAGCTGGAGGAGTGGGAGACGGCAGCTACCATGGAGCGCAACGACGAGGCTTTCGCCGTCAATGACGAGCGCAACTTCCTCGTCCTTGACTCGGTGCGCGAGCTGCCGCCGGAGCTCGGACTCGGTCGCTGTCGCCGTCGGACACCGCTCTGCGTTGATGACGATGCGGGTCATGCTGTTGTGGAGAAGGTTGCACGCAAAGCCGATGTTAATCGCTGTCTCTTCCTTGTCGCCGGTGAGCACCCAGATCTTGATGCCGGCGTCGGCCAGCGTCGCAATCGTGTCGGGCACGCCAGGCTGCAACTTGTCTTCGATCGCGGTCGCGCCGAGGAGCTCCAAGTTCGTCTCGAGCTCCTCCATGCACGCGTCAATAGCGTTTGGCGCCTCGCGCTTGCGCTTCTCGATCTCGGCGAGGTCGTTGAGGGCGACGTGGTACCGTCGGTGCCACGACGCGTAGACGTCTTCGTCCAGCTCCCGCATCGCAATCGTGAGCGTGCGGAGCCCTTCCTCGGCAAACACGTTGATGTGCGTGCTCGTCGCGGCAAGGAGCGCGGACGCGCCTTTCTTGAGCCGCTCGAAAATGACAACATCCGCGCCTTTCGTAAAGAGAAGGAGCTGTCCGGATGGATCCCGCACGACCGTCGACATGCGCTTCCTCGCCGACGTGAACTCGAGCACATCGAGCAGCTCATATTGCAAGGTCTCGGCCTTGATGCGCAAGAAGGCGCGGCCCGGCACGCGGTTCATAAACTCGTAGCCAAAAAAGCCAGCACCGGCCACGAGCGCCTGCTCGTCCGGCGACGACGCCGACAGCGTCACCTCGTCCGAGCCTTCGCGGCGCTCGGGGATGACCGTGTGGCACACGGCAAGGTGCACGAAGAAGTGGTGCAGGCGCGCCGCTTGGTCGGCGCCGGCTTCGCCGACCATGTGCTCGTAGATCTCGGGCCCGTCGTAGTTGACGTACGGGGCAACCGGGCGCGAGACGCTGCTAACCGGGGCCTCTTCCGGCACGGGGTGCCCGGCGCGGCGAAGGGCTGCGAGCCCAATCTCGGTCGTGCCTCTGCCGTACGACGTGCCGCCGACCGAGCACTTGCGGAACTCCATCATGTTGCACGTGAGCGTGCCGGTTTTGTCGGAGAAGATGTAGCTCACTTGCCCGAGCTCCTCGTTGAGCGACATGGTGCGGACGAGCGCCGGCGTGTCGGTCTCGGCGTAGTACATGTGGATGTCCCACTGGATGAAGATGGCTTGGATGTACTTGACCATGGACATGGAGACGTACAGTGAGATCGGCACGAACTGGTACATGAGCAGGAAAAGTAAAAAACATGGTCCACCAGTCGGCGACCGCGTCCGGCGCGATCGGAGCGAGGCCGCCAATGTACCACACACGGTAGTTGGCATGGTCCCAGAAGACGCTGCCGGTCGCGCCAATCGCGCAGCAGAGCAGGAGGATCAACACGAGCACGATGATGTACCGGTTGATGGCCACGTCCATGGAGCTCATTTTCGACGGCGTCGCCGAGTTGTTGCGCATGATCTTCGTGTCCTTGCCCGTGTTGAGGACGAGGCCGACGATCCACTCGGTGTTGCGAAGCGTGCACCCGCGTAAGAGCACGCTCTTGTACGGGATCGCCTCCTTCGTCTCACTCTTGTCGTCTCGCTGCAGCGCCAAGACCCCTTGGAACGAATTGATGGCGGCGTTCGGGTGCTCGCAGTGCACGTATCCGCGCAACCGCAGTAGCGCCGACGGGTCCCCGCCCACGATCGACGTCGCCTCCATCGCCTGCCGCACCTTCATGTTGGTTTCGCCGTCGAGCGACTTTGTTTCGACGTAGCAAATGCCGGACGGGGGCACGCCGACCTGCTCGGCCACCGCGAGAATGAGCAAGTCGGCCGGCACCTGGTCGTGGTTGGCGAGCTTGACAAAGTCGCCGACTAGGACATCGCGCCACATCTTCGGGGCGAAATCGCCGGTCGCGGGATCGAGCACGGCCGTGACGCGGGCGTTGGCGATGTTGTCGGCCACGTGGCGCTTGTGGTCCTCGAGGACCGCGAAGACGGCGTCGACGAGCATGATGAACATGAGCGTGAGCGCCGTCGACGCCCGCCCGCCCGTGTTGCTGATCGACGGCACGAGTTGCATGAGCGAGACGACGAGAAAGTACGCGTTCGCGAGCTTCCGGAAGGTCTCGAGGAGGAACTTGGGCACGAACGAGAGAAGGGTGTACTTGGACGAGATGACAAAGTTGTCGCAGAAGGCGAGACCGGGCGGCGCGTGCAGCACGATCTCGCGGTACTCGGCCACGTGCGCTGCCATTTCCACTGCCAGGTTTAAAATAGGCGCTGAAACCACAGGCACGGACGTTAGTCCCGTTGATATTCATGTTCATTTGCATCGCACGCCAAGCAGCAGTTCTAGCTACCGAGTTGGGTCTGCACGATGCGGACACGGACGTCGCCAGTGGTCGTTCGGTAGGACACGAGGCACCACTGCAAGGGCTGCCGGTGCGTCCGAAGGTGCGTGAGCTGCGCGTCCGCCGCCTCGGTATCGTCGCCGTGGCGGGCGGGCCGACCAAAGAACAACTCCTACCACAGTGTCGCACCGTCGTTGTGTTGTGGACATTGAGATCGGATACCCCGTCGGCGCCGAAGAGGATGGCATCGACGCTCGCCGTCGCATCTTGGAGCCGCAAGAGGCCCATGTACACATCTCGGTTGTTCATCCTACCACGCGACCATGACAAGTGGCGTTCATGCAAAGACCGCACCGGGTGGTGAAGGCACCGGCCGTCCGTGGGCTCACGTCGACAATCTCGGCCAGCACGTGGGCCTTGCACGGGACCTACACCAATTGCGAATCGACGCGCTTCAAAAAACCGGCAGGGGGGGTACCGGCCGCGTCAGAAACACAGCCAAGTTCACGCAGCCGAGCGCGGCAATCTCCCGGGGCACTCTCGTCACAATCCGGTCGAGCGGCAGGGGCCGTGGCGGGGTCCTACCCAAGCCCTCCGTCTCCACACACGTGACACGCGTCGTACGCTGGCGTCGGGTAGATCTCAAGCGACGACGACACGCGAAAATGGAGCACGAGCGAGTCCGTGGCCGTGACCTCGACGCCGCGGAAGCGGCACCAGCGCCCGACCGCCGCCGCCGCCCAGCCCATCGCGTCCAGCGCCGCAAAGTGCGCGTGCACGTGTACCTCGGCCGTCACGTGCATGCGGTCCGAGACGACTGCAACCGCCTGCCTCTTTCCATCAAAAAAACCCCCCGTCGCTCGAGAAGAACGCACCGGATGGCCGGCGCGGAACGGCGACTCGACGTATGCAATGACGTCGACGTAGGCGGCCGGGTAGCAATGTCGCAAGGCGCGCGGCGGGCCAAAGTGATTGCGTGGGCACTGCGTGTGGTCGTTTAAGAGCGTGGCCGCGCCCCACTGCCTACAGAGAACGCGGTTCGTCCATGGCCAAGCTTAAAGGGATCCATATACAAGAGGGCGATCGCGCGGGCCTTGTCGGACGGGTGGTACGTCACTGTCTCGTACGTATGCGTCATGACGACGTCCGTGTCCGAGCCATCGGCCATTCGAAACACAACGAAGCGCGACGCGCGCGTGCTACAGTCGCAGTCTCAACGACGATTCCGACGACCGACGCACCAGAGTGCGACGAGGACGCCGTTGTAGCGAGACATCAAGAGCTTGTGGAACCGAACGACGTCGCCGACGGCCTATCGCGTCTGCGTGACGAGCCGGCATGCCAAGACGACGGCGCCGTACGAGGATACGCGGGAGGTGCGCGAGGTCGCGCGCAAACACGTTGATGTACAGCGCCTGGGCGCGCTCGGGTCGAGACTCGTCGGTAATGGCGATCGTCATCTACGCCGTCGTATTGAGTCGTCGTCGTCGTCGTCGACACAACCTCAAAGTCCATCCGGCCGCGCGACGACTGCTTCGGCGTCGTGTACGAGACGACGACGCCGTAGACGTCCGCCGTGCGCTCGCCGAGCGATGCCAGCGGTGTGTACTGGTACTCGTCGCCAACGCGGAGTCGGCGCTTCTTCTACACGCCGTTGCGCCAAACCAACAAATGAATTGGCGTACCGACGGCGCTACAGTCGCTGCTGCGTGAGATGCACGAGGCATAGGAAGACGTACGCGGCGGCCGCGTGTCCGCGCGCAAGGTGCAGAGGCGCTCGTACGCGACTTGGTCCGAGTTGGGCGCTCGGATCGGCTCTTGGTAGCGCAGAAAGATGGTGCGCGGCGCGTCGTCGTCGTCGTCGTTATCGCTACTATCGTCGTGGATAAAGAGACCGGCGGCCTCGAGAAGCGTGGGCGACGCCACGACGACGCAGCTAAAGTCGGTGGCCTGCGACGCCGTCGATGCCATCGACTCGGTCTCGACGTGGCCCTGAAAGAGGCCATCGCCAAAAACCCGACGCGGTACTACGTCATGAGATAGCGCCAGCGCGGCTAGAGATGCCTACCTTCTTGAGGAAGCTAGCGACCTTGTCGGCCCAGTCGTCGTAGAGGTACACGAGCGACCGGCGGGGCGGGACCTCGGCGAGCGGCGGATGCAGCTCCTCGACCTCCATCGTCACGACGCGCGAGGCCACGCTCGCGCAGGGCCCGCCGCCAATGTCAAAGGTCGCGTCACTTAGCGGCAGCGACCGACGCGGCCACACGCAGAGCACGACCGTCTCCTGGAGCCAGGCGTCGACGCCCATATTGCAATCTCAGGTCTAATCCTTGTTTCATCCTTGCATTTCGGACTTTTGGCGAGCAATGTCCTAGTGTACAGGGTCGAATTCGGTCTTTATCGAGTGCTATTGCTGCGCCTGGAGCAGCATCGAGAAGCCGTTGCGGAGCTTCTGGAGTGCCATGTCCGAGTCGGCTTGGACGTCGAGCGTCGAGTTGTCGGCCTGGAGGAGTGAGAGGAACGCGCCGGTGGGCCCGACGCCGGTCGTGACGCCGACGACGTCACGCATCGCGACCGACGACGTCTTGCGCAGGAGGCCGTGCGGCTTGGTCCACGACAGCAGCGTCAGGTCGTGCGAGAGCGCAAAGATACGAGGCGACTTCTTTCCGTTGGACTTGAGCTTGAAGAGGCCGACGCCGTCGAGGAGGCTGCGCACAAACTCGAGGTACTCGTGCTCGCGGATCGCGTCGTCGCCCAGCGTCTCGTAGCTCACGTCGGCCGCGCGCAGCTCGGCGCGCCGGTCCGTCTTGCGCGCCACAGTATGATTGACGCGCTTGGCATGGGCGTCGTGCCGGCGCGGCGACGGCGGCGCTTTGGCCGGCACCGCGGTCGACAAGGACGAGATGAAGTCGTAGCCGTCGGTGTCAATGCGGGGCACGTCGTCGTCGGCCTCAGCTCGCAAGGGCGTCGAGAGAGGCGCGTACGGGTCGAGGAGGTGCTGGTGGACGCCGATGGCCGCCATGGTTGGCACGGCGGTCGCCCGCGTCTTGGGCAGGCGCTTCCGCTTGGTCGGCGGCGGCGCCTTGACGTACTGGGTCGTGCTCACGGGCACGAGCAGCAGCAGCAAGACGAAGAGCAACAAGAGCACACAGAAGGCAATCGTGATGAAGTGGCACACGCTGGTGCACTGGAACGTCGTCCCATACGCCGTCTCGAACCCCTCCATCGCAGCCGGCAACCTCAAAACGGCCACTTTAAACTCAAAAACACCTCTTAAAACTCAAAACGGCCACCTTAAACTCAAAACGGCCGCGAAAAACTCAAAACAACCAATAAACACTCAAAAACGACCCGATCTTGTCCGTTTTCTTACTCTAAGCGCCGGTACTCGTGGCCGCGGCGATGCTGGCGGACAAAGACGATACCGACGACCGTCATGCCAGCGACCGCGACGACCGCGCTCACGAGCCAGAGCGCCATCGACTGCTGCGGCGGCGCCTGCAACGCGAGGATCGCGGCCGGTGGCTTGTACGCGTGCGGCTCGGGCCAGGTCGCAAAGTTGGTCGACTGCAACCACCACGCGGGGTAGCCCGGCGCCTTCATGTCGCCCGACCGGTCGCCGTGGATCACATACCCGTCGCTAAACTTGACGACGAGATGGAACGCCAGTTTCCACCACTTGTCGACCATGGCTTGGGCAAACGCGTTGGTCTTGGCTTCAATGAACGCAAGGCGCGCGACCGGGTCGTCCATGGTCATGGCCGTCGCGCGCGTCTCGGCCTCGAGCGCAATCGCGTCGCGCTGCAGCGCTTGCAGCACCGTGGCAATCTCGGCGTGAATGAGGTCGTAGCGCAGCATGCTCCAGTTGTTGACAAACTCAAAGGCCCACCACGCCGCGTCCGTGCTGAACTCGTGCTTCCGCGACGCGAGGTACGACGCCGGGATCGACGTCTGCGCACACGAAAACGGCGCGTAGACCGAGCCGTGCGGCGCGCCGAGCGAGTACCACGTGACGCCGCCCACGTCATCGGGCAAGAACCCGCGGGCTTGGAGCACAAAGCTGTGCGTCGTGCGGTGCATCGAGATCGCGCGCTCCCAGCCGCCCGTCACGTTCTTGGTCGAGCCGCCAAAGCGCACGGGGTTGCCAAACGGACCGGCCGCCACCTCCTTGGTCATGTCGAACGGCGTGCCTTCGTAGTGGTCGCGCATGAGGTCCATGAGGTCCGAAGGCGCAATGAGCTTGTCGGGCTTGATGGAAAACGGGTACGTCGCGACTTCCGGGTGCTGGCCCAAGGTCGCGTCGAGCTGCAGCGACGGCGCGAGCACGTCGTAGACGCGCCAGATGCGGCGGCCGCCATACAGCGGCTTGCTCGGGCCGGGCTTGGCCCAGCTGTACGCCTTGGCAAAGTCAAACTCGCCGTCGACCGCGGGGTTGTACCAGCCCATGTCTTGCGCAAACGACACCACGTTGCTGGACGCCAAGTAGTTGGCGCTGTCGCTGAGGTTGAGCGTCCGAATCACAAACGAGTTGGCGACGACGGCCACGTGGTCGTCTGGCACGCGCTGCGCCGCCCAGACCGCCGACGTATTCTTCGGGCCCGTGAGCATGTGCAGAATCCAGCTCTCGCCGTACTTGTCCGAGATACCAAGCGCTTCCGACGAGCTGCCGTAATTCGCCTTTTGGTTCTTGCCATACTCGCCAAAGAAGCCGTGCTCGACCGCGAGGTCGCCCATCGTCGTGATCGCACACCGCGCCGAGTCGCAGCGCTCAAGCGCAATCTTCGAGAGCTCTTCAATCTGAAAGAGGTTGTGACCATAGCGCAGCGACGACGGCCACCCGACCGTCTTGGCCGCGCACGTGCTCTCGGCGATGCTCAGCTGCTGGTCGTTGATCATGCCATAGTCGTGGTCAAAGTACCCGTACGTGAATGGCACTTGGTCAATGTAGCCGAGCGGCGCCGAGAGCGTCTGGCCCTCCAACGGCGCGTACAGCGGCCCACGCTCAGCCGTCACGAGGCGCGGGTACCCGTTGCGCTGGAAGTTGTACACAGCGCGCCGGCTGCCCGCCGTGTGGTTCATCGCGGGCACGCGGACCATGCGCAGGTCCGCCGGGTTCAAGCCCGCGTCGTTCGTGTGCGAGACCAGCACCGAGCCATCGATGGTCGCCTTCTTGCCGACAGAGATGACGGTGCACGCGTCGACAGCGACAGCGGTCGCCAAGAGCCCACCGAGAACTACGCGCATCGGCCGAAATTTGCAAGTGATGGAAGATCGCCATGGCGCCTGGTATCCGGATGACCGCGCCGACCATACAAAAATAGAGATGGTTTGGTGGTTGAAGCCGCGACCGTCCGGATACCATCCCGTGCTTGTGGTTTGTATCGAGTTGAAGTTGGCGCCGTTGGCGGGATTCCAAGGTCACCAAGCCATCATGTCATCGCATCATGGCCCGCGCTTCTTAGCGTTCTTATAGACACGGGGAAGCTAGTGGTCGCGGCGCCATGGGCACGGCGCATGTCGTAAGCGGTCCAAACGACCCGAAGACCACGACGGTGGGCGCAAAGTCGGGCGGTCGAAGCAGCGCGGCCACCGCGTCCAAGCGCGCATCTACGCAGCTCATGACACTCTGTGCAGAGATGATGAGGATGATAGGTGATGAAGCGCACAGGACTGGGCAGCGGCGACGCTGTACCGGGGCGGGTGTGAGAGACGCTTCTTGCACGAACGACGCACGCGCCGCGGTGTGGCTTGGCGCGTCCTCGCCAAAACACTCGGCGTGGCGCGTTATGGCTCTCGACAGTGTTCGCAGCCCGTGGCAGCAGCAGGCTCGGCGAAGCGTTGGCGTCGGTGGCGGCGTCGTCGGCTGCGTCGATATCCAGGGGTGTCGATGGCACGACGTCATCGGACGAGGTCGGCTCGTCGTCGTCGTCGTCCGAGTCACTTAGAACGATCGAGTTGCGCTCCGCGCGGGCGTACGCTCGGGTGTTGCGCACGATGTTGGGATCGCGGCGTCGGCGTCGGCGCTCGTGTGGCGTCGTGGCGGGTGTTGCTGCCGTCGGCGACTCCACGGGTGATGGCGCGCGCCGACGCATCATGCGCTGGTACCTACGCCCATGGACCATGAGCAAGCAGCCTCTCCGCTTAAGCATCTGCGTACAAGAGGTCGAACTCGGCCTGGCGCAGGCTGGCGTCCACGTCGTCGTCGGCCATCGCGACGTGCCGAATTGGCCACCAATTGCGCCAAATTGAGTCCACTAAATATGGCATGTGCCGAACCCTCGTTGCGCGGCAACTCGAAGTGGATAGATCGAAGTTTCATCCACAATGAGTGTTTGGCTCCACTTCGACTTCGATCCACGGGCAGTTGCGATCTTGCAGAGGAAGCCACAGATCTACACCATGCGGAAGCAGCAGTTGCAGCGGTCGACGCCGACGAACCGCGCTAGAGGGCATGGGCTTGACGTTGCAGACGACCATGGCGCTGTGGCCATCTCGGACGACGAGCCCGACGCGATCATTCCCGACGACGTCAAGGCCTACTTTGCCGGGCGCATGGAGGGCTCGCCGTCGACGTACACGATGGTGCAGGTGTGCGAGCACATCTTGGAGCTGCTCGTGCAGCTCTCGCAGCGCGAAGGCACGCTGCTGCCGCTGACCTTGCGCGCCCGTGCGATCGCAGACGGCTTGAACCTTCCACGCCGGCGCATCTACGACGTGCTGCACATCTTCGACGCGATTGGGCTCGTCACGCGCGTCCCAAAAGGAAAAGGGTACTGGTACTATGGCGAAGGCAACATTGTGCCCACGCTCGAGCAGCTCCGGGCGCGCGCCATGGCGGCGGTGGCCGACGTGCGCACTGCAAGCGTCGAGCAGATTGTCCGCATCCTCACACCGGACGCTCCGACCAAAGACGCAGGAACCGCGCTCTTGCGCACGACGACCAAGCTCCTCCGGATCCTCTTTGCAGCCGATCGGCCCGTTCTCCAGTCGGAACTCCGGCTCGTCGACGACAACGGGTCGGTGGCGTCGGCGTTGGCGCCGGCGCAGGATCGGCGCACGTACGACGTGCTCACCGTGCTCGCGCGATGCAACGTGGTGCAGATTCGTACGTCCAACGGCGGTCCGAAGCGCGTGAGCATCAACCCGTCGCTCTTCTCGCCCGCATTTTCGCTCTTCGTACCGCCGCCGAGCGTTTCGACCAAGCGCAAGGGCCTGCGCTCGATGACAGCAACGACCAAGTACCGTGCCAAGAAGCGCCGCAGCAGCAACACTGGCGTGCCCGGCTGGCGCGACTACCCGAGCTTCCTCACGCTGCCCATGTCCGAAAGCGTCTCGAGTGCGACCGACGCCGCCATGGCACTCGTCGACTGGGACACGCGTGGCGACTTTTGGGGCCCCGAGACGGCGGTCGATGCGCTCTTCCCGGTGCTGGACGACGGCGGGACATGCTGCGACCTCGACGCGCTCCTCGCATCCGACGACTGGGACGTCTAATAGCATGCTACGTTGGATTCATTCTTGCGTTGCAGCGGGCCAAAGAGCGGGCGATGGCGCCACAGATCGTTTCTCATTGGTGGAAAAAGAGCCGGCGGTGGGCGGGGATTGGCTAAAATCCTGGGGCCGGCCCGATTATGACCTTGCACAACGTGTTTCAATCTTGGCAGCATGGATCGGCAAGGCGCGGGGAAGGGGCGGAGGCTCCCGAGCATGCATGTGGCGATCAAGCCGCGGACATCGGCCAAGCTCGCCAAGCGCGACGACGACGCGGACCCGTGCTCGCCGAGCGCGTCCAAGGAGCTCAAGCTGCGCTTCGCGCGCCGGGCGGTCGAGATAGGCACCAAGACCATCTCGAACGTGTGCGAGCTCGTGCTCGAGCTGCTCCGTGAGCTCCAGGAGGCGTGCACCGAGTTCCCCGTCGCGCTCCGCGCCAACTGGATGGAAGAGGTGCTCGGCCTGCCGCGACGCCGCATCTACGACGTCTTGCACATCCTCCAAGCCATCGGGCTCGTCACCAAGCGCGTCTCGTCCGACGGGCTCACCGGCCACGGCCACATGTTCTACGGCGACTACTTTGTCGTACCAACCGTGCGCAGCATGCTCGAGCTCCAGGAGAACAACGTGCCCTTGAACGACGCTGCCGCCGACGACAAGTGGCCAGCGCTCTCGCTGGCGACCGTCAAGTTTATCAAGTTTCTGCTCTTGAATGGGAACGCGATCCGGCGCCACCTCATCCACACGATCGAAGACGAGAAGCCGACGGCCGCGATCCCGGCCTCAAAGGGCCGACGCATGTACGACGTCCTCGCCGTCCTCGTGCAGTGCAACATTGTCTGGACCAACACGGACATGGGCGTCAAGTACATCTACTTGAACCGAGACGTGCTCAACCCCAAAGCCAACTTTAGCGTCTTCCGCGACCCGGACGCGCCGCCGACCGCAGTCGTAGCGCCCAAGAAGCGCGCGCGCAAGGAGCCGCCGCCCGCCCGCCGCACGAAGCACCGCCCGGCCTGCGACGAGACGCTCACGGGGCTCTTTGGCGGGTGCCAATGCGGCTACGCGCCCGAGCTCGCGTCACCGGACGCGCAGTGGCAGTCGCTTCTGACGCTCGGCGCGTCGATCGTCGACGCGTGGAGCACGCGCGACCGGGATTGTCTCTCGCTCGAGTGCTACGAAGGCGTAGCGTCCGTCGACGACTTTGTCTGAGACGCTCGACGTTGTTATTTATTCGTCCTATCTTACTTAATCGACCCAGTGCTTGCTTTGACCCAGTACTTGCTTTGACCCGGTTGATGCGGCGACTGTCCATAGCCCGCGATCCTAGTGAGCATCACGGCGCAAGCATCCAATCCTGGTTGAAGGCGGTCGAGAGACATACTACGCGTCCAACATGCAACACAAAGGCGTCAAATACGAAAATCACATGAAAGAGAGAAAAGGCGAGTAGGTAGAATGAGTAAAATAGGTAATAGTGGTGCAGAGAGGGGTGGGGGTGGCGCACGCGCACACCCCCGCTGGCAAAAATTGCGCTGTGGAGGAACCCGAAGGCACTCCTAGGCCATTACAGCACCGGAGTGCATGAAGGCCTGCTCCGGCCCAAGTCAACCCCCTGAGTTGATCAGGGTCGAGCTCCAGCCAGGTAAGTATGATTAGCCTATTGAGGATTGCCATTATTCATACAAAAATATTCAAGTCATTTGTTCCCCACGTAGCTTTTGCGAACGCCGCCAAGGCACGGAGATAGTGTGCTAACACGATTTAAAGTGTTTATGCGTGGCGCGCACGCGCGTCGATAAATGTCTCGCGCCAAGTGCACTCGCACCGACGAAGTGAAATAGTGTACGACGCTTCAGAAACCTTGCACCCTTGATGTATGGATCGTACACTAATTCGCGAAGCTGGGTTGCGTGGAAATAGCCAACGGCAAATCGGACTTCCTTGCATTTCCACATAACCGCAACGAGGTCCATGAGTCGCGTCGATGATGGCCGCGAGGTAGACTACCAGAAGCGGCTGGAGGAGCTACGCCAGACGCGCGAGATGGAGCGAGAGCAGGCCTTGGTCGAGAGCGAGGAGGCGGGCGAAGCGTACGTGGCGCCGCAGGACGAGCTCTTGGAAGATGGCTTGGCCGTGCCCGCGCGGGTCTGGTCAGCGCTCTTCCCGCACCAGAAGGAGGGCATCCAGTGGCTCTACCAATTGCACATGCAGAACGCCGGCGGGATCCTGGGCGACGACATGGGCCTCGGCAAGACGGTCCAGATTGCCGCGTACCTCGCGTGCCTCCAGAAGATGCAGCTCGTGCACTCGGTGCGCCCTACTACAGTACATGGCCTCGCTTATCCGCACTACGGACTAGGTGCTGCTGGCGTGCCCAGCCTCGGTGCTCTGGCAGTGGGTCCGCGAACTCCACAAGTGGTGCCCCGAGTTGCGCGTCGTGCTGTTGCATTCGTCGGGCGCCTCGAGTACGAGCTACGGCACGACGATCAAGCACACGTTCGAGGCTGGCGGTGTGCTCCTCACGACGTACGAGAACCTGCGCGCGAACGCCGAGCACCTTCTCGGCAAGGAGTGGGACTATGTCATCCTCGACGAGGGCCACCGGATTCGCAACCCGGACGCTGAAATCACGCTCGTCTGCAAGCAACTCCGTACGGTCCACCGCATCATCCTGACCGGGTCGCCCATCCAGGTAAGCATCGATCCATCACTCGTGTGTATCAAGAACTGTCGCTAGAACCGCCTCAAAGAGCTCTGGAGTCTCTTTGATTTCGTGTTTCCCGGCAAGCTCGGGACCTTCCCGACGTTTGAAGACGAGTTTGTGCTGCCGATCCGCCACGGAGGGTACGCCAACGCGACCAAGATGCAGATCCTCATGGCGTACAAGTGCGCGCTCGTGCTCCGGGACCTCATTGCGCCCTACATGCTGCGGCGACTGAAGAAGGACGTGCAGATTGCCACGGCGCTGCCATCGAAAATGGAGCAAGTGATCTTTTGCCCGCTCGCGCCGGCCCAAGCCCGCATCTACCGCGCGTATCTGGCGTCGCCCGAGGTGCGCTCAGTGCTCGCTCGGGACATTCGGCCGTTCCGGGCGCTCACGATCCTGCGGCAGATCTGCAACCACCCAAGCTTGATGACCGACCACGTTCTGAATGACATGGCGGAGGACGATGATGCGGATGTGATTGCGCAGTCGGGCAAGCTCACGGTGTTGCAGACAATCCTCGATGTGTGGTTCAAGCAGCGCCACCGCGTCCTCGTGTTTGCGCAGCACCGGCGGACGCTGGACCTGCTCTCGAAACTGATGGGGACGCTCGGCTACCGCTACTGCCGGCTCGACGGCACGACGTCGGTCAAGGAGCGGCAGACGCTCATTGACGCGTACAACGACCCGACCTCCGACCTCTTTTGCTTTCTCTTGACGACCAAGGCCGGCGGCATTGGCGTCAACTTGACGGGCGCCGACCGCGTCATCATCTTTGATCCGGACTGGAACCCAAGCACGGACATGCAGGCGCGCGAGCGGGCGTGGCGCATGGGCCAGACCAAGCAGGTGACGATCTACCGGCTCATCACGTCGGGCACGATCGAAGAGAAGATTTACCACCGCCAGCTCTTCAAGCAGTACCTCATGAACAAGGTGCTGCGCGACCCGAAGCAGAAGCGGTGCTTCAACCACAACGCGCTCCGAGATCTCTTTACACTCAGCGACGGCACTGAGCTCCACGTCGACGACGCCGGCAACCAGATTGCGACCACCGGCACCGAAACCGGCGACTTGTATCTGCACGGACACGTGGCGCCGCCGCCCAAGCTGGACGACGAGACTCCACCGGAGAATGACGTGGCGCTCTTGCAGTCGTCGCTGGGCAGCGTGGCGCGCGTCGAGCGCCGTGTCGTCGAGACGGACGAGGTGGACGACGACGACGACGTGGACGCTGAGATGGACGACGCCGAGCCCAAGGCCGACGACGGCGGCAAGGACAACGCGGAGCTGCTCCAAACCCTCTTTGACGGCGGCAGCATCAAGGGCGTGTTTAGCCAGGACCGCATCGAGAGCGACGGCGTGCACAACCAAGAGGCCGATTTGATCGAGATCGAGTCGGCCAAAGTCGCCAAGTCGGCGCTGAGTACGCTGCGCCAGTCGTGCAGTGCGATTCGGCAGCAGCGCGAAGATCAGTTTGAAGTCACGTGGACGGGCAAGAGCGGGAGTGCGGGGAAGCGGCTCTTTGGGGCACCCGCGCGCGGCCTCAAGCGCAGTAGCCACGAGCACGCAGCGATCCAGTCGAGCGCGATGCTGCAAAAGATCAAGAAGCGTCGGGATGCCATCGATGGCACCAACAAGGTGCGGTCGGCGGTCGCGTCGGTCAAGTACCAGAGCATTGACGAGCTCACCAAGCAGCTCCACACGTTTCTCGAGCGCCAAGATGGCGTCAAGACGGACGTGATCATCGCCAAGTTTGCGCCGGCGGTCTCGCCCAAGGACAAGGACGTCTTCCGCAACCTGCTCCGGAGTATGGCGACGTGCGAGGGCCGCGTGTGGCGACTCAAACCCGAGTTTCGCACTTCACACCACTAAGATAGTACGAGGTATATATAAGAACTTGTTATGTGTACTACTACTTAAATGGGTCTGGCGTGGGATCGGGACAGGCCCGGTGGTGGTACTGGACTGAGACGCGAGTGGCTGGCTACTCCCGACCTTCTTCGTCCTTGACCCGTCGCGCACTAGCTTGAAGAGGCGCATGAAGGTTGCTGCCTGCAACCTTGATGAAGGTCCGTCGCGATCTTCCAGCAGCGGCTGCACCTTGCACCGGCTGTTTCGCCGACGGACGCAATGCTAGGGCAAGCGTCGCTTCTCGCTTGTGGTCAGCGCACGCAGCTGCCCGCCGCCCAGGAGCCGGCGCTTGCCGCCCATGCACCGACGCTTGCCTTGGCTTTTATGGAGGCCATCGACAGCGTCGGACTGCAGGAAGCTCAGGTGTCCCTCGCGATGTGAGTAAGCTCTATGACAAGTGTATGAAATCTCAGTTTTAGGGAGGATCTCCTGGACAATGTCGTCGTAAGCGATTGGATTGGCGCTATTCTTAGATCAACGTGTTGTGATTAGTTGGATCTCAAATCGGCCCGATGGCTACTCGAGAGGTATACAAACCGCAAGGTGTTTGCGATGCGTCAGCACCCCTCGCGGTCGCGCTACTTGATCCTCGCACAATGATTGGGCACGACCCGCGGCGTTGTAACGCTGGCTTGTATTGTATTTTCGACCTTTATATTCGATGTTTGTATGCGAAATTGAATATGCGGAATAAAAAGACATGAGGTAGAGTCCCGACCCCAAGATAGAACCCACTTCATCATCTGGCTCGCCATCCTCGGACTGCCGCGGTGCTGGCCGCGATGACCAACGACGACGTGCGCATGGAGCACATCCAGGAGTGGATCGAGGCGACGGTCGACGTGCGCTTCGATGGCAACATGTGGGCGCTCCTTAAAGACGGCCAAGTGCTCTGCAAGCTGGCCAACTCGCTCAACGCGGCCATCCGCGTCAACAAGCTCAAGACCGCCTTCCACTGCAAGGAGAACATCCAGGCCTTCATTACATGGGCGAAAAGCGTCGGCGTGCCCGACGGCGACCTCTTCCACGTGCACGACTTGCAGTTTGAAGAAAACATTGGCGCGGTCCTGCGCACGCTCGCGGCCTTGTACACGATGTTTGCCGAGGAGATCCGCGCGTCCGTGCGCGTCTCGACAAACCACGGACCGGCGCTCGCGAGCTCGTACGACAGCGACGACGACTCGGGCTTTGGCGACCTCCACGACTCGGAACCCGACGACGAGCCCGACTTGTACGACCTCTCGATCGTGCGCGAGAACCGGTCGTCGTCCAAGCTCGCGGCCTTTCTCAAGTTTGTTCCAATCCAGTCGACGACGAGCAAGCACAAGGCGCCGCCCGTGCCCGAGCACGTCGAGCCGCCGCCGCTGGAGATTCCGATTACGGTCAAAGCGTCGCCCGCGCCCACGACGCCGTCGCCACGAAAGATGCCCACGACGCCGCCGCCAAAGGTGGCGCCGCCACCCGAGCCGGTCGCACCGAAAGGCAACAAGTTCAAGCTGAGCAACTTTCTCAACAAGGCCAAGTCGACCATGAAGCACAAGGAGTCGCCCAAAAAGTCGCCGAAAGAGTCGCCCAAAACGTCCGTGTCGCCGATCGTGACCAAGCCGTCGCCCAAGCTGCAGACGCCAAAGGTGCAGACGCCTCAGACGCCCAAGGTCGCGACGCCCAAGGCACCGACGGTAGTCGTGGCGCGGGCACCACCGCCGGCGACGGTCGAGCCACCAAAGCCTGCGACCAAGGCGGTGACGCCCATCAAGAGTAAGACGGCGCCGCCGCCGATTCAGACAACGGCCGACGATGACAGCGATGATCCGATGACGCCACCGTCGTCACCCAAGCCCGTCGTGGCGAGCTCGACCGTGCCGCCGGTCGGCAACACCAAGCAAAAGCTCAGCGCGTTCCTGGCGCAGACGCCCGTGGGGAAGCCGATGGTCATGTCGGCGCCGTCGTCGCGGAACGAACCGGGCAAGACGTCGCCTGGTGTCGCGGCCAAGATGGCCATGCTCCGGAACAACGGCGTCGCGCCGCCATCCACGACGACCGCACAACAATCCACCGAGGAACCTTTGCCTCTTCAACTGAGCAAGCCGCGCGGTCCGGTCAAGACACAGCGCCGGTCGTCGACGAGCCCCAAGGCCGTGGTGTCGTCGCCGGCCGTGGTATCATCGCCGGCGATCGTGCCACCCGTCGCCGCCGCCGCACCGACGAGCAAGCTCGGCAGCTTTCTCCAAAAGGCGCCGGCGTCCGACCCGCAGCGGATGCTGGCCAACATTATGATGAACCGCGTGCCACAGACAAAGGCGCACGTCGCGGACGACGACGACAACGACAGTGGGGACGAGGCGCTGCTGACGCCACCGGCTTCGCCAACGCCTGCTCCGGTCGTCGCCAAGCCCGCTCCCGTCGTCGCCAAGCCTGCTCCCGTCGTCGCCAAGTCGGTGCCACAGCCGTCGCCCGTGTCAGCGACACCGTTGCAGAACAAGTTGGCGAGCTTCATGGCCGCCGTGCCGCCCACTGCTGCGGCCGCCGCCCCCAAGTCGAATGGCGGGTCCAAGCTCGCCGCCTTCTTGTCGTCGACCGGCGTCCCGCGCAAGCCGTCGGTGGTTGCTGCGCCGTCGTCGTCGTCGTCGTTTGTGGCGCCGGTGCTCGTCAAACCGTCGCCGCCGCCGACAAAGCGCGTCCGTCGCGCCCCTCGGTCGACGCTGAGCAACAACTGGGTCCTGTCCGACCAGCGCTTCTCGTACGCTACGCGCCAAGCCTCGTCGAAGCCCTTTGACAAGGAAGGCGCGCGCCGGCGGTTCCTCCAGAACCAGCTGCGGCTTAAAGCCGAGGCCAAGCACAGTGTCGGCAAACACCAAAAGACGGCCAACGTCTGCGCACCCGGCATGCTCTGCTACGTGCCCGACGAGACGGACACGTGGCTGCTCGCCGAGGTCGAGTCGGTCGACACGCGTCGGAAGCACGTCAAGGTCAAGCTCATCGAGGGCGCCGCCGAAGCGCGCGTCGTCGACCTCACCAACATGGACGTTGTCCGGGCGATCGGCGGGCCGCAAGCGACCGAGATCGACTCGCTGCCGTTGGCGATCACACACAGCAACAGCGACGGCGTCGAGGACATGCGCAACCTCCGTTTTCTCAACGAGCCGTCCATCATGTACAACCTCAAGCGCCGCTTCGAGGCCGCCCAGCCCTGTACTTTATTTCGTTTTCTTGGCGATTAGATGGATGTTGACGGGCGGTGTGTTTAGATACGTACAGCAATGACATTGTGATTGCCGTCAATCCGTACCAATGGCTCGGACACCTCTACGGCGAGGGCCTCCACGCACAGTACCTCCAGCAGCCGCGGCACAACCTGCCGCCCCACGTGTACGCGACGTCGACGGCCGCGTACAAGAGCATGACGGCGACGCGTCGCAACCAGAGCATCCTCGTGAGTGGCGAGTCGGGGGCCGGCAAGACCGAGACGACCAAGATCCTCATGAACCACCTCGCGACGGTCGCCGGCGGCCGCGACGACTCGACGATCGCGCGCGTCATCAACGTCAACCCGCTCTTGGAGTCGTTTGGCAACGCCAAGACGCTCCGGAACGACAACTCGAGTCGCTTTGGCAAGTTTACGCAGCTCCAGTTTCGCGACGGCAAGCTCCGTGGCGCGTGCTGCGAGACGTATTTGCTGGAAAAGTCGCGGGTCGTGTCGTTTGCGCCGGGCGAGCGCAACTACCACATCTTTTACCAGCTCCTCTCGGGTCTCCCGGCGACAACGACCGCGTCGCTGCAGCTCCATGCAACCGCGAGCTTCCGGTACACGGGCGATGTGGCCGCCATGACGATTGACGGCATTGACGACGCCAAGTGGATGGCGCAGACGCAGCTGTCGCTTGGTCTCATCGACCTCGATGCGCGCTTCCAGCAGTGCGTTCTTATTCTTGTCGATTGGACGAGCTGATTGGGATCTATGATCGTAGGACGCTCTTTGAGGTGCTCGCCGGGATCCTGCACCTCGGCAACCTCGATTTCGCGCCAACGGGCGAGAACGCGTCGCGCGTCGCCAACCCCGAGTCGCTCTCGGCCGTCGCGTCGCTCTTGGGCCTCGCGCAAGACACGATCGCGACCGCGTGCTGCAACCGCACGGTCGTTGCGCACCGGGACGCCGTCGTTGTCCCTTTAAACGTCGTCGAGGCGGCCGAGAACCGCGACGCGCTCGCGAAAGCCATTTACGCGAGCCTCTTCGATTGGCTCGTATCGCGGATCAACGGCGCCATGTCGATCGACGACGCGTCGACGCAGATCGGCGTCCTCGACATTTTCGGGTTCGAAGACTTTGCGCACAACGGGTTTGAGCAGTTTTGCATCAACTACGCCAACGAGAAGCTGCAGCAAAAGTTTGTGCAAGACGTCTTCTCGACGGTCCAGGACGAGTACACGCGCGAGGGGCTCGTGTGGGACCACATCTCGTATGCGGACAACCAAGGCATTCTGGACCTCATCGAAGGCAAGCTCGGCATCATCAACCTCATGAACGACCATTTGCGCCAACCCCGGGGCACGGAAGAGGCGCTCGTCAACAAGTTTCGCACGAAAGACAACACGATCATCTCGTTTGCCAAGGTCAAGCGCACGCAGTTTACGATCCGCCACTACGCCGGCGCGGTCACGTACGAGACGGTCGGCTTTATGGAGAAGCACCGCGACGCGCTCCTGCAAGATTTGCTCGACCTCGTCCGGTCGAGTACAAAAGCCTTTGTCGTGTCGCTCTTCCCGCTCGAGGTGGCGCCGCCGCCGACCAGCGACGAGCCGGACGCGCTCGCGTCGACGCCGTCGCCCAAGTCGAAGCTCGAGGCGTGGGTCAAGAAGCCCGAGCCAAAGCCTCTGTTGGAAGGGCGCAAGAAGGCGCTGCCACCCAAGACGCTCGGGTCGCAGTTCAAAGCGTCCCTGAGCTCGCTCATGGACACGATCGGCTGTACGCAGGTCCACTACGTGCGCTGCATCAAGCCCAACGCGGTCAAGAGCCCGAGTGTGTTTGACAAGCCGATGGTCGTCGCGCAGCTCCGGTCGGCCGGCGTCATTGACGCGATCCGCATCTCGCGCGCCGGGTATCCATCGCGGCTCACGGCGCACGAGCTCGCGACGCGGTACGCGACCATGCTGCCGCCGTCGATGCTCACGGGGCAGGACGACGCGTGCGACGCGTTCATGCGGGCGACGGGCCACTCGTCGCCCGTCGAGTTTCAAATGGGCAAGAACCTCGTCTACTTCAAGGCGGGCGTCCTCGAAGAGCTCGAGCTCATGAAGTCGGACTTTTACTACGAGCAAGCGACGCTTGCGCAAAAGGTCGTGCTCGGCTTCCTCGACCGCATGCGGTTCCGCAAGACGATGGCCGCCGTGCTCTCGCTCCAAGCCTTTGGCCGCATGCTGCTCGAGCGCTGCGTGTTTACAAAGCTCAGGGCCGCCGCCGTTAAGATGCAGCGTGTTCGCCGCTACTACAAGGACCGCGACGCGGTACTAGCGGCGATGCGCGCGCGCCTCGCGGCCCGGGAGGCGCAGCGGGCGGCCGACGAGGCCAAGCGTATCGCGGTCGAAGAGCGGCGCATGCCGGCGTGGGACTCGAACTCGGCGCTCTCGTCGCCGCGGTCGCTGCCGTCGCCCATGACATCGCCCGAGGCCAGCGAGACCAAGGGCAGCTTCCGATCGGCGGCGTACAGTCGCGCCAGCGACGCGGCGGCGACCGCCAAGGCGCTCTTGGCGCACGGCGACGCCGTGTGTGCGAGCTGCAAAGCGCTCGGGAAGAGCCACGCGTCGCTCGAGGACCAGATGGCCAAGCTCCAGGCCGAGAACGCGCGCCTGCGACGCTTGCTGGTCGACCACAGCATCAACCCGGACGACGACGACGGCGTGTATGTGTAGTAGCCGCACAGTCTTATAATTTACACGACTATACGTCACAGATATGGATGATTAGACGACGACGGCGGTGGTAGGGGGCAGCATGGAGCGGTAGGCGTCGGAGGCCGCCGGCGGACGACGCCGGCAGGTGCGTGAGCACCATAGACAGGTGCGCCGGAGTCGGAGGCCAAAGCCTTGCTGGGCCATCGGTCGCGGCTCGCCCGTGATGGCGCACAGGCCCGGCTAAGAGGAGGAGGCAGTGGGAAAGGAGGTAGGATGGAAAAGAAGCGACGTACGAGGCAGCCCGTGACGACCATCGAGAGGGCGACCAGCGTCAGCAAGACGGTACTGACGATCGCGAGGATGTAGCCCGAGCCGGCGCCGGTGAAGACGTCGGTGAACGAGACGTGCCAGTGCAGCACGGCGCCCATGCCGAAGAGCGCTACGTCATCATCGTATCAGTCGTAGCGGACAACGTACTGTACCGCTGACAAAGTAGATGAAGCTCGGGAGCGCGGCCACGTGCTTGGAGACGAGCACGTCGCGGAGCAAGAAGGAGAGACCGACGCAGAGCGCGATGAGCGAAAAGACGGTCGCGGCGATGAGCAGGTAGGCCACTTGCACGCGCGCGTCCGTGTGGCCGCAGATGGTGCGGACGGTCGCGAGGTCGCTGCGCGTCGTCGGTGGCGCGACGATCGTCGTTTCGCTCAGCACCAAGCAGCTCGATCGGTTCGTGAGCACGACGGTGCAGACGTCGCCCCACGTGCCCGTCGCGTTGGCGGTCGTGCCATTGCAGTTGACGGCCACGGCGAGGCTGAAGAGGCCGGCGCTGACCGGCCCGTGGCTGATCCAGTCGGTCTGCGCGAGGCTGTAGATCCAGAGGCCCGAGGCCACGACGCCCACGAAGAGCTGGTTGGCGTTGAGCCGCAGCTCCGTCTCGCCGGCCCACGGGACCATCGTGCAATGGCCGATGCAACGGCTCGCTCTGCCTGGAAATACTGTACGGCTGAAAACACGCAATTAAATCCACTCCAGCGACAGAAACTTCAAGGCTTGGAGAGAGACTGCGCATCCATACTATATGGCGCACGTATTGTGGGGTCGTGCGCTGCGTGCAAACGGCACCGGCATGTGCAGCGTTGCCGCCGAGCACCTAGTCCTGGTTCCACATGCGTGTGCGGCGTTCTTCTAGACCGTACACTATTTCAGGAAGCTTGCCGGACCAGCCTACCTGCACGCGATTGGTGCGTTGGCGCCAATCACGCGCATGCTACACTTATACATTGATACTGGTCGATGACAAGCGTCTTAGTTAGTTAGTTGAGTTCTTGCTTGATGTAGATAATGCACAGTTTACGCTTCGACGTCGTCGTCTTCCGTGGCGCCTTCGTCGTCGTCGCCGGTACCTTCTTCGTCGTCGTCGCCGGTACCTTCTTCCTCGTCGTCCTCGGTCTCTTCGTCGTCGTCGTCGCCGCCAAACTGCTCCTTGGCCGCGTCAACGACCGCGCGCAGGATCTGCTCCTGCGCGTCCTCGTCCGGGTCTTCGCCATTCTCTTGCTTGAAGCGCGCGCAGGCGGCTTCAAAGAGGCCGTTGATGAGTTCGTCCATGCCTTCCTGGTCGAGGCCGCCGATCGCTGCGACGCGCTCCGCCGCTTCCTTCTCGAGCTCGGCCATCTCGTCCTCGTTGGGCTTGCGGCCATGTTCCTCCTCAAACTCCTCGACGAGGTAGTCGAGCGCCGCTTGCGCAGGGTCGTCCTGGTTGGCCATCTCGTTCGCGACGCGCGTCTCGATCTCCTTGAGTTCCTCCTCGTTGGGCTCGCGACCTGCAAGACGACAAGTCAGTCGAGGATGATGCGTGGAGACAGGATAAGTACCTTCGTTCGCGTCCTTGAACTCTTGGATGAAAAAGTCGACCGCGGCCTTGCGGTACCCCTCCTCGTCTTCCTCGTCTTCGTCCGACTCTTCCTCGTCGGACGGCGGCTCCCACTCGGGAATCTCGAGCTTCAAGAACGCTTCGTACTCTTCGAGCGTAAAGTCCTTGTGGTCGCCATTGTCGTCGCAGCGGAAGAGGAGGATGTCGCCCTTGATCTGGCCAAGGCGGCCATGGAACGGCGGCTGGAGCTTGTGGGTCGTGAGCGCGACGCCCGAGTCGTCTTCCTGGTGCTCCGGGTTGCACATGATCATGACGTTGAGGTCCTCGTACTGGCCGACAAAGGTGTGGTCGCCGCCAAGCAGCGCCTGGACGGCCTGCTTGCTCGGCGTAAAGTCGACGTCGATCTCCGTCTTCTCGCCCGCCTGCTTGAGCAGGACGCACTTGACGACCGGGCCTTCCGCGCTCATGACGGCCTCAATGTCGAGGCCGGCCATGAGCTTGGCCTTCTTGGGCGACGAGCCCTTGCCGTCGTTAGCGCGCTTCTTGTCGTTGGCCATGGCGTCGGGTTGGCAAATGGAGATTTGGCTGGTGCGAGCGTGGCCCTACACCGGACCTACGCTTTTTTGCATGGGACCCCCCCTCACCTACTCGTTTTTATATCGATGTTTGTAAGCGCCATAGGGGTGGGCCCGGTCGGATACAAAATCGTTGAAGTGGGCACCGCTTTGAATCTCATGGCCGCAAGATCGGTGGCCATGAAGCGGGTGCAACAGCCTCTGCCGCAGCCGACACGTCCCGAGACAAGCGCACCACCCGTCGCATGCATTAGCAGCAGCAGCAGGTACAGTAGTCGTTGCATCAGTGGGAGGGCCACGCTCCAGAGGCGACCAGCTACGACCACCATTGGCATCGTGCGGAGGTGCGGAGGCGTGGCACCTGGTGGGCCGCCCCGTATGAGCGGGATGGCGAGCCTGGTCGTCAAAGCGTGACGCCCTCCGATCATGCTCAAGACGCCGATACCAATGGTTAGACTCGTCCATATCCACGCTACGACATCGTCCTACGGCGGCGTGATGGAGAGGAGCTCGACTTCAAAGAGCAAGTCGGCTTTGGCGGGGATGCCCGACCGGCCTTTCTCGCCGTACGCGAGCGGGTACGGGATGAAGATCGAGGCCTTCTCGCCGAGGCTGAGCTGCGGAATGCCCATTTCCCAGCCCTTGATGACGCGGTTCTGGCCAATCGTGAAGCTGAACGGGCGGTTCGCACGGCGCGACGAGTCGAACTGCGTCCCGTCCTTGAACGTCCCGACATCTAGTAGTTCATCGCATATCAGCTTCAGAATACGTCGTCGAGGTCGACGTACAGTGCACCGAGACCGTGTCGCCAGCCTTGGGGAACGTCTTGCCGTCGCCCGGCGACAGAACGTCGATCGTGAGCCCCGACGACGCCGCCGGCGACGGCAGCGACTTGCCGTTGATCGCCATGAGGTAGACCTCAAAGATGAGGTCGGCGAGCGGCGGGATGTCGCGGCCCGCGCCCGTCTCGCCGTAGCCGAGCGCCGACGGAATGTACAAGTTGGCCGTCTCGTTGAGCGTCATCTTGGCGAGGCCCTGGTCCCAGCCCGCAATGACCATGCCCTCGTCGAGGTTGAACACGAACGGCGAGTTGCGGCTGTAGCTCGAGTCGAAGAGCTTGTTGTCGCTCGCAAGGCGGCCCGCGTCTACAGACAATGGTCAAGTCCATGCGCGAACGCTTGCTACGTCGTACAGTGAACAGTGAGGCTGTCGCCCTTCTTTGGGTACGTCACGCCGTCGCCCGCATGCAGGACCTCGACGACGACCGCGTTGGCGTCGACGGCCCGCTGGAGCAAGGCAGCCGGCGACGGCGACGTCGGCCCGGCCGGCGCGAACGAGACAAAGTTGTAGGCCACGGCAAAGAGGCAAAGCACGGGCAGCACGTAAACCCAGCGGCGGCGCCAGTCGTGGTCCAGGCGCGGGTAGGCCACAGACGGCTTGGCCCCGCGGGGGCTTGTCGCGGTCACGGGCTCGTACGCGTTCATCATCATTCACCTCGACGGTTTGTCCCAGATCTTCGATTTCCAACACACCTTGCATGTGGCAGGAGGTGGTTTGTCCCGAGTAATTAACTGGGAACAACCTCTTCTCCGCTGGCGTCGCTGTGACGTCGTGCTGATACTAGCAGCACCCGCCAACGCTGATCGCTCCACCCACTAACCTTAGTATAGCCACCGCGAAGCCACAGATGACCGGCTACTGTTCAGCCTCCTGCACAAGGCTGAGAGTCTCAACCCTGCGCAAGGGCTCTCAAGCTCAGAGCACTTCCAACGGCCTGTAACGCTAGATGGTCTTTTAAAGGTGGTATAGAGTTAAATGCCCAAAAGTGTATCTATTTACGATCCATCGAAGGTATTTCGCAATGCTTCGAGCGTTGGCGCTGGTCGCGGGCGTCGTCGCCGGCCAGAGCTGCAGCCCGACGTCCGTCTTCTCGTGCTACGACCCAGCAACGACCTGCGGTAGCTGCTCGCTGGCGGTGGCCACGCCACTGCCCACCTACGCCTCCTACCGCACCGCCTTTGCGCCGTGGAACGGCAGCTGTGAACCTGCAGTGGCCTCGTCGCTCTGCCCGCCTGGCGGTCCATGCTGCGTCGCCGTCGGTGGCACGCTCGCGCCGACGTCGCCGTTCCGAGCGCTCTGCGGCCGCAGCACGCCTCCGATCGCGCGCCTGCCCATGGTGGTCACCTCGAGCGGGACTGTTGTGACGCTGCCGGCATCGCTCACCGATGGCAGCAACGTGACACTCATCACCGACAGACCCGATGCGCCGCTCGAGTTGGCGCTCGCCAGCGGGTCGCTCAGCGTGCGCCCGGCGGACCAGCTGCTCACGTGGCGCAGTTCCGGCGGCGTCACTGTCACGGTCAACATCCCGTCACGGCTGCTCTGGAATGCAACTACTGACACCACATGGACCTTCTCCAACACGTTCAATGGCGTCTCGCTGTACGAAACAATCGTCATGACAACGACAACGTCCGAGCACCTCGTAGGCGCATCAACGGCTTTTCGGTGGCCGTGCTACCGACGACGCTTGCAGGTACAGTGACGCTACTGCCGTCAGCAAGCGGCGGCCCGTGGTGCTTGCACGACGCCTACGCGAGCCCGACCGGACGTCGGTCGTTGCCGCAAGTCTACTCGGCGCATGGGTGTGCCTGTCTGCCAACGTTTAGTAGCTCCATCGTTGCGTACAAGTACTGCAACCAAACAACGCTGTCGTGCGTGGTCGAAGACGCGTCGGCGTGTGCGTTGCCAGCCGCCAACGACGGCGTCGACACGTGCAACGGTATGCATATTGGGGTATTAACGCGATGCAAACACATTTTTTGGTGTCGGTAGTCGTGCGGGTCACGCTGTGGTGGCTTCCAGCGGGCCTCTACGGCAGCGTCCTCAATCTCACCGTGTACGACGAGAACGGTGTGTATATGGGCGCGCTGGCGTCGCCACCGATCGCCTCGATGCTGCAGTCGTGGACCCAACTCGACGTCGTCGTACCGTCGCTCGCGGCGACGTCGGTCGTCGGCCGCATCGACGTACGTGCAATTTGCTTTGGATACTTCAAAGCGACCGAGGTATGTTAGATTGACGTTGGCGGAGTCCGTGTCTGGAACTTTGTCCAAGCCGATGTCGCACTCAACGACGGCCCCATGCGCCGCTTTGCCGCGCCGCCTGTCGCGACCGCCGGAGGCTTTGTCGGCTCCGTGTCCATGCATCCGATTCCCACGCGAGGTAAACACGCGCCGACAATATCGTGAGAGCACACCATCGTGTATGGCAGATCTACGGGCGGTCGGCTGCAACCTGGCGTCGCCCGGCGCCTGTGGCTTGTACAACGCGAACCGCACTAGCTCGGCGCGCTGGTATGCGTCGATCGACGCGTCGTCCAAGACGCCGATGCTCTCGGTCGTTCCGTCGTCGTATGGGACGTCAAGCCCCCGCAACTTGCGCAATGCAGTGCCAAACGTCCAAGTGCCGTTGTCGGTGGTCGTCGCCAACGGGTTCCTTGACGGCAACGACCGCGTGCAAGTCGCTGTCGCCTTTGGCGCAGGTCGCATCGGGTGGATGGCCTCGACGTGTCAAATCGTTGTTGCAACCGCAACGTCGGTCGTCGACGTCGTTGCGTCCGAGAACGGGACCCAGTGGCTCGACTTGCCGCCGGGCAAATACGTGCTGCAGCTCACGATCCTGTCGATGGCAAATGCTACCTTGGACGCTGCATTTGTGCACGAAGACAACGACGGGGTCTCGCTAGGCGCGCTGCGGCTCAAGGCGCCGCCGGCCGTGGCCTTCCCACGCGACACTGTGACGACGGCGACGGCGACGGTACCCATCCCGATTGTCGACACAGTCTCGGACTTGACGATCACGCGAATTCGCTTGGTATGGAACTCGACACACTCGGTGGATGCGTGCGCGCTGCCGCAAACTTCGTATGCGACCAGTGCCGTGGCTACCGAGTGCACGTGGCCGTCGCTGCCAACGTCAGGAGTTGCCTTGTCGCCGCTGCCGTCGTTTGCAGGCTCTGTGCGCCTTCAGGTACGTGTCGAGTATATCGGTGGTGGCCAGATCTACGCGCTGGCCTATGCGTGGACCACGCACATCGTGGCGGTGGATGCCGGGCCGTTGGTCGTCGGCGCGTTTCCGAGTGCGCTCTCGACACACGGCGACGCGACACCACTGCGGTTGATCGTGCACCGGTGGCGCCCGCGCATGCTCGTGGAGCTCTCGTTGGCGCACGTCGACGGTCAGTGTCCGCTTCGATCTTTAACCGTTGGTGTTTTCACGTTAAGGCCCCACGAGACCAATGCTCGAACATGTGTCGTCAAGCTCCCGTCGTCTGTGTTCACAGCTGCGACCCCGACGGTGCAGGCAACCGTGCTCTGGCACCCGACCGTTGCTGGTTGGCTCGTCGGACGCGTTGGAACCTCGGGCGCCACCACGTTTTACGCTCGGTCCGTGGAAGTCTTTGTCGCATCGGCACCGCCGCTTGTGCCGAGTCTTGTTACGTGGACATCGGGAGCACATCCTGCAGCGATGACGTTGGAGGTGGCCATCGACCCCAGCGTCTGTGAGCTGCACGTGACCGTACCAGAGTGCCCTTTCCTGACGCCAACACTGCTGCCGTCCGTCACCAAGATGACAGCGGCAAACGAATGCAGCATCCACCTCTTTAGCCCGGCATCGGCGGTTGTTCGTGCGTGGTCGACGGTGCTGCCGACAGGCACTAGGGTCAAGCTGACCGAAATTGGTTGTAAGGAGGGACAACAACAGCAGCGTTTTCTGTCGCCACCGATTGTCGACACCCACCGGCGCTTGACGTCGACAGCGACCGACGCAACGACAACTCCAAGCGGGCGCTTTACGGGGACGACGGCCATTGCAACGGCCGATGGCACCTGCGTCCTCGATTCGATGGCTCTGACAACGGCCTTGAATGGATCGGGTCTGGTGCAGTTTACATGGCCGTACGACGCGCTACTTGACCTCCGTGTCCAAGTGGGCAGCGGGCCGACGCAGGTCGTCGACACTTGGACGGGGGCCATTAATGTGACCCTCACGAGCTCGGTGCCCACAGTTCTTTTTTTTGTCCGCGCCGACGCATCATCGCACGCCACACTCAACTGGTCGATCGCAGAGGCCAACGGTACCAAATGGCCACCGACGGCAGTTGACTGCCGCCCGCTGCAAATGGTGCCCGGTCTCGTGCGCCTCAACAGCTCGAGTGTCGCCGGTGGCAGCTCGCTGGTCGTTGCGTCGCTTGTGCCGAACGACGTCATGATCGCGTCCATTGACGTGCTTCAGTTCTTCCTCGGCGCACCGGTGGAAACCATTCGCCTCAACGGGTCGATCATCGCGGTCGGACCGCTGTCGTACCTTTCCTTGTACGATGTGCCGCTGGGATCGGTCGTGTCCCTGGACACCAAGAACGCCTCGATTGCAGTCGATGCCGTTGCTGCGGTCTTGGCGTCGGGCGTGTACTGGACGTCGACCGTTGTCGCGCCATGGAGCAACGGGTCCAAGTGCGGTGCCCCGTACATTGGAGCGCCCGTCGTTGAACCCTCCTGCGCAACAAGAGTGTTTCTGCCGCCGGTGACCCTGCCACCGGCCTCTCACTACGAGCACGTGACCATGATCATCACAATCGCGCCGTGCGTGACCGGCCTCGTCACACAGTGGTCGATACCCGTGTACGAGCCAACGTCGTGCGTGTTTGTTGTGCCCGGAAACCAGTCGACGTCCGTGGTAGTGACGACAGCAACTGCGTCGGTGCTGTCATTCTCTCTTGCGGCGACAGCTGCAAACGCTTCGGACGCATCCACCTCGGTGCGCAACTGGACGGTTGCGATACCAGCTGGCTGCAGCGACACCTCGGTGGCGGTGCCAGACGCGCTACCCGACTGCCCGCCGCTAAAGCCATACGTTGTGACGGCGTCCGTCGTCCAAGGCCAACCGTTTGACGTTGTCGTGCCCTTGCCGGCCTCGTCGCAAGTGTGGCAGGTATCACAACTGACTGTGTCCATGAACCCGTGCGGCGTCCTCCAAAATATATCTGCTTCGATGCTAGCCGATGGGTCGTCGACGTCTTGTGTTCTCTACTACAACAACGTCCGGGCGCCACTCGTTCTCACAATGACACCGGTGGCCAACTGGTTTGGGCAGCTCATGCTCTCGGTGCAGTCGACGCAGTCGGTGCTACGCGGTGCCTTAACCTCGCCGTTGGATCGTGGCGCGTTACCAAACATTCGACAACTCGTGCTGGAAAATGCGCTTCAAATTGCTTTGACCACGCCCGGTTACCTCTATGCACACACGGCCATTGGCGCGTGGCAACCGCTCGCCTCGCCGGCGTCGTTTCAACACATTTCGTCTGGAAACGGCGTGCTCTGCGGCACAACATGGACCGCACATCTCTTCTGCAGTCTTTGGAACACGACGACGACGCTAAATGCGTGGGTATTGCTGCGCAACGACACGCGATTTGTGCTTGTGGCCAACGGCATGGTGGTCGCCATCACGACCGACTCGGCCGTCGTCGGAACGTCGGTGACGGACCTTGGCGCGGCGTCAACATGGGTAGCCTATCAATCGTTCATCGCTACGTCGACGGTGATTGCGTGGGACGGGCACTACGTACTGAATGTGGTTCACAACCAGCTCGTCCTGGCGACGACGCCGACGTCCGACCTTTCAGTGTTTGGGTCGATCATGAACCTACCAGCGTTCCTCGGACCGAATTTCGACTGGTCGTCACTGCAGCTGGTCAACGGTGCAGCGTATGTCTTGGACGCTTCGGGGCTCGTCTGGTCCCGACGCCTCTCGTCATCGCTCGTCGACTGGGTGATCGCGTCGCCGCGTGGTGCTCGGTGGAGCTTCTTCGCTGTTGCCGCGTCCGGCGCGCTCTGCGGCGGCAGCCACGGCACCCTCATCACCTGCGAAGGCGTCGACACGAACGTGCCGGTTGTGCAGTCGCAGTGCCAGTCGACGGGCAGCGTCGTCGCCAACTGGATCTACGGCGCGTCGACGGTCGCGTCGTCGCTTCGAACGGCGGTGCTCTTCAGCCAAGTGTTTCGCTCGCCGCTGTTGTTTACGCTCGCCTACCGTCTAGAGACGTGTGCGTCCTTGCACAATATTTGTAGACAGAGAAACTTACGTCATTCTAGTGTACGCGGCGCTTGTCATCACAGCGCACGTCAACGGCAACGATGCGGTAACGCTGTTTGCGTCCGACCCGGCCAACATGACGCTCGGTGTGTGGACACCCGTGACGCTGGACGCGAGGCGTTTCGTCGGCACACCGTTCCAACTCAACATTACGGCCACGAGCTACGCCGCGAACGACGTTGCGATCGCCCGCTTTAGTGTCATATCAACCACGCCGTCGACCGGCGCACTCGTCGTCGATGCAGTGACCGGCGGCGCGGTGACGGTGCACCACGAGCCGCCTCCGACGACCAATGACGACGGGTTCATTGTGCGGTACACGGCGACCGTGACGTCCGTCAACGGGACGGGGTCGCCCCAGCTGGCCTACCACGGTGCCTAGTCCCATTGTTTCGTAGTCTGTCTGTACACGGCGTATGTAGGCGACGGTATGACCGACGTCGGGTGCTTTCAGACGGCAAACCTCGGGCTCCTTCCGGCGCCAACGACGCAAGTGTTGACCCCCGGCGAGTGCGCCCGCCTCTGCGTCGGCGCGGAGCGTCAAGTGAATTTGACAGCCAATAGTGTGTTGCGCAGCGCGGGTCCGATTCTCTTGAACTCGAACCTTCCTGGCTGGACGGTCGAGATGTACTTGTATCTGTACGCGCAGACGACGCCGTCGTCCGTGCTTTTTCTGCTGGACGCAACGATGGCGTCGGTGGTCTTGGACACCAACACCGTCGTCGTCACGGTGAGCGGCAACGCGGTGCGCATCCCTTACGCCTTTCCACTGCACGAGTGGTTCCACCTCGCGTTCGTATACGACTTCAGCGGAAGCTACGTCCGGGTCTTTGTCAACGGAGTCCCCGCCGCGTCCGCAACTCTGCAAACCGCATGGCCAACAAGCTCGTCGCCACGTCTCCAGATTGGCGCCGGTATGCACCCACCACCCCATTATCGCTTGGTTATTCACTCGTTGTTGTTTTTGATTAGATACCTTGTGGAACACGGCAACCGCACCGCTTCTGGCCATAGTGGACGAGGTAGAGACCGCACGTACATGCCTGATCTCGAATACCGTTGATGTAGGTACGCGTGTGGGGACTTCCGCGCTCGGACGCCGCGATTCGCCTATTCTGGGACCAAGACGTTGTTGACGCTGCTCTGGCCGTGCACCTACGGTACCTCAATGATCGTCGATGTGAACCATCAAGCCGTTGCTTCGTAGGTTCAACGGGCTCGATGTTGCGAGGGACGACTCTGGCAACAACTATACATTCACCGCCTCGAACGTCCACGCCGTCGCCAGCCGAGTGCCGCCGCGTCGGTTTGGCCTGACCAAAGGAGGCAAGTGCCTATGCGCCCCACTGCCCTTCGTTGGCAAGCAGCTTGCCGACGGCGCGTGCAACGCATCGTGTGTGTCCCTACCGTCGAAAAGCTGCGGAAGTACGGATGGCATGGCTACGAGCGTGTACGAGTTGGGTCGCTTTGTGGTCACCGGCCTGGCGCCGTCGACCACATACAAGGTCAATGTGGCATACGAGACGGCGTCGGTGTCGCGCACGATTTCGACGACGACGGTCACTACCACGGTTGCAACGGTCCCTGGCCCCGTGGATCGCCCGTTCCGTGGCCGCACGTTGGCCCCTGGCAGTCTTGTCGTCAACTGGTGCGTCGTACTAGAACCTCGGTCTTGCAATGGTTTTTCTAAACGATGTATGGAGTAGGAACACGACTGTCGACACGGGTGGCGCGCCGCTCACGGGCTTTCTCGTGTACGTAAATGGCTTTTTCGTGGCGACGGCAGAGGCGACGGCGACCGACGTCGTTTTACCCAATCTCCTTCTCTCGACCGAGTACCTTGTCACGGTCGCCGCCGTCAATGCGATCGGCATTGGCGCGCCGAGTGCTCCGTTGGCGTTGCACATGACGTATGCTCCGGCGTCACCGACACCGCCGCTGTCGATGCAGTTGCTCGACGCAACGGCAGGTGCGCTGCATGTGCGTATCGGTGGCGTCGCCTTTTGCGGTGGGGGGCCTCTTCGGAGCGCGTACGTCGAGAAGAAAACGGCCCGGTCCGTCCGCGAAGGCGCCGGCTTTGTGTTTGGCGCCGTTGGCGGTACCCTGAATGCCGCTGGCGACATTGACATCTGGGTGTACGGTCTTCCGAGCAGTGCCACTGTCGCGCTCCATGCCGTCGTCATCAACGCGTTCGGGTCCTCGAGCGACTACGGCCCCGTGTTTACCTTTGCAACCGTCGCGAGCTCGGGGTACCCGCTCTCCCCCGTCCCGAGTGTGACCACCGTCTCTGGTTGGTTTGGACGTCATGTTTAACAATGGGGGATTCATTCGATGTACAGGCGGCGCCATCGGACTTGCACTCATGCCGCCGCTCGACACCCGTACGCCTACGAGTGTGTTGCATCTGATTTTTGATACAAATGTGACCTAGTCGGCGCGACGGTGGTCGGCTACGAGGTGTTTTTGCGACCTATCACGAGCAGCGCATGGCTGCTGGCGGCGTCGACACCGGGCTCGAGCTCGTCGGTGACGGTGTACACAGACCCGACGACGCAGCTGCCACTGCAGTCTGCAACGACGTACGCGGTCGAGGTCGTCGCAATCACAGACACGATGGTATGCAGCCCGCTCTTGGACTTTACGGGGTTGGGTCAAACCGCCAACGTTTCAACCCGTGCCGCGGGACTTCCAAGCCCTCCGAGTGTCGAGATACTGGCCGTCGGAGCGAGTTACATTACCTTCAAGTGCGCGCCGCCTCTTGACATGCAAGGCGCCGTCATGCTGGAGCTGGTCGGAAACGTCTCGGGGACGCTTGTACCTATTCCTTTCGCTGGCAACACAACGCTCAGAGGTCTCCGCGGCAACACGACGTACCACGTACAGTGCGCAGTACAAACGTCGCTCAACCGCACCGCGTGGAGTGCACCGATCTCGGTCAAGACAAGCGTAACGCAGCCGCCGTCGCCGGTGCAGCAGCTAACGAGCATGACGCTGTCAGCGAGCCAGGTGCAGCTGATGTGGAGGGCGCCGAAAGACTGGGGAGGCGCGACGCCGACGGGTACGCGCACACACGAAATTACCTGGATATGACAAGGGAGTCGTAGGCTATTACATCTACCGCAACGCGACGTCCTTGGTGTTTTTATCCGCCGTCTCGCCCGAAAGCAACCAGTTCACGCTGGACTATCTGCGCGTCAACACAACATATTCATTGATCGTCGTGCCGTTGACGACGAGCCACGCGGGTGACCCGTACGCCGGCCGCATCTCGGCAACGACGTCTTCGTCTACCCACGTGGGGGCGCCCCCCGTCCCCGTCGTGGACGTCGTCGGCGCCGACTTTGTTGGGCTCACGCTGACGCCAACGCCGGAAACCGGTGGCTACGACAGTGTGAGCTACCAAGTCAACATGACGACGCCGCAGTCGTGCTATGTACCGACGGCCGCCGACCCGTGTGCGACCTGCAACGGCTACAACATGCTTTCGCTACTGACGTTGAACGCTACGTGTGGGGCGGTCAATGGACTCTGCTACGCGGGGCAACTGCAGTGTGCGTACATCCCGCCACCAACGACTGTGTGTACCCTGCACTCGGTCGCGGCGGCCGCCAGCGCAGGATGCACCGCTGCGGGGCTGCTTCCCTCGACAACGTACTTTTTGTCGGCGTATACGCTCAACCCGATCGGGGCCAGTGTCGCCAGCACCACGTCGCAGACAACAAGGTACTCGTTCTTGTGTTTTGTACCATGACAAACCTAACTCGGCTCTAGTCCACCCGTCGCGCCGCCGTCTGTCGTCGCCGTGACCGGTGTCGATGCCGTTGGGGCACTAACCTTGCAATGGTCGCCACCCCCGGTACGTACATGTAAAGCAACGTCATGACACTGACGTTTGAAACCTAGTCGCTCGGCGGTATGCCTCTGCGCAACTACTCGGTGGTCTGCGACAACACCGTACTGACGCAAACAATGGGGTCTCTGTTTGCATATACGTGGTGTCAACAGCTCGTGGTCAACGTGACGCACACGTGCTATGTGCAAGCGCTCACGGCCCTCGGTGCGTCGCCCATCGCGGCTTCGATGTTTGTCTTGACGCAAGTCGGGCCGCCGGGTGCGCCGACCGCCGTTGTCGCCTTCCGCAACGCAACGTCGGCCAGCGTCCAGCTCAACGCCCCGTGTAACGTCGGCGGTGCAGCCGCGTTCTTATTCGACTGCGCTCTCGTCGAAAGCGAAACAAACACGTCGGCTTCGGTTCCTTGCACCGAGACGACGCCCACGAGTCTCGCATCGTTGTCTGTCAACACCACGTATGCGTTCCAAGTGCGCACGACGACGGTCTATGGTTCGAGCCCGTGGGTGACGCTGCCTTTTGCAACAATGTCGGGCATTCCAGCCCCACCAGACATGTCACTTGTCTCGGCCTCGGACCGCGAGTTGCTTCTGTGCGTCAAAGCGCCAGATTACCTCGGCGGGTCCAACTTGGTTGGCTATGAGTTGGTCGTGGGCACGGCGACCGAATTCGTGCTCCAGTCGACGCTTCTCAACGACAACTCGGACGCCTTCACGGTCTCGGGGTCCTGTCTTCGCGTCACCGTATCCAACGTCTCGTTCGACACGGCGTATACTGCATCCGCGTCTGCTATCGGTATTGGCGGTGTGAGCCTCGCCACGACAGCCACTTTCGCGACGCTGCCGCAGCAACCGGGCGTGCTGGCCTGGAACGCGTCGACCATCCAAGCCAACCAAGGTGTGATGACGCCGGTGAGTCTGCTCCGGTCGGGGGGCGTCACGGGGCCCATCAATGTTTCGCTCCATATTACAAACAACGTCAACAACACGTACATCTGCGACCCTTCGACGGGGCTCTGTAAACCGCCGAGTCCTTGCAGCCAAGTGTACCCCGACACGGATCTGGTCGGCAACGACTTGGCGTACATGGCGTCGCCGTCCGTCGCCGACTGTTGTGCCAAGTGCCAAGCGTACGCGGGGTGCACCGCCTATGCGCTCAACGCTGGTCAGTGCTACCTCAAGTCGTTCGGCCTCAACCCGCAAACCGTCGTCGGTGTCACGGCCGGCATCATCACGCCCAACTGTCCAACATATTACTTTGGCGTCGACTTTGTGGACCCGTTTCTGTCGTATGAGGTGCTGTCACTACCGGATTGCGTGGCCGCGTGCAAAGCCATGCCCGACTGCATCGGTTTTAGCTATATCCTTTCGACGCAGACGTGCTACTTCAAGAGCGAGCTGACGGAGAAGACGACCAACGCCGACTGTGTGACGATCGTTGTGGCCCCGATCTGCCAGGCGTCGCAAACGCTCGCGCTGGCTTTTGAAGACGGCGAGAGCGTCAAGACACTCTCGTTTGCGATTCCCAACGACGTCCACGTGGCGAATCCCTATGACCTCGCATTGACGCTAAGCGCGCCCACCAACGGCGCATCGCTCGGCGCCCCGAGCGTCTTGCATATGAACGTGACGCGCGACGGCGGTACCTTGCAGTGGGCTCCTGCCGGCCCCGCGGGACAAAACACATCGACGACGCTGACGCTGAACCGACGCGGGCAGACGGTGCTACCAGTGTCGGCATCGGTGCTCCTCCAAGCAAGCAACAATATGACCTACATGTGTAACGCGTCGACACTTGTGTGCGCCCCGCCCGCGACGCCGTGCAGTCAGCAGTATCCGGGCACCGACTTTCTTGGCAACGACCTCACGAGCACGACGGCGTCGTCGGCGAACGACTGCTGTGCCCAGTGCCAGGGGTACAGCGGCTGTGGCGCGTACGCGTTCAATACGATGACAAACGGATGCTATCTCAAGTCGATCGGGCTCAACACGCTCGCAGTGCCGGAGGTGACGGGCGGGATTCTCTCCAACATCTGCGTCCGCGAGATTGCCAACACGAATGCTGAAGGCGGCGACATTGGCCCGGAAGCAGGCGTGACGCTCGACCAGTGCCGCGTACTCTGCCGCACGAACCCGCAGTGTTTTGGGTATCGCTACGAGGCGTCGACGTCAACTTGCTGGCCAAAGACGTATGTGGACAACCTGATGTCCGCCCAGGATGGCGTCTTGGGGTTCACGCAGCAACCATGCCAGACGTCGGGGGTGACCCTCTCGTTTCCATCCGGTAGCAATGCGAGCACCTTGAGAGTGCAAGTGCTGCCGACAACAACGTACGCGGCACCATACTCGGTCACAGCGTCGATTCAATCGACGACCAACGGTGGAATCTGGAACGCCTCGATGCCTCTCGACCTGGCGGTGCTCGACAATGGCGTGGCGGGTCATTTCGCCTTTGAAAGCACGTGGCTCACGACGTTCGTCAATGTCTCGAGTGTCCAACTGACCGTCCGCCGGCTGTTTGCCACCAACGGCAACGTCGTCGTCACGCTCACGTCGTTGTCGTCGACCGTTGTGGCGCAAGGACTCTTCAACACGACCCTTGCGTTTGCCGACGGCGTGACCTCGGCGACGGCGTCCATGGCACTGATGATACCGCCGACGCCGACACCGCCTCAAAACGTGACGATCAATATTGCTGCCGTGACCAACTATGGTTGGATTGTAGCACCGTCGACCTGCGTCGTCACCGTGTACGACACGCGCCTTACGTGGCCGGATCCCCCGACGCAACTCCACGCATCGATGGCCACCGGCAGTACGCTCTACGTTGCGTGGACGCCGCCGGCGTTCAAGGGCGGCGTCGACGTCTTGGCGTCGGCCTTGAGCTACCAGGTGTTTGTGGCGGGCAGGGCCACGATCGTGACATCGGCAACGCTCGTCAACATCTCGCAGCTCGCGTCGCTCACAAGCTACAACGTCAGTGTTGCCACTGTGAATGCGTTTGGGCAGAGCGCCGCTACGGCACCCATGGTCGTGCAGACAACCGTGCCCACGGCGCCCAGTGCGCCGACGAGCGTCGGTGTTTCTGCCGTCTTTGCGACGCAAGCTGTCATTTACTGGGCGCCACCAAGCGACACGGGCGGGGTGCATATTGCGTTCTATCGCGTATGGCAGCAGCACGTTGCTGCCGCGTCGACGACGCTCGTCGCGCAGGTAGCGGCGACAGCGACCTTGACGACCCTCGTGGCCAACTTGCTTCCCAGCTCTGCACACGAGCTTTACGTCACGGCCACAAACACGGCAGGTCTCGAGGGGACTCCTGCGCTTTTGACGGTGCTGACGACCGCGCCCACGCCACCTGATGCCCCGGTACCCCCAAACGTGGTAGCTGTCACTGGTGGGGCCGTCACGTTTCGCTACAACAGCTCAAGCTACGATGGAGGCGCACCAGTGACGACCTTTCGTGTCGTCTCGGATTTTGGGCTTGCATGCAGCGCCTCGACCAGCGCCACGTGCGCCATCTACGGCCTGTCGCCGACGACAATGTACGCTGCGATGGTCTTTGTCGAGAATGACTTGGTATGCAATCGAGCATCTGGACGTGGATTGACATTTGCTGGTGTAGGGTCCGTGTGCGAACGGGACGCAGTTTACTTTTATGACGGGGACAGCGTCCTCGCCAGCGGGTCTGCTGCCCCCCACTGTTGTCCAAGAAGCTCTGGGCGCATTGACCCTGTTGTGGGCACCACCCGCCGACACTGGCGGTGTGCGTATCGTCGGCTACACGATTCAAGCTTGCGTTGCCAACGGCACATGCGACATGGTCTACTCGCAAGTGTCCAACCCAGCAACGACAACCACACTGACGACACTGAGCCCAAACACAACGTACAACTTTTCGCTCGTGGCGTACAACACGCAGTCGTTCTGCGCGGGCGCAGCAGCCAGTATCGGCGCATCGCTCCTCCACAGCACTATGAAACGGACGCCGCCGGCCCCGCCGACGCTCAAGCTTGCGGGTGTCACGGGCGGCGCCATCACCCTCGACTGGACGCCGGTCGTTGCGTCTGCTGACATTTCTGCCTACGCCTTGTACAACGTCGATATGGCAACTCTGCTCTTTGAAGGCAACGCGACAAGCTTTGTCGTGTACGACTGCAGCGCACTGAGTACCTACCGCTTCCAAGCGCGCGGGCTCAACGACATTGGGTGGAGTGAAAAAGCTCGATTTTCGTCGTGACGACATCCGCCGTGTCGGAGCCGGGCACCGCGACGGCTCTTCTAGCCAATGCGACGACGTCTGGCGGCAAGGTGGCGCTCGCGTGGAGCCCGCCGGCGGATACGGGTGGCGCCACGCCGTTGTATTATACCATCCTTCGCAACGGCTCGCAAGTCGCCGCGAACGTGCTTTCAACGACGTACGTCGACACGGTCAATGTCACTGCCTCGACCGTGTATGCGTATTCCGTGGCCGCGTCCAACCTGGTGTTTACGGGATCGTTTTCGGCGCCCGTGACGGTTCAAACCGCTGCGCGAACGCCGCCAGCGTCTGTCATCGTCCGAAACATCACAGCACTCGGTGGCTCCCTCGTCCTTGCGTACGATCTTCCGACTGACTCGGGGGGCACCCCCCTGACATCGATGACAGTCGTTGCGTACCAGTATCTCGCTTCAGCAAATACGTCGTCGTCGTCACGGGTCCTTGTTTGGAACGAAACCAGAAGCGCGGTGTCGACGACCGCTATCTCAGGCCTGACGGCACAAACTTTGTACGAAATTTCGACTGTGGTTACCAACGCTGCCGGGTCGAGTCTGCCCGTCGGTAGTGCCGCCTCGACGGCTGCGGCGACGACCCCGAGTGCCCCTGCCAGTCCGCTGCTCGCGAGTGCCAACTCGACAGCGCTTGTTGTCAACGTCAGCGCGCTCACCAGTGCGTACGACTTTGGTGGAACCCCGCTCGATGCCTATCGAGTGTTTGTCAATGGCTCGTTGGTGGCGACCGTGTCGGCGGCGGCACCCAACGCAACGGTGCTCCCAGGTCTCTTTGCCGCGACGCTTTATGCCGTCGAATTGGCCGCCGTGAACGCCATCGGAAGCTCTCCCCTCGGGTCGCCCCTTTTGGCGACGACGGCGTCGATGACCGCCCCTGGTCCCGTCAACAATATTGCAGTTGTCGCGGCTACGGGTACAACGCTGACGGTATCGTGGGCCTACCCAAGCGTGACTGGCGGTGCGCGCCCGAGCGACATGACGTTTATGGTGCAGTATAACGAAGCCAATGCCTCGAGCGTCGTGACCAGCCAACGCCCGACCATCGTGCTCTCGTCGCTACATCCGCTCACAACGTACACGATCCAAATCCAAGTCGCAACGGCAGGAGGCACAAGTATCATGGCAAATACCACTGCGACGACGACCGTCGGCGCCGCCGGCACGGCATCGATGGCGTCGACTACTACTACCGTCCTGGAGAGCGACGCCTTTGTCACCGTGATTGCGACACGGAATGCCACCGGCGTCGCGTCGTTCGTTGGCTACTACACGACGGATGCATCGGCGGTCGCTGGGCGCGACTACATCGCGGCGTCGGGCAACGCCATGTTCGCTGCCGACGCTGCAAACACCAGCATTACCATCCAGCTCCGAGACGACATTGCGTGTCAAACGAGCGGACGTCGCTTCAACATTACGCTCGTGCAAACGGATGGGGTCGACGTGGGGGAAGCCGCGTCGATGGAAATCGTCATCAACGATGACGTCGACGGCGGTATCGTTGCGTTTCAGCAATCGTCGCAGACCGTTGCAACGCTGGCGCCCACGACGACACCCGTGGCTGTGCCGCTTGTACGCACCCTTGGCAAGTACACGGACGTGAACGTGAGTTTGTTTCTCGTGCACGCCACGTCGACAGCGCAACTCGGTGTTCAGATCGCGTCACTTCCGGCGTTTGTCTCGTTCCCGGTCAACGAAACGACGACCGTAGCGACTGTCTGGCTGCTCAATGACCAAACGTACCACGACCCACCGCTGAGCTTTACGATCGGGTTGGCCCTCGTCGATGGCGCGAGCGTGTGTGCCGTTGCAGCACCAACGCCAATGACAACGTCGGTGCTGATTCTCGGTCGGAACGTCGTGTCCCCACCGGCATCGCCAACGCAATTGCAACTCGTCAGCGCTACCGGCGGCTCTCTGCGTCTTGCTTGGGTGCCACCACAGTACACAGGCGGCTACAATCTTTTCGTGGCAAGCTACCTTGTTGTGCTGTCCGGACCAGGCATCAACACGACGTCTGTGAATGTCTCGCTGCCCACTGCCGTCTTGAGTGGTCTCGTTGCCAACGGAAACTACTCGGTTGCGGTGGCGTCGGGAACCAGCGTTTACGTCGGTGCTCCAAGTGAAACTGTGTACGTCCAGACAACGGCAGCAACACCGCCAAGCCGCCCACTCAACGTTCTCTGCGCGAGTCAAACCGGTGGTAGCATCACGGTCACGTGGGCTCCACCGCTCGACGCCGGTGGGTCGCCCATCTTGGGATACAGCATTTTGAACGTGCAGTCGACGAATTCGTCCCTTGCGCAGATGTACGTCAGCACCTCATTCACGTGGTCGGGCCTTGTGCAGCTCACAAAGTATACGCTGGCAATCGCGGCCGTCAACAGCTTCAACATCGTCGGTGACGCCGTGAGCATCACCTGCACGACTGTGACGGGAAATGCGCCCGCAACGCCGTCGCCACCTGTGCTTGTTTCTACGACGGGGGGTACGATAACGGTGTCCATGACGAGCCCCGTTGACACGGGGGGCTTGCCACTCACACTCTATGCCCTGTATGGGAACAGCGTGGCACTCCCCAACTTGTACACGCAAGTCTACAATGGATCCTCGTCGACTGCAACGGTGTACGGATTGGCCGCGGCCACGACATATGGGTTTCAGAGCAGAGTTGTCAACGCTGCGGTACGCGTCCCGATAGGAAAGAGTCTGTTCTTGACCGTCACCATTGTAGGGAATGAGCGCATCCTCAAGCACAGTCTTTGTTTCGACGCCAGCGGTGACGGCACCGTCGGGACCGTTGGCACTCGCAGTTGCCGCACCTCCCACGGGGGGCGCCGTTGCTCTGCGCTGGTCGCCGCCGCTCGACACGGGTGGCACCGCCATCACGGGGTACTTTGTGCGGCTCTACAGTATGATTGATCTCGTCACAAATGCACCGACCGTCGTGTACGAGAACGACTCGAGTCTTGCGCTCGAGACGACGATCTACGGTCTTGCGTCCAATACGACATACGCCTTTTCGGTTGTGGCTGTGACGCTGCTGAGTCACTGCTTGAACCCGGCGCTGATTCAAGAAAGCAGTCGCATTGTGGCGCGCACAGATGTGGCTACCTTGCCGTCGGCGCCGTTGTCGCCGTCGCTCGTAACCGCGACGGGCGGCATGCTCTCGTTGAGCTGGAGACCACCGTTGGACATTGGCGGTGCCGCTGTGTCCATCTACCGGGTCTTTAACTCGACGAACGATCTTGTTTGCACATCGCCGACCGTTGACTGCAGTGTCTATGGGCTCTCGTCTCAAACGATTTTCCATTTTACAATCACGGCAGTCAACAGTGTCGGGCAGTCACCGCCCAGCAGTACGCTGACAGCCACGACGCGCGTCGTCTCGGCGCCGAGTCCTTCGCTCAACATGTCGACACTTGTGGTTGGTGCGGATATGCTCTCCCTGGCGTGGCTTGCGCCGCTTGACTCTGGCGGCGCTGCCATCGTCGGCTACACCGTGTATCGCGACGACGCTCTCGTCGCATCGACGGGCCCGACACCGACATTCGTTGACCGCAGCGGCCTTTTAGCCAATACGACGTACCGGTATGCCATCCAAGCTTTGAACGGCCGACTACCTGGGGCTATAACGTCTGCGTTTTTCGCGACAACGGGCCCAGCCACGGCACCATCGACGCCAACGGCCATCACAATGTCTGTCGCGGGTGGGAGCATTTCTGTGACCTGGGGGGCGCCGATGTCGACCGGAGGTATCGTCGACATGTCCACTGTATGTCAACTGTACACCAACGAGAGCTCGCTACTTCAACAGCTCGTGGCACGGAATCCTCCTTGTCTCTTTGTGGCGCTGGACCAGCGCACAGCGTACGAGATTGTCATCTTCAACAACAACACCGTCGGTGCCAGCGCACCTACGAGCCTCAATGTGATGACCAGCGATGCAACGCTACCGCAGGTGCCACCGACACCGATCGTCCTCGAGCATTCGGGCAGCGTGGCGACGCTCCAAGCCGTGGCACCAAGTCAAACCGGCGGTCTCCCGATTCTTGCTATGAAAATCTACAATGATGGGCAGCTGCTCGGGAACACGACTGCCGCGACTTTGCTTCAGTGGACATTGATCAACCTCGTAGCGGACACGGCGTATGTTTTCCAAACGACTGCCGTCACGGGCGTCGGCGAGAGTTCGCTGAGCGCTCCTCTGCACTTTACAACCGGTCCCGTCGTTGCGCCCTCGGAGCCGCGTAACGCGTCGGTGGTCGCTGTGAACACGACGAGCTTCACGCTCAGCTGGATACTGCCGCGCAACTCGGGCGGGCGGCTTCAGGAGCTGCTGTACGAAGTGGTAGTTTTTGAGACGGTCAACAATACGTCACTTGGTGTTGCTGTCGCCACGAGCACGGTGACGAGTGTGACCATCGGGAACCTTCAAGACGCTACGGCGTACGAAGTGACGCTTCGAGCTTACAATAACGCGGGCACAAGTGCAACGACAGCGCCACTCGCCGTGACCACCGTGCCACTCGCCAAGGGCGTCGGTGGCTGGGCGATAACCAACGTTTCGGTGCTCTCCTCGATTGGTACGTTCCATTTGCCTTTGGTGCGCACGAACGGGTCTTCGGATGCGCTCGTACTCTCCGTCACATGCGTCGGTGTCGGAATCTCGCCGTCGTGCCCAGGGCAGGTGACAATGGCCGACTTGGCGACGTCGTTGTCGGTTCCGATTACGATTCCAGCCAGCAGCGTCTATGTACCCAACCAATCGATTCTGGTGACGCTGAGTGGCGACGGCGATACGAACGGTGTCGACCCGTTGGCCACCTCGGTGACCGTCACCGTAGACTGTGAAGTCAACGCCGGCGTCTTTCGTTTGCGTCCGCGACGCTCCTGGTCCGTGAAGATGCCGGCATCGTGTCCGTGCCCATCGTTCGCCATATCGGGGTGTCGACAGCGGTGGTCTGGGCCCCGTTGGACGTGTCTGGCAGCGTGAACGGGACGTCGGTGACAGGTCTCGAGTATCAGATTCTACCCAACCAGCTTATTTCGTTTGCCAACGGAGCGACAACGGCATCGCTGTCGGTCTCGATCGTCAACAACCAGCGCCCCGTGTTTCCCCGCCACTTCTTTTGTATCGGACTCCAAAAAATATCGGGCGGCGGCTACATGAACGCAACGGGCAACGCGACGACATGCATCACGATCTTCAACGACTGGACGCCGATGGTGCCGAGCGCAGTCTCGGTCGCGTCTGTGGCCTACGAAGCCACCGGCGGCCTCTTGAACCTCACGTGGGCGTCGCCTGTCTACCTCGGTGGCATCGGCGTCACCGTGTCCCATTATACTCTGCGCGTCGTTTCGGCGTCGGGACTGCACTCTGTGCTATCGACTTCGACGAACGCGACAACGGCACTCGTTGGCAACCTCACTGAACTCACAGTTTACACGGTTGGCATCGCTGCTGTCAACGTCGTCGGCGTCGGGCCCGAGGCCAATGCGACGGCATCCACCAGCCAGCGGTCGCTGCCGGGCCCCATTGTTGAAATCAACCAAACCGCTGCCAGCGGCGGGTACGCCCAACTGCAAATCTCGATGCCACTCGACACGGGTGGCGTTCCAATCAGCAACATTACAGTGCTCCTTTACAGCCCTAGCCGCAATGAATTCATCGTACGACGGTCTTCCGCATCTGTGTGGATGCAACGACAATGCTTTGGCGTAGGCGCAAGCCACACAGGTCTCGCCAACATACCTTGTGTACTTGTCACAGTGTCAGAGCGCCTACGTCGTTCAAGTTCAGGTCTATTACATAAACGTGCAAGACAAACGCGACTGAATGTTTTCTAGGTGGCCAACACCGTGGGCTACAGCAACATCACGTCGAACTTTACCGTGTCCACAACGGCAGCCTCCTTGCCCGGTGCGCCACGACTCGTGACATCGCCCGTGCAAACGGGCGGTGCCATCACCTTGCGTTGGCTGCCACCGCTCGATACCGGTACGCTGGAGCACCTCGGTTCCATTATCTTGAAGCGTTTTAGGGGGGGTCAATATTACCGGGTACACCGTCTACATGGCGTCGGACACTGGGCTGGCTCTGTACACGAAGACGACAGCGCCGACCGCGGTCATCGCGCCGCTTAGCCAGCTCACGACGTATCAGTTTGTCGTCGTCGCTCGCAATGCACTGGGCGATGTTGTGCTACCCGCTCTTGGGTCGATCACGATGGGCACGGACGCCATTACAACCAACGCCAGCACGCCCCAGTTGCTACCTGTCTACACGATCGAGATGGCCGTACGCCGTCATACTTGTGAATAGTGCGATAAGGTTCACGGCGGTTGTCGATGCATAGGGCACCTTGTGGCAACCATCGCTGATTCAAAATTTGGTGAATTCGATTCAACTGACGTCCACGTACACGGGGCCGTCGCTCAACGCACAGCAAATGGTGATGCGCGGTACAGCGTCGGCGCTCTTTACCACGACGACCATGGCGGCGACGTTGCCAGGGCCGCCGCCAGCGCCACTGCGTCTCGACTATGCGTCGGGCAGCGTCGTTCAGCTGCAGTTGCGCTCGCCGAGTGACACGGGTAGGCTCTTATCCTAAAACGATCGTATGTAAAGGATCGTAGGTGGCTTGCCCGTGACGGGCTACCGTGTCTTTGTCAACAACACGGAAGTGTCGGGTTTTAGCATCGTGTCCACGACAATGTCGCCGACATCGTCGCTGCACATCGACCAGATTGTGCTTGTACCCGGCTTTACGCCGTCGGCAGTCTACAACGTATCGGTGGTTGCTATGACGCTCAAGTCGTCGTGCGAGGCGTTGAGTCTCGGCGTCGTCGGCGCAGCGACGCTGCTGCGAGCCAACTCGTCGACACTGCCGCAGCCAGTGCTGTCGCTCACGAGCCCTCAAACCACAGGCGGTGCGATCTACCTCGAATGGTTGCCGCCGTTCGACCGGGGCGTTGGACCAGACGTGCCGCTCACATACACCTTGTCGATGGCACCGTCGCTAGCACCTGTGTGGTCCTTTGTCGCCAACACTACGGGCACAGCCTACTGGGTCCTCAATCTTCAGCCCGAAACGATATACCTGTTCCACATTGCCGTCATGTCGCCCGTTGGTGCGTCACGAAACGTCACTCAAGCGACGTTCGTCACAGCGGGGCTCTCAGCGCCGGGGCCGTGCGATCCGCCCGTGTTCCTTAATCACACAGGAGGGTCCCTCACCGTGGGCTGGTCGCCCCCCGTAGACAACGGCGGCCGCCCCGTCACGAGCTATGTTGTTTACGTGCAGGGTGTGGCGGCGACGACGACGACAAGTGCGCTGTTTGCAACAATTACGGGGCTCTTGGCGCACACTACGTACAGCGTCCGCGTCAGCGCCATCAATATCATGGGCACCGGGGCCGCTAGCGAGTACGCGAGCTTCATCACAGGAAAGCCGTCGCCAGCAGCCGCTCCCTCGAGCCCCGTCGTCGTCGGGCAAACGGGTGGCGCTGTCGTCTTGGCCTTTTCGCCCCCAGAAGATACGGGCGGTGTTGCGCTCGCCAACATCTTCTACGCCGTGTACGCCAACAACGTGCTCGTGGCCAACATTTCCCACGCCGCATACGAAGCCGCGCTCGGTGCGTCGACGACGACACCAAGCGTGTCAAGTCGTCGCCGCCTGACGGGATCCACGGGTGGCGTCACGGTAGGCAACCTCAATCCGTCAACAAGCTACGTTTTCCAAGTGGTGACGGTGTCGAGCGCGGGCGGTGCTAGCCCAGGGTCGAGTTCGCAGTCGGGGGCCACCTCGCCCCCCACCGCCCCCGGTACGCCGTCCGCACCGACCATTGCTGCTGTCACGGGGGGCACCATCGCATTTCGGTGGTCGGCAGTCGTCGACACGGGGGGTAGCTCCATCACAAGCTACGACCTTCGCGTCGTCAATACCGACACATTCGCGACGTACTCGTGCACGGGGCTCATTTTTCAGTGCGTTGTCGGTGGTCTCGACGGACTCTCGCGCTATACCGCCACTGTCCAAGCCATCAACAACATCGGGCCCTCGGTGGTGAGTCCTTCGACGCTAGCAAGTACCTCGGGGACAACGCCGCCCTCGGTGCCGCAGCAAGTAACGCTTGTGAGTGGGACAACGGATACGCTTGAGCTCTCGTGGCTACCACCGGTCGACACGGGGGGGTTTGCCATCACTGGCTACACCGTTTCGGTCGCAGCGGGCGGCGTCTTTGTGACAGCCCTCTCGGTCGCGGCGCCGGCAGACGAGACCAGTAGCGTGACGGCCACGATCTCGGGGCTTGTATCAGCAACCGTGTACGCCGTGTCTGTGGTGCGTCATTCTCGATCCTCAATGCTGCTTCTCACGAACAAATGTAGCAAGCCATCAACTTTATCGTCGCCGGTGACACGACCGACGACCTGCTCGTCGAAACCGTTGCGCTCCCAAACATGCCAGTCGCGCCAAGTGTCTTGTGCGGTACGTGCCGCGCGGAGCGTCGAGTGGCAGCTCATCTCTAGCTAGTCTCAAGTTTGTCGGTCACCTTGGTATGGACGGCACAGGCCGCCGTGTATGCGTTGCAGCGCAGTGACGGAGCCGTGTTCCGCGACCTCAGGGCACAGTCGTTTGTTGACACTGCCGTGACGACGAGCACAACGTATACGTACGCGCTGCAAGTGCTGCTGGCGACGGTATCACGTGGAGTCCGTGGAGCTTTCCCGTTACAGTGACGACGTTGGCGTCACCATCGTTGTACAGCAGCTGCGCGCTCTCGTCGACGCCGATCGTGCAGACTGGGTACACCAACAACGCGCATGTGACGTGGCAGCTCGCACGCCCCGTCGGCGTGAACCAGCACACCGTGCTCGATGTACGTGCGACTTTTTCAAATAGAGTTGCACTCATTCTCTCTATTAGTTTTCGCTCTTCTCGCTCGAGTGCGACCACGACAGTGTTGTTGTGACCGAGCTCAATTCGCTCAACCAGCCGAAGACGCTGTGGCGCGGCGGGTGCCCGCGGACCGGCGGCCTCACGCTGGTATCGTCGCAACCCAACGCGGTGCTTCAAATCGCACTCTCTTCGGATGCCACTGTCACGCGCGCCGGACTCTCGTTCACGTCGCGTGCTATCAACGCCTCGACGACCATCGTTGCCAGCCGCGTGTCGTGTCCGTCCGTCGGCAACGTCGCGTGCGCCGGCAACGGTCTGTGCGCGGGCGCGTCGGGCAATTGCGTGTGCAGCATCGGCTTTACGGGAGAAGACTGCAGTCAACGTATCCTTTGCGATGCCACGGTGGTCTCGACACGGTGCCCAAATCTCATGGACCTTTCGGGCCAAGTCATTGCCGTGGACCCTGTACAAGGAGACGACGCGCACGGCACGGGCGAGTACATGGACGCGACGGCGTCGGGCACGGCGAGTAAAGCCGTTCGGTCCATTCAACAAGCGCTGCGACTCATTTCGGCCGATTCGACGGTGCCAAAAACGCTGCTTCTGTACCCAGGCACGTACACAACGCAGCACAACTGCATGTGGGCGCTCTCGAACCAGAATCTCACGGTGCGCGGGCTCTTTGGCGTATCGTCGACCGTGGTCTCGTGCGCCCAAGGCAGTGCGTGGCAGCAGCAAGGCGGGGAGCTCACGATCCAAGGCGTTGGGCTCCAAGGCGCCCAGCTGAGCATGGTGCGAGGCACTCTCCAAGTCCGATCATGCTCGCTCAGTGGCGGCGTCAATACCGACGGTGGCTGCGTCTACGTAGACCACAGCACCTTTGTGCTTCAGCAGTCTAACGTGACGGGCTGCCGCGCCCTGCTCGGGGGAGGCATCTATGCGCTTCAAAGCACTTTACGCATTACGGACGCGCTTATCTCGGCCAATACAGCGACTGGGGATGGCGGAGGTATCTACCTCAGCAGCACGACGACGGTCACGGGCGCCAACGCTGTCGTACAAGCCAACACGGCTGCAAACTACGGGGGTGGCATTGCCATCGTCGGCACCGCGACACTGCAAGGCGCGACCGCCGGAGACATACGGCTACACGACAACACTGCACAGACAGGCGGCGGTGTTAGCGTTGCAGGCGTCGGTCTCTCCAGTAGCAACCTCCTGGTTGATGCCAATCTCGCACTCGGCAACGGTGGCGGCGTCACTGTCCAAACGAATGCATTTGTGACCGACACTGCGTCACTGCTCGCATCCAATGTCGCCAACAGCTTTGGCGGCGGCATCTACTCGGAGTCGAGCGGGGCGCTATCGTTTACGGGAACCACGGTCCAGGGCAGCTCGGCAGGTACAGATTTCGTACCTGGTGTTTGTACTTGAAGAACCCATGTAGGACTTGGCGGCGGCGGCGTCGCGCTCAGCGGCAGCACCGGTGCACTGCGAGGTCTTCTCATCGCAGAATGCTCCAGCCAGGGGCTGGGCGGGGGCCTTTATGCTCTCAACTCTGCCTTTGAATTGCAGTCCATGCTCCTTGACAGCAACACTGCAGCCACGAATGGCGGCGGGATGGCGCTACAGGCATCCACATGCTCGGTCCAAAATGTTACCACGAGCAACAACGTGGCCCAAGGCAACGGTGGCGGCGTCGCGCTCCTCGACAGTCGCGCCACGGGCTCTCTTTCCGTGCTACTCGACTCGGCCGTCGGTGTCGGCGGTGGTGTTTTCCTAAATGGTGCGTCATCGCTTGTGTCAACGCGCGTTCGCAGCTGCTCGGCGACCCAAGGGGGCGGTATTTTCGCCACGTCTAGTAGCGCAACCACCCTCCAATTGCTCACCAACGTGGTCGTGTCCCAGTGCTCGGCCACGAGTCGCGGTGGCGGCCTCGCACTGTCGACCGTTTTGGTTCAAATGACCAACGTTTCAATCGTCGACAACACGGCGCCAACGGGCGGCGCTATCGATGTGTCAAGTGCGACGCTGACCGACATGGCAGCCACGACCCCGAGCTCCGTCGTCAACAACCGCGCCACCCGGGGCGGTGGTGTCAGTTGCAGCGGCACTTCATTTGTCAGCAACCTTGCCGTCGCAAGCAACACAGCAACGACGATGGGAGGTGGCATGTTTCTGCAAGGCATGACAAGTCTTGAGAACGTTCGCGTCGACGCGTGCTCGTCACTGGGAACCGGCGGTGGGCTGGCGCTCTCGGGTGCCATAGTCTACCACACAACGTCCTCCATTCGCAACTGCGTCGCGGCAAAAGGCGGTGGTCTCTACCTCGAGAGCTCTACACTAACCCGGCAAAGCGCGTCGGCGTCGACCAAACTCGTCATCGATGCCAACGCCGCGACGGTCGAAGGCGGAAACGCTTTCATCGGGGGGCCGAGCCAGCTCATGTACATTGCTTTCTCAGCGGGGCAAGCGCCCTTTGGCGGCAGCGTCTCCTCCGTCGGCACATCGGGCTCGCTCGTACAGTGCACAATTGCGTCGTCGACTGCAACGGCGGGTGGCGGCGGTCTCCGTCTTCTTGACGGCACCTGGCAAATTACCGACACCACTTTGTCGGGCAACGCGGCCAACCGAGGCGGTGGACTGCATCTCAACAACTCTGTGCTCACCCACAGCAATCTTGTGGTCTCGACCAACCGAGCGGTCGACGTTGGTGGTGGCATCGCGCTCTTTGGCGCCAGCCGTGTCGTCGGCAGCGGTACCGTGTCGCAGGTGACCGCCAACACCATCCAAGGCCTGAGCGGTGCCAATGTCTATTGCGGCGATGCTGCCACGGTTGTCATGAGCGCACTGCAGGTCACAAACGCCCGCGCCAACCAAGGTGCTGGTATCTTTGTTGCAACCGGGGCCACCGTCGCTCTAAGCAGCTGCGATATTGACGGCAACGCGGCGGATACGGCGGGCGGGGCCATTTACGGTGCGGCCCCGCTGCAAATCACCCTCACCAACTGCCACGTAACGCACAACACGGCGATGCAAGGTGCTGCCGTGTTCCTCGACGGCGGTCGAATCGACATTGCGTCGTCCGAGGTGTCGCAAAATATTGGCACGTCGGGGGGCGCTCTCTACCTTCAGGCCAGTACGCTCTCGCTAACGAGCTCGACGCTGCTGTCCAATCGTATTTCCGCCGGTCACGGCGGTGCCATCACAGCGGTGGCCTCGTCTCAGCTGACGCTGCGCAGCTCAATCTTTGCATGCAACGCGGCGACTGACGGCGGCGCACTCAGCGTCTCATCCCAGTCGTCAGGCGTTGCCTCCAGCTGCACGTTTTCAGGCACGGGTAGCGGCGTCGCTGGTGTCTCGTGCGTCAACAACGGCACCAACCGCGGTGGCCTTGTCTACGTGATCGGCCAGTCGTCCATGACCTTGGACTCGGGTTCGCGGCTGTTGTACGCGAGCGCTACATACGGCGGCGCAGTGTTTGTCTCGCAAGCCGTCGTGTCCATCTTGGCGAGCTCAGTTTTGAACCACAAGGCGCTTCAGTTTGGCGGCGCCGTGTACTTGGCACAAGCCAACCTGACGCTGACCGACTCGGACGTGGGCTACTGCAGTACGTTTCCATAAAACTCGCTGCATCGGGTTGATGCTACGATTGTAGGTGCCATTTACGACGGCGGTGCAATCTATGTTACGGGCAAGTCGACGGCGACGGTCGAAACGACGACGGTGCACGACAACACGGTCACGAACGATGGCGCGGCGTTCCTAGTCGACATTGGCAGCAACCAGCTCAAGCTCACAAACTCGATCCTTCGCAACAACAAGGCGCTTCACTATGGCGGCGGTACAACCCAGCTTCTTTGTAATCACGTCGAGCGCGATTGTGTAGGGGTCGCTGCCGGGCGCGACTCGGTCAACGAGTACATCGGAACGAGCTTTGCGAACAACTCGGCGGTACTCGGTGGCGCAGTGTATGTGACCGACACGACCTGCCGCGCCACCGAGTGCGCGTTTTTGCAAAATCAAGCGGCAGAAGGCGGCGGCGTTGCTGTCGATCGGAGCGCCATCGTGTTTGCAACGGCGTCGACGTTCCGGGGCAACGACGCGGCGGCCGACGGCGGTGGTCTCCTTCTCATGCTCAAGGCCACGGCGGTCGTGACTAACTGCGTGTTTGCCCAGAATTCGGGGAGCACGGGTGGCGCGATCGCCGCCGGGTCTCTTGCGTCTTTAACCACCACTGGCACGACGTTCCACGCCAATCGCGCGTCGGGCCTCGGCGGCGCACTGGCGTGCTTCGGCACGGCGACCGTTCAAATGTCGGGCGCCAATCTGACGAGCAACCGCGCGTCCGACGGCGCCGGCATCGGTCTCACGACGTCAGCGTTGGTCAACATCAGCGACAGCTCACTCCGTGGCAACGTGGCGGGGTTCCGCGGGGGTGGTATTTACATGACGGTCACGTCCGCCAAGCAGCTGGCGCGCCTGCGAATTGAAACCAACCAAGCCTTCAGCGGCGGCGGCGTCTTTTGGTGGGTCGGAACACCAATCTACGCGTGCGACAGCTGCAATATTGTTGGCAACACATTGTACGACGTGGCTACCGACTCGAATCAATTCGACGTCCTCTGGTGGCCGTCGAATGCGTCCAGCGCGCTGAGTTTGACCCAAGTGCCCGACACGGTGTCGATCACTGCGCCGTCCAATCTGACGGCGGCGTCGCCTTCCGAGGTCTGGCCACGCCTCGAGGTCCAAGACTACTATGGTCAGCGGTCGCTTACGGAGAACGACACGTACTGCTTCGTGACCGCTGCCAACGTCTCGGACAACATTGTGACGTTCGATCCGGCGTACCGCGTCAACGCTGTCTCGGGCGTCGCGTGGTTTCCTGGTGCGACGGTCGTCGCAGCGGCGCGCAACGCGTCGTATCTGCTCGAAACGTCCTGCGTTCTGCCATCGTCGAGTCTCGTGCGCACGCGTCCCATCAGCATGATCGTTCTGCCGTGCCCCGCTGGGTACAGCCTGGCCGGTGACATGTAGGCTGCAGTTGCATTTCCAGCGACTTGATGCAGTCGTTCTTGTCTCTAGGCGCTGCAATCGATGCCGCAACAACCAATACAGGTACGCAAGACAAGAACGTTTTAGTGCGGTATCGATGCATGCACGAAACTAGTCTCGACGGCGTCAACTGCTACGACTGCCCGACGGGTGCCAGTTGCACGCAGTACGTCGGCACCCCCGTGGGTACGAGCGCACTCACGTACGGTGTCGCCGTGCCGCGGACGCAGAGCGACTTTATGGCGTACCGGGCGCCGTCGACGACGCAGTCGGACTGCAACCCGTACAACTGGGAAGCGGCCGACCCGTGTCTGCCGTTCGCAGTGAGCGCGGCCGGTGGCGCCCTCGGGTCGCGCATCACGATCGACGTCGCATCGGTCATCAACAAGTGCATTCAGTACGGCAACGCCGCGCTCATGAGCAAGTACTGGCCCACGGACCGGCGGTTTGCGTGCCAGACCAACATGTCGTTCTACGCGTGTGACGTACGTTTTCTTTCAAACTGTCAAGGTATCAATTCGTTGCGCGCAGATCCGAGGCGCGTGCCCTCAAGATATATTTATCGACACGATCGCGTACAACGCGTCGGCGATCCCTTGCGGGACCGGGTACCAAGAGATCATGTGTTCCGTGTGTCAAGACGGCTACAAGCGCGCAACCAACGGATCCTGCCAGCGTACGTTCCATCCCGTCGCATGTCATGTGCACTCGACGATGCATAGCCTGCGACGAGGTCAACGCGCAGATCCGGCGCGAGGTGTCGTGGACCAACTTTGTCTTGCCGACCTTGTCACTGCTTCTCTTGTTGCTCATCGCTGTAGCGCTGCGCCTTTCGCTCAAGGTAGCATTATTCCACTGTACGTATTTCGCTGCAACATTCATAGGACGGCACGGAAATTCCGCTGCTCGACAAGGCGCAGCACGACCGCAAGCACAAGCTGTACACGCCGCCGGCTGTCGTGAAGAGCAAACTGCGGCGGTGGGTCGAGGCCAAAATCGACGCGTTTCGAGCCAAACAGGCCGCGAAGGCGGCCGAGAAGGCCAAGGGCAACACGGCCATCCTCTTTGGCGTCGCGCCCGTGGACGTCATGGGGAGCATTTACTTTAGCCCCGAGAAGATCAAGATCCTCATTGGGTTTTTCCAAATCTTTGGCAACCTCAAAAAGACGTATGGGATCAACTGGAACGCCAACGTCAACTGGGCCATGACCACGTCCTCGTCCGTCAACCTCGTACGCCTCTCTGTCTCTTGATACCTCGAACCTACTCTGCCGTAGGACTTGATTTCGATTGCGGGCCTCGACTGCATTCTCGCGCGGACCTTCTACTTTGATTTTGTGTACATTTCTTTCGACAAGGTGGACAATATGTCTTTAAACCCACGTGTAGGCTCCAACTGAGCATCGTCGGCTTCCTCCTCGGCACGCTCTTCTACTGCTACATGCGCGGCATCAAGGACTACGAAGCCAAACTCTCTTCGATTCCGCGCAACTGCATCAAGTGCGGCCACCCGGTCCACGATAAATTCTCGCGCCAAGTGTACAAGGACATTCCGCGCTACATGGAGAAGCGCCATCGGCTGAGCGTCCACGCCAAACAAAACCTCCACCGGCTCCAGTCGATCGTGCGCTCGCCCATGGACAAGCTCGCCTCGGACGAGCGCCGGCTCAAGCGCGAGCTCGGTATGTCCCAAGTCAAGACCGACGTCCTCCCGATCTTCCCGTCCGTGCACATTACGCGGCCGTGCCCGACCGACGACGTCCTCTCCGGCGCGCTCCTCGACCGCACGCTGCGCAGCAACCTCCGCGTCTGGCAGGCGCGCGTCAAGCTCCGCATGAACTACAACACGTACCGGTCTAAGTGTTTTCAGAAATTTCTCTGGTACACTTTCGGGCAATTCAAAAAATTTGGTGGACAATATGTCCTAGGCTGCTCCTTGTGCTGTATCCGATGGTGTCGCAGACGATCCTCAACATCTTCAACTGCCAAGACGTCGGCGGCGTCTCGTACCTCGTGCTCGACCGGCGCCTGCAGTGCTATACGCTCACGTGGTCGCTCTATGCTACAATTGGATTCGCGTGCGTTGGCGTCTGGGTCGTCGGCGTCCCGGCGCTCTTCTTCCTTGTCGTCTACCGCGTCCGGACAAAGAACGTCGAAGCGCGACTGGCCATTCTCAAGCAGCCGCGGTACCGCGAGCTGCGCGCCAAGTGGACCAAGCGTATGCGCGAGTACTTTGCCAACGAGCGCGGCATCCGCGTCCGTGAAAACGAGTTTGCGGCCATCGAGAACGCGTATCTGCGCGAGTACATGCACATGCTCAACCTCGTCGACAAGACCAACGTGCTCAAAGTCGGCTTTATCTACGCCAACTGTACGCCACGTGGATCCAGCGCATGCGTTTTACGCAGTTTTGTTCGATAGACAAGCCGCGCTTTTGGTGGTTTGACGTGCTCGACCTCGTTCGGTCTCGACGTTCTCTCGTGCCGCATGAATGCTCATCGTACAATGGTATGTAGGAAGCTCCTCTTGAACGGCGTCGTCATGTTTCTCAAAAACAAACCCGTCGTCAAGTCCATCTTCAGCATGTCGATCAGGTAAAAAGCGAGTACAGTGCCGAGGAGCGATATATGTGCGACCGACTAGCGTCGTTCTCATGGCCGGCCTCCTCTACTACCGCCCGTACAACGAGTGGACCGACAACATTGTCAACAGCATGACGCAGTTCCAGATCATTTTGACGCTCTGGGTCGGCATTGTGCTGCTCTTGGTGGCCGAGACAGGCCTCGACCTCATCAACGAAGACGTCGTCATCAACGTCATGCTCGCTGTCAACCTCTGCGGCGTTCTCTTCACGGGCTACATCATGTGCCAGCAAGCGATGACGCGCTCGCGTCAGGAACTTGCGGTCGCCCGCGCCGAGCGCCAACGAAAAATCTCGCATGTGGTCAAAGACCTCTGGCGCAAGGCCTTCAACTTCGCCGTGTACGAAGCGCAGCAAGCGAGGAGCTACCGCGCGACGCTCTCGGTGGCCGCGATGCTCGAGGCCGTGCGCCGCGCCATTGCCACCGCCAAGCACGACGCGGATGACGTGATAGTGCACAACATCATCGATGCGCCGCGACCGTAGCTATACCTTGACGAAATTGCATATCCATTCTTTATGTCGGCGACAAGTTACTTGAGCAGCCGGCGCCGGTTGCGCCCGCGGATCAACGGATGGCGCTTGTAGTACTTGCGGTGGGCCTCGCGGAGGTGGTGCGGCCGGATCGGCCCGTCGTCGCCGGCATGCGCCATTATCTTGCGCGCTACGCTGCATGAGCTCCAAGGAAAAGATGGATGATCGCGAGTACCTTCGGCAATGAGCTCGCCGAGAAACATTTTGGCCAGCCCTAGCGACGAGATGATGGAACGAGGCGATGCGCGACGGTGCATGTACCCGACATGACGATGGACATGGCGTTATGGACCGGCGGGACGCGGCGCTCGCCCACGCAGGCCTCTTCGATCACCTGCGTCATGCACTAGCATGGCCTTCATGAGTCGCCGGCATGAGAGACGCGTCGACGTACCCGCTTGATGACGTTCTTGTCAAAGTGGGACCGGCGGAATTGCTCGTGGCGGCGCACGTCGGCCTCGGGCATGGCCTGGATGAAGCGCAGCATGTCCATAGGTCCAGCCTCGGCGCCCATGTCTTCGTCTTCGTCGTCTGGCGCGTCGTCGTCGGCCGTGTCGTACGGCTCGTCTTCTGCCGTCTCGCCGCCGGCGTCGACGGCTTCTGGCGTCTCGACGCTGGCCTCGTCCTCGCTGTTCTCGTTGGACTTGGCATCGTCGCCGTTGTCCTCGTCGCCAGTCTCGACGCTCGACTTGGCGTCGTCTTCGTCTTCGTCCTCATCCTCGTCGCGCAGGAGCTCGTCCAGGTCGTCCATCGTCTTGCCCACGCAATGCAATATGCAGGTATGAACAGTATTTTCGGTCCATGCATGGGGTATAATTTGGTGTACTTAATTAAATAGTGTTAAATATTCGACCGATCTACTACGACAGGAGCGATCGTTTGACAGCCCTGCGATCGCCACATCAAATGAGCAGTAGCCATGCAGGTCCATGCGAGCACAATCCTGTCCAGGATCAATGCACCTGCACCGGCCTTAAACATTACACTATTTATCTTTTTACTTGAAATGGTGTGAGCTGCGACAGGAGTTTCCAATCTTGAATCGTCGCGAGGTCGACCGGCGCGGGCCCACTGCATGCACCGTAGCTTGCGTTGACTTTGCCGCCATGAACAACTCGAAGAAGGTGCGTTGAATGACGCTACATCTAGTGCGCTCATGCTCCACGCACAGACGACGGTCAAGCCGCCCAAGAAGGAGCGGCCATCACCGGCGTCGTCGATCGCAAGCGTCCTCGGGCAGCTCGACGCGTACGAGAGAAGCGTCTGCAACAAGAAGTCCGACTTGACGCTGCCTATCGTGGGCGCGCCAGCGCCGTCCTTGTCTCCGTCCAAGTCGCGCCAAAAGCTCATCAAGCAGATCCAGTCCAACGCGAGCCTCGACCGCGGGCCGCCGCCACCAGGACCACCGCCGCCGCCCGAGAACGTCTCACTCGTCGAGTACCTCGAAGCCGTCGTGCCCGTCGAGAAGCTCGTCGATCATGCCAATGCACTCACGCGCCCGCAGCTTCCCATCGCTTGTTATGCCGACCTCGACGATGCTGGCGGGCGCGCCTTTCTGACAACCGGGCCCAAGAAGGCTGTCGCGCTAGCCATGGACGCTCGCACCGGCGCCATCGGCCACTGGTCGGCCTGCACCGTCATCGCCTACGACGCCAACGCGAGCGTCTTTGTCGTCGCGTGGCTCGCTGGCGCGCGCATCGGGGCGCCGCTCGTGCCCCGCGTGCTGCTCTGCTTTGAGGCCGAGCCGCGCGCCCCGTTCGTAGCGCGCTTGTCTGCCGCCTTGGCGTTACGGTCCGAGGCCGAGGCCCGACTTCGCTACGAGCTGTACGTTGAATCCATGCCGCCCGACGTCGAGGCGCAGCTCGATGCCGACCGTGTCAACAGCATTCTCTCGTTCGCTCTCTCGTCCTCGCGGCTCTCGACGAATGCGCGGACATCCAAGCTCTTAGAGGAAGTCAACGAGGGCTACATGCGCACGATGAACGCAATTCTGCTGGCCACGAACCTCCGCGACGTCGCGCGGGAATTTCCGATGCTCCGGCTCCCGACACCAAACGTCGTCCCCGATGTGCCAGCCTTTGGCACCGTCCAGGTGCCAATCTATGACTTTAACCAGCGACGTCACAACGCGACGCTTGATTCGTTCTTGAGTGCCCCACCAGCGATTCATGCGCTGCTCGACGTCCGCCACGCGTGCAACAATATGGGCTCGCACCTGCTGCTCAAGACGGACCAGACCAGCGACGCCGCAGTCGCCCCTCGGTCCGTCGTCTTGCCGGACTTTCTCTCGGCGCAGACGCTCGCGAATCAAAATGCGATGCGCTTTCTACGCGACAACTGGACGCGGAGTGCCGCCAAGTGCATTATCAACCACATGGGACCGCACTACAACCTCCTCGAGAGCCATCGCAGCGTGTACGAGAGCTCGCCGCTGCGCCGCGTCCTTCGCCGCGTCAACCTTGTCGCTGAAGACAGTCTCCGGGATGTTGTCACCGACACATTCCAGGCGTATGCTGCTTTTGTGCAGTCCATGTGTGCCAAGACCGTCGTAATTGCCGACACCCACGACGTCCGCGTCGACACACACGGCAAGCCTTCGTACGTCGCGCTCTTCAAGGTCGACGTCGTCATCTCGGGGGCGCCAAAGGTTCTCAACGAAGCTGCGGTCCACGAACGCGCGGCGGCGATCGCGGCCTGGGACAGCGACGAGCCGTGCCCGCTCGAGCCCATCGCGCCCGAACTCGGCCACGACTTCGAGTACGCGACGCCGCCCCATGCGTTTGCCGACGCAGTCGTGTCGCAGCTCGGTCTTGCGCTGGACCGCGTCAAGACTCTCGAGCTCATTGAGCGCATCGTGATGGACCGCCTGTTCTGGCCCAACCAAGACACCATTGCGTGTGTGAGCATGGACGAGCCGTGGGTTGTGACGCTGGTCGCGTCGATGCAGGTCGCGCTCACCGAGGCGTTGTCGCCGATGCATGCGTACTTGGCGCTCCTCGCCAAGCACATTCCGCTCCTGAACCTCAACGTGCTCGAGTACCTTGGCAGTCTTCTCAAAGCGCCGGAAGCCAAAGACGATCCGAACGAAATCGATGTGACGCCGCCGATGGAGATCAACGAACTGCGGCGCGTGATCCTGAAACACCGCGAAGCCGAGCGGTTGATTCTAGAGGCGCTGCCATCGACGCCCGTGAACCTCGGCCTCGTCGCCGTCGACGTGGGTCACGTCCGTCTCTTCCTCGCCAAGAAACACGCCGAGATTTACACCAAGCTCCTCGAGACGCAAGTGGCCTTTTGCTACCGGCTTGCGACCAAACTGACATCCAGTTTTGACGAGATCAACGCCAACTTGGCCGTGACGCCCAAGGACGTCGAGGGCTTGACGGCGCTCCAAGAGTACATTGCGTCGGTCCCTGCGACGCTACAGCCACTCCAGGAGGACATTCGCGTCATGCTTCTCAACAACGACCTCGTCGACGACTTTGGCTTCCTCGTCTCGGACGAGCACCTCCGGCTCAAGTGGAACGTGCTCGGGTGGCCGGGGCGCATTCACACGCAGAGCGCGCGCTTCAAATGGGCGCTCGACGAGCGCAAGGCAAAATTCGCCAAGCAAATGGAGGCCGAGCAAGAGCGGTTCGAGAAGACGCTGGCGGCGCTCGTCGAAGAAGTTGACGCGTTCGCACGCTACGACAACCTCGCGCACGTCGAGGACATTGCGCACCACGCGATGGCGGTCCAGAAAAAGCTCGACCAAGCGTCGTCGGACGCGGCGATCTTCAATTCGCGCGAGGTGCTCTTTGGCAAAGACATGACGAGCTACGACGTCCTCGCGCTCGCCAAAAAAACGTTCGAGCCCTACAACCAGCTCTGGGGCACGGCGTACAATTGGCTCCAGTCGCGGAAGCAGTGGACGCAAGGCAGCTTCTCGGACGTCAACGCAGAAGAGATTGAACGCGCCGTCGAGACGTATGGCGGCACGATCGCCAAGGCCGCCAAGTTCTTCAACGCGAGCGGCAACGAGGCGTGCGCGCGCATCGCCGAGACCATCAAAGAGCAGGTTGGCGTGTTCAAACCGTATGTGCCGCTCATTCTCGGCCTCCGGAACCCGGGCATGCGGCCGCGGCACTGGGCCGAGCTCAGCAAGGTCCTCGGCTTCACCCTCGAGCTCGACGAGAGCTTTACGCTCAACAGTATTTTCCGGCTCAATTTACTCGACCAAATCGACGAAATCGTCAAGGTCGCTGAAGCCGCGGGGCGCGAGTACCAGATCGAGGCCGCTTTGAACGCGATGAAGACGCAGTGGGAAGCAATCGACCTCCAGATCCTCTCGTACCGCGAAACGGGCACGTACATCATCAAAGGCGTGGACGAGATCCAGATCGTGCTCGACGAGCACATTACGATGACGCAAGCCATGATGTTCTCGTCCTTCAAGGGTCCGTTTGAGGAGCGCATCACGGAGTGGAATGGGACGCTGCAGCTCATCTCGGAGATCCTCGAAGAGTGGCTGGCGGTGCAGCGCAGCTGGCTGTATCTGCAGCCGATCTTTGAGAGCCCCGACATCAACAAGCAGCTGCCGTTAGAAGGCAAGCGGTTCGCGTCCGTCGACAAGAACTGGCGCCAAACGCTCGCGTCGGCGCGCGCCAAGCCGCGCTGCGTGGACTTTTGCAATTCGGGAAAGCTGCTGGAAAAGTTTCATGAAAGCAACGTGTTTCTGGACATGGTGCAGAAGGGGCTGAGCGACTATCTCGAGGTGAAGCGGTCGTCGTTTGCACGCTTTTACTTTCTCTCGAACGACGAGCTCCTCTCGATCCTCTCCGAGTCGAAAGACGTCAAGCTCGTCCAGCCGCACTTGAAAAAGTGTTTTGAAGGCATTGTCAAGGTCGAGTTTCAAGACGACTTGACGATCACGGCCATGATCTCGGCCGAGGGCGAGAGCGTCCGCATGCACGAGCCCATCGATCCGAAGAATAAGAACGTCGAGCTCTGGATGCTCGAGGTCGAAAACATGATGCGCACGTCGATCCGCGACACGATGCATTGCTCGATCGTCGACTACATCAAGGTCGACCGGAGCAAGTGGGTGCAGAAATGGCCCGGCATGTGCGTCTTGAATGCGAGCCAGATGCACTGGACGCGTGAGATGGAGGAAGCCATGGACAAATTCGGTGCCGACGGCGTCAAGCTCATGCTCAACCGACAGCTCGGCCAGCTCGCCGACATGTATCACGATGATTGTATCAAGATAGCAACTCAACGTGGCATAGGGTGACCATGGTGCGGGGCCACCTCGACAAGATGACGCGTATTACGCTCGGCGCGCTCACGGTCATTGACGTCCACGCCCGCGACGTGACCAAGAAGCTCGTGGCCCAAAACGTGCAGTCGAAAGCCGACTTTTTGTGGAGCTCGCAGCTCAAGTACTACTGGGACGACGACTTGTTTGCGCAAATGGTCACGTCCAAGCGCCCGTACGGCTACGAGTACCTCGGCAACTCGTTCCGGCTCGTGATTACACCGCTCACGGACAAGTGCTATCTGACGCTCATGGGGGCGCTCCAGATGATCCTCGGCGGCGCGCCCGCCGGTCCTGCCGGCACGGGCAAGACGGAAACCACCAAAGATCTGGCCAAAGCGCTGGCGAAACAGTGCGTTGTCTTCAACTGCTCGGACGGCCTCGACTTTATTGCGATGGGCAAGTTTTCAAGGTACCACGTAGCTACTCACTTGATCGTTGGGACCAACATGGGCATGAAGGGGCTGGCGTCCTGCGGCGCGTGGGCGTGTTTTGACGAGTTTAACCGCATCGACATTGAAGTGCTCTCGGTCGTGGGCCAGCAAGTCATGACGCTCCAGGTACTCGATAGATTGATAGATTGGTATCTTGATATATTGTCTCTAGCTCGGTATTCGCCGTGGCGAGAAGCGCATCGTGTTTGAAGACTCGGACATCAAGCTCAGCGACCAGTTTGGCGTCTTCATCACGATGAACCCGGGGTACGCCGGGCGGTCCGAGCTCCCCGACTCGCTCGCCGCGCTCTTCCGCCCCGTCGCGATGATGGTGCCCGACTACGCGCTCATTGGCGAAATCATGTTCTTCGCCTACGGCTTTGCCGACGCCCACGCCCTCGGCGCCAAGATGGTCACGACGTTCAAGGTATTTTGAGCGATGGAAGAATCGTATTTTCAATGCGTTTTGAACCGTAGCTCTGCTCGGAGCAGCTCTCGTCGCAGTGCCACTACGACTACGGGATGCGCGCTGTCAAGACGGTCATCACGGCCGCGGGCAACTTGAAGCGGTCCGATCCGGACATGGACGAAGATGTTCTCTTACTCCGGGCCCTCCAAGACGTCAACTTGCCGAAATTTTTGGCCCACGACATTCCGCTCTTCAACGGCATCATTTCGGACCTCTTCCTCGGGAAGCAGCGGCCGGTCATCGACCTCGGCGCGCTCATCTCGGTCATTAAGCTCCAGACGCAAAAGATGCAGCTCCAGCCCGTGCCGTATTTTCTCACCAAGTGCATCCAGCTCTACGAGACGATCGTGGTGCGGCACGGTCTCATGGTCGTCGGCGCGACGGGCGGCGGCAAGTCGTGCAACATTGAGGTGCTCGCCCAAGCCCTCTCGGAGCTCAAGAGCCGCAACGAGCCCGGGTTTGCGTACGAGAAAGTCATCAAGTACCAGCTGAACCCAAAGTCCATCACGATGGGCCAGCTCTACGGCGAGTTTGACGCGAATACGCACGAGTGGCAAGACGGGATTCTCTCGACCTTGTATCGCACGGCGGCGTCGTGCACCAAGTCGGACCGCAAGTGGATCATCTTTGACGGGCCCGTCGATGCGATTTGGATTGAAAACATGAACACAGTGTTGGACGACAACAAGAAGCTGTGCCTCAACTCGGGCGAGATGCTTCAAATGTCCTACCAGATGACCATGATGTTTGAGGTCGAGGACCTCTCCGTGGCGTCGCCGGCCACCGTGAGTCGCACCGGCATGGTGTACATGGAGCCGAGCACGCTCGGGTTGAACCCACTCGTCATGAGCTGGCTCGAGAAGCTCCCAAAGACGCTGAGCGTCCACGCGCCGAGCTTTCTCCGGCTCTTTGACATTTATCTGCACGCAGCGGTCATCTTTATGCGGTCTTATCTCATCGAGCTGGTGCCGACGATCGACAACAATCTCGCGCAGTCGCTTCTAAGTCTTCTCAACTGCTTTCTCGGCCCGTACCTGGCGACCGAGCCCATAGCGCCCGACGCAGCGTTCCGAAATGACATTGAGCCCATGTTTCTGTTTTCGCTGATCTGGTCGATTGGCGCGACCACGAACGACCTCGGGCGCCTTCGTTTTGATGCGTACGTACGGCTGCAGATGCTCGCCAACAACGCGGCGACGCTCTTCCCGGCCAAAGGCCTCGTGTACGACTACAGCTACTCGATGAAGGAGCACAAGTGGGTCTTCTGGATGGACACGATTCCCGTGTACCGCGTCCCGTCCGGCATTTCGTTTGCTGAAATTGTCGTGCCAACGTCCGACAGTGTCCGCAACACGTACCTCCTCGAGCAGCTCGTGAAAACGGGCAAGCACGTGCTCATGGTCGGCGCGACGGGACGGGCAAGACGGTCAACATCGCGCGCTTCTTGTCGTCGCTGCCGAGCGAGTACATGCCCGTGGCCATGACGTTCTCGGCGCAAACGAGCGCAAACCAGACCCAGGATCTCCTCGACAGCAAGATGGAGAAGCGCCGAAAAGGCGTGTTTGGACCGCCCGCCGGCAAGACGTTTGTCGTGTACGTCGACGATCTCAACATGCCGAAGCGAGAAAAGTACTTTGCGCAGCCGCCGTTGGAGCTGCTTCGGCAGTGGTTTGACCAAGGCGGGTGGTACGACCGCAAGCTGCTGCAGTTTCGCGCGATCATTGACATGCAGTTTGTCGCGTCCATGGGGCCGCCGGGCGGCGGGCGCAACCCGATCACGATGCGGCTCCTCCGGCACTTTAACGTCGTGTGCTACGCCGAGCTCGGCGACGACAACAAGGCCATCATCTTTGCCACGATTCTCAATAATTTTCTGAGCGCGTTCCCGGCCGAGGTCCAGCGGCTCGAAACGCCGATCGTGACCGCGTCAATTGAGGTCTACAATACCATCTGCAAGGAGCTGCTGCCGACGCCGGCGAAATCGCACTACACGTTCAACTTGCGCGACCTCGCCAAAGTGTTTCAGGGCTGTTTGATGTGCGATCCGCGCAAGGTGACGGACGCCCATGGCTTTCTACGGCTCTGGGTGCACGAAAACAAGCGCGTGTTTGAAGACCGCATGGTGTGCGCCGACGACCACGCGTGGTTTGCGGCGCTGCTTTCCACGACGTGTGCAACTGCGTTTGACACGGACTTGGCATCGATTGTGACGACCCCGTACCTCCTCTACGGCGACTACCTCGTGCCGGGGGCCGACCCCAAGATTTACGAAGAAGTCGTCGACGTGGCCAAGCTCCTCCCGATCGTCGAAGAATATTTGGCCGACCACAACGCCGAGTCCAAGACGCCGATGCCGCTCGTGCTCTTCATTGACGCCGTCGAACACGTCTCGCGGATCGCACGCATTCTGCGGCAACCCCTCGGCAATGCGCTCTTGCTGGGTGTCGGCGGCTCGGGGCGGCAGAGTCTCACCAAGCTGGCGACCTTTATGGCTGGCTACAAGTGCTTTCAAGTCGAGATCGTCAAGGGCTACGGCATGACCGAGTGGCGCGACGACGTCAAGCGCTGTCTTTTGCTCGCGGGCTTGAAGGACAGCCCGGTCGTCTTCCTCTTCTCGGACGTCCAAGTCGTCAACGAGACGATGCTCGAAGATCTCAACGGCGTCCTCAACTCGGGCTCGGTCCCGAACCTCTATGGCCCCGAAGACATGGACCAAATCGTCAACGCGTGCAAGGCCGACTGCCAGAAAAAGTCGATTCCGCCCACGAAAACCAACATTTTCGCGCAGTACATTGTGCGCGTCCGGAAAAACATCCATCTCGTGATTTGCATGAGTCCGATCGGCAACGCGTTCCGCGATCGCTTGCGCATGTTTCCGTCGCTCGTCAACTGCTGCACGATCGACTGGTTTAGCGAGTGGCCCGCCGAAGCGCTCAACTCGGTCGCGACCGCGATCCTCAGCGACGGCAACCTCCAGCTCGGGTCCCCGGACCAGATGCAGCACCTCGTCGAAGTCATCAAGTGCATTCACCAGAGCGTCGAGCACAAGAGCAAGGAGTACTACTCGATTTTGCGACGGTACTTTTACGTCACGCCCACGTCGTACCTCGAGCTCCTCGCGACGTTCAAAGCCGTGCTCGTCTCGAAGCGGGAGGATGTCAACACGATGAAAAGCCGCCTCCAAAACGGCGTCGACAAGCTCTCGGAAACCAAGGTGCTCGTCGCGACCATGCAAGACGAGCTCGTGGCGCTGCAGCCGGTCCTCGCCGCGACCCAGATTGAAGTCGAGCAAATGATGGTTCAAATCACAAAGGATCGCGCCGAGGCCGACGTGACGAAAGCAGTCGTTCAGAAGGAGGAGGAGAGTGCGTCGACCAAAGCGCGCGCGACCAAGGAGATTGCCGACTCGGCCCAGAAGGACCTCGATGAAGCTCTCCCCGCGCTCGATGCGGCGGTGGCGTGCTTGAACAAGCTTAAGAAGGCCGACATTGACGAAGTCAAGTCGCTGAAAACGCCGCCGGGCGGCGTCAAGCTCACCATGGAGGTGGTGTGCCTCCTCTTTGGGCACAAGCCCACGATGAAGGCCGACCCGGACAAGCCCGGCAAAAAGATTGCCGATTTCTGGGACGTGGCTCAAAAAGTCGTGCTCGCGAACGCCAACAAGTTTCTCGAGTCGCTCATGGGCTTTGACAAAGACAACATTCCGGATGCGGTCATCGCCAAGGTCCAGCCGTACATCGACGACCCGAACTTTACGCCCGATGCGATTGAAAAGTCCTCGAAAGCGTGCACGGCCATTTGCATGTGGGCGCGCGCCATGTACACGTACTACTTTGTTGCCAAGTCGGTCGAGCCCAAGAAACAGGCGCTCGCCCAAGCGCAGACCGAGCTCGACGCGACGATGGAGATCCTCCGCGGCGCGCAAGCCGGTCTCAAGCAGGTGACCGACCGCCTCGCCGAGCTCGAGGCGAGCTACAACGCTGCGATCGCCAAGAAGGAGGAGCTCGCGGCCAAAGTCATTCAGTGCCAAGTGCAGCTCTCGAACGCCGACAAGCTCATCGGCGGCCTCGGCGGCGAAGAGACGCGTTGGAAGGCCACGGTCGCGCAACTTGAAAAAGACTACGTCAACCTCACAGGCGACGTGCTCGTGAGTGCGGGTACGATCAGCTACCTCGGCGCCTTCACGGCCGAGTTTCGGGACGACTTGGTCTCGAGTTGGCATGGCGCGCTCGTGACCTATCACGTGCCGCACTCGGCCGGCTGCGGCATCGTCGGAACGCTCCAAGATCCTGTCAAGCTGCGCACGTGGCAGATTGCGGGTCTGCCGACCGACACGGTCTCGACGCAGAACGGCATCATCATGTCCCGCGCGCGTCGGTGGCCGCTCCTGATTGACCCGCAAGGCCAGGCCAATCGGTTTGTTAAAAACCTCGGGAAGGAAAAAGCGCTGTGCGAAAACGGCATGGACGTCGTCAAGCAGTCGGACAAGAACTTCCTGCGCGCGCTTGAGAATGGCATCCGCTTTGGCAAATGGGTCGTGCTTGAGAACGTCACGGAAGAGCTCGACGCGGCGCTCGAGCCAGTGCTGTTGCAGCAAAAGTTCAAACAAGGCGGCCAAGACGTCATCCGGCTCGGCGAAAACGTCATTCCGTACAACGAGAGCTTTCGGTTCTACATGACGTCCAAGCTCGCGAACCCGCACTACCCACCCGAAGTCTGCGTCAAAGTGAGCTTGCTGAACTTTACGATCACGATGAAGGGCCTCGAAGAACAACTGCTGAACGTCGTCGTCCAAAAGGAGATGCCCGAGCTCGCCGAAAAGAAGAACGAACTCGTGCTCTCCAACGCCGCGTCCAAGCGACAATTGTACGAAATTGAGAACCAGATCTTGTACCTTCTCTCGCACTCGCAAGGCAACATCCTCGACGACACGAATCTCATCGAGACGCTCGCGTCCTCCAAGCAAACGTCGGCGGTCGTCGTGGAGAAGATGAAGGAGGCCGAAGAGACGGAGAAGGAAATTGACGCACGCAGCGACGGGTACCGCCCGGTCGCCTACCGTGCGGCGCTGCTCTTTTTCTGTATTGCCGACCTCGCGCGGGTCGACCCGATGTACCAGTACTCGCTCCCGTGGTTCACGTCGATCTTTGTGCGGTCGATTCTGGCCGCCAAGCCGTCACCGCAGCTCGCGACGCGGCTCCAAAACCTCAACGATTACTTTACCTACTCGATCTACAAGAACGTGTGCCGGTCGCTCTTTGAGAAGCACAAGCTTCTCTTTTCGTTTCTGCTCACGATCAAGATTCTCATGGGCAACAACGAGATCGACGGCCTCGAGTGGCGCTTCCTCCTCTCGGGCATGGCCCCCAATACGCTCACGGTCGAGAACCCGGCGCCGACGTGGCTCGAAGGCTACGCGTGGACAGAGCTCTGTCGACTCGCAACGTTACCGGCCTTTGAGGGCTTTACGGAGGCATTTGCGGCGCACAAGGCGGTGTACCGAGGCCTCTTTGACAGCCCCGAGCCGCACGTCGTGCCGCTTCCCGGCGGGTGGCAGACCAAGCTCGACGCGTTCCAGCGCCTCTGCGTCCTCCGCAGTCTCCGCCCCGACAAAATGATGGAAGGGATTCAGAACTTGGTGGTTGAGAAACTCGGGCAGCCGTTCATTGAGCCGCCGCCGTTCGACTTGCTAGAGACGTTCGAGGATTCGACGCCCGTGTCGCCGCTTATTTTCGTGCTGTCGCAAGGCTCGGACCCGGCCAAGGACTTGTTGACGTTTGCGATCGCGACCAAAATGGACGCCAAGCTCAAGAGTATCGCGCTCGGTCAAGGCCAAGGCACGCTGGCCGCGCGCTTGATTGAGAATGCGGTACAGAAAGGCGAGTGGGTCCTCCTCCAGAACTGCCACTTGGCGCTGAGCTGGATGCCAGATCTCGAGCGCATCTGCGAAGAGCTCGACCCGGCCAAGCTGCACGTGGATTTTCGACTCTGGCTCACGAGCATGCCGACGCCCGTCTTTCCCACCTCGGTGCTCCAGAACGGCGTCAAAATGACCAAGGAGGCACCCAAAGGGCTGCGCGCCAACCTCAAAAACACCTACTACAAACTCAACGACGACGCTTTGAGCGTGACGGCCAAGCCCGACGTGTTCCGGAAGCTCCTCTTTGGGCTCTGTTTTTACCACGCGATCGTGTGCGAGCGCAAGCGGTTTGGCGCGCTCGGCTGGAACATTCCGTACTCGTTCAACGAGACCGACCTCGACATTAGGTACGTGATCCCTTCCATCTTGGTACTTAAATATGCCGCTAGCGTCGCGCAACTTGAAATGTTCCTCGACACGTACGACAAGGTGCCATTTGAAGTGCTACAGGTCATGACGAGCATGATCAACTACGGCGGCCGCATCACGGACGACAAGGACATGCGAACGTCCGACGTGATTCTCATGACGTACTTTTGCCCCGCGATTCTTGAGGTACCGCTGCAAATCGTCTCGAAAACACGTTTCAATGGGCGTAGAGCGGGTACAAATTTTCGACCAGTGGCGTCTACTACTCGTTGGCCGCCAACCCCAAAACGCCATACGCCTCGTACGTCGAGTACATCAACAGTCTGCCCATCAACCCCGAGCCCGAAGTGTTTGGCATGCACGAGAACGCCAACATTACGTGCGCCCAAGCCGAGACCTACGACGTCTTTGACATCATTTTGAGCCTCCAGCCCCGCGTGAGCGCAGGCGCCGGCCTCTCGCGCGAAGACACGATTGCGAGCGCGGCCGCGACCATCGAGGCGAGCTTGCCGCCCCACTTTGACCTCGAGTTTGTCCAAGTCAAGTACGCGGTCTCGTACACCGAGTCGATGAATACCGTGCTCGCGCAGGAGGTTGAGCGCTTCAATAAGCTCTTGACCGTCATGAAGGAGACGCTGCAGCAAGTTCAGCGCGGCCTCCGCGGTCTCATCGTGCTCTCGGCCGAGCTCGAAGCCATGGGCAACTCGCTTTACGACCAAAAAGTGCCTTTGCTCTGGGAAGCCAAGGCATACCCTTCGCTCAAGCCGCTCACGTCGTGGGTCGCGGACCTCCTGGAGCGCCTCCACTTTATCAGTCATTGGATCGACCACGGCATCCCGATCGTGTTTTGGATTTCGGGCTTCTTTTTTCCCCAGGGCTTTATGACGGGCATCATCCAGAACCACGCACGCCGCCAAAAACTGCCCATTGACACGCTCTCGTTCCAATACCTCATGATGCGAGAAGAGTTGGCGGACGTAACGACGCGGCCGGACGAGGGCTGCTACATTTACGGGCTCTTCCTCGAGGGCGCGCGCTGGAACAAGGACATTGCGTCGCTCGACGACCCGTTCCCGAAGGAGCTCTTTGCCAAGATGCCGCTCATGCATTTGCACCCGCAGCAGAAGCGCGAGGCGCCCGCAAACGGCATTTACCGCTGCCCCGTGTACAAAATCCTCACGCGCACGGGCACGCTCTCGACGACGGGACACTCAACCAACTTTGTCATGTGGATCGAGATCCCGTCGAACCGGCCGACGATCTGGCGCAACTCGCTCGTCTCCGAGACGAATGCGCAAGTCCTCTTTTGCGACCAAGAGTACTGGATCAAGGCTGGCGTTGCGTGCTTCTGTGCGCTGCGCTACTAAACTTTAGGCGCCCTCGTCGTTTTACGGCTGCTAAAAACACCTTGTACAAATGGTCACTCTACGTGTGCACCTGCCAGAGAAGTATTCAGAAAAGGTTGGTGAGATGAGATATGGGCTCGCATTGGACGACGGCTTGGTTTCGCCCTATATAAAAAAGTGACCAAAAAATACTCGACGCGGGACTCGAACCCGCAACCCCCAGATTCGAAGTCTGATACGCTATCCATTGCGCCAGCCAAGCCTGATTTACACCGTTATGAATCAGTGTATAACTCTATATTCACAGATACTATAGTTTTGGCAATCACACATCAAGTAATATAACAAGGAATCGTGTTGACAGTTAATTCTGCGTTTTTCCAGCCGTGCGTCCTCAGAGGCGCGGCCGTTGGTCATCCAGGCCGCGGCAGACGGAGGCCTCGTCAGTCGACGCCTTCGCCCGCTGCGAGCCGCGCCATCAGACCAAGCGACGCGATGAGAATCTCATCGTCACGCTGTACAAGACGACGTATCCGAGGAAGACGACGACATGCTCCAGCCAACCAACAACAACAACAACAACGGTCAGGGGGACCACAACGAACATCAGATCCAACACAGAACCGACATGAGCACCGAGAACAGAGCACAGAGCACAGAGCACAGAGCACAGAGCACAGAGCACAGAGCACAGAGCACAGAGCACAGAGCACAGAGCACAGAGCACAGAGCACAGAGCACAGAGCACAAATTAACCAGCCGCCGCCACCGCCACCGCCAACGCCATCAGCCATCAACCTTCAGCATCAAGATCCATATCATCCGACCCCGAAACCCAAGCCATCGACCCAAACAAAGAATTCAAATCCAACGCGCCACGCCGCCAAAACGAAAACAAATGTATCCAGCCAACCGCCCAGCTCCACGCCTCCAGAAGAAAACAAGTCAACATGCCCTGCGCCAAAACGAAAACACTTTCCAGAAGAAAAACAAGTCAACATGCCCTGCGCCAAACGAAAACATTTTCTTGTATGACGACCGACCAAGACGCCAAAACAAAACAACTCGACCGGTGTTGGCACCACGAGGATTCAACCTGCATCAACATTAGACCACCCGACATTTCGCGTCGGTCGCCAAGCGAACGACTTCCACCAGCCCGCGAGTTCTAGTGAGCACCCCCTGTGTACCTTCGGGTGCTGTAGCTCCAGGTCGGCCCACGGTCACATCCAAGTGGAACTCCGCAACACGGGTCTGGCTCACAACCGCGGATGCTGCTGGTCGATCAAGTAGCTCGACGATGGACAACATGGAAAAAGAAACCCAGAGTGGTAACCCCGGTAATTCACCGCCTGACAAGAAGAATCGTGTTGACAGATGAACAACTTATAATTGTCATCATCGTTTGCTATTTGGAAAATACAGCGGCAATGACGCAAGTGCACGATCGATAGAGCTCACTTGCATCAACAAATTTGATGTGTACTAGTATACCGTATCAATATGAGGTCTTGTTGTTGTTGAAGTGGGTCGTCTATAACAATATATCAACGTGTTCCGCGTTATCAGTAGTGCTAAGCCTGAATGCGTGGGCGTGTTGGGAGCTGCACTTGGTCGTTGGGAGTGAGCTGCGCACGGAGAGATCCAACCCGTGGTGGACCCCACTCGCCAAGGGATAGCTCGCGCAAGGTCTATTACAATAGATAAAACAAAGTAGTGATCGCCCACCGTGGGGCCCGAACCAAAAAGAGGTCTTGTTCCTAAATACTTCTACTCTAGTAAGCATCGACAGTATAGTAGGTATCCGCATCTTAACCCGACAATGGTAGGTCAAGTGGACAAATTTGGTCGGAAATTTTACAATACATTTGGTCGGAAATTTTACAATACATGAAATATTTTAATGTAAAGGGGAATTAGCTCAAATGGTAGAGCGACCGCTTCGCATGCGCCCTACTGGGTGTACCCCCATTCTCCAATCATTTTTATCCCTTCTCTATCCACGACAAAAACCAATACACTTTGCATCTTTTTCTACCATCAACTGCGCCATCAACACCATATGTTATGACCACACCAGCACCAAAAACACTCCAGACCCTTTTTGCACAGCAGTTTTCGTCTTTTACACAGTTATCACTCATTTCCCACGTTATTCACACCAAATTTTGTCAGCTCTCCTTGCTGAAAGCTGAAACAAGTATTTTTCGAGTTTATTTTTTTTGCCTGCCTTCATCCTGGGCTCGCTACGGCGCCAGCGACTCGCGTGACCAAATTTCGACTCGGAAAAAATCGCTCATATTTGCATGTCGATAGAGAATCTTTGGAGATCTCAAACACCTCGTTGCATCGCCAATAGAGTTGTCTAGCAGGATATATTCATCCGACAGTCTCGAAATGACCAAAGTCGCGTTCTTTGATATTTGGACGGGATAGAGCTCGATTGACACTGATCTTGCTGAGATGAAATGTAGTACATGACGTCTTCTAATGGTGACAATGAGAAGCTTTCAACAAAATGTGCATAATATCTAGAATTTGCTCTTTTGCGAAATTTGTCACTGGAACACGCACAAGTGTGCTGCTTCTCGTCGCGACACGGCCTCTACGAGGTACGACATGATGTATATGGACGCTAGATGGTTAATAAATGCGCCGAATGTGTGACACAAATGGCGTTATGAAAGATAATGCCTCGAGACGCCACGTAGCGTCGAATGAAGCAATTTCAGAAAACTTGGAGGAAGTGATAGAAGCGGCGTGCGAATGCGTAGATTGGTGCATTCGATGTGTTTGTTGATGTTGCTGTGTGGTGAGCATGTGTTTGGTGTATCGTAGGTGTGTATTGTCGATTTTAATGCAGTAAAGTGTATGTGTTGGTGTGTAGATGGCCCGGATGCGTATATTTTAATATAAAGGGGAATTAGCTCATTGTCAATTGTCCGCTTCGCATGCGGTAGGTAGGGGATCGATACCCCATTCTCCAATCATTTTATCCCTTCTCTATCCACGACAAAACCAATACACTTTGCATCTTTTTCTACCATCAACTGCGCCATCAACACCATATGTTATGACCACACCAGCACCAAAACACTCCAGACCCTTTTTGCACAGCAGTTTCGTTCTTTACACAGTTATCACTCATTTCCCACGTTATTCACACCAAATTTTGTCATCAGTAGCTCAGCTCTCCTTGCTGAAACAAGTATTTTTTCGAGCCAATTTCTTTTTTTCGTCATTCCTCATTCCTGGGCTCGCACCAAATTTCGACTCGGAAAACAAATCGCTCAAATCGCTCATATTTTAGAGAATCTTTGGAGATCTCAAACACCTCGTTGCATCGCCAATAGAGTTGTCTAGCAGGATATATTCATCCGACAGTCTCGAAATGACCAAAAGTCGCGTTCTTTGATATTTTGGACGGGATAGAGCTCGATTGACACTGATCTTGCTGAAGATGAAACGTGTACATGACGTCTTCTAATGGTGACAATGAGAAGCTTCAACAAATGTGCATAATATCTATGAATTTGCTCTTTTGCGAAATTTGTCACTGGAACACGCACAAGTGTGCTGCTTCTCGTCGCGACACGGCCTCTACGAGGTACGACATGATGTATATGGACGCTAGATGGTTAATAAATGCGCCGAATGTGTGACACAAATGGCGTTATGAAAGATAATGCCTCGAGACGCCACGTAGCGTCGAATGAAGCAATTTCAGAAAACTTGGAGGAAGTGATAGAAGCGGCGTGCGAATGCGTAGATTGGTGCATTCGATGTGTTTGTTGATGTTGCTGTGTGGTGAGCATGTGTTTGGTGTATGGTCGGGACGCCAGTGTCGGGCGCGCGCGTGCGGGGGTCGCGGCAGCAGCGACTGCGATTGAAGAAGCCAAGGAGCTGCGATGAAACGCACTTAATGGGAATTGATCCGTGCAGCGTGTCACGAGCGAAGCGAGTGTATCCGGCGATAGCCGGATCCAGCGCGGTAGCGCGATAGTGGCACAGGCCATGTGCAAGCGCAGTGAGTGCTTTTGGTATCGATGTGCCAACACGAGTGTAGCGTGTGCACCCGCGATAGTGCACAGTAATGCGTTAGGATAGTGTGCGCGCGATTGGCCGCGATGTGGCGGCTCGGTGCGGAGAGGTGGTCGAAGACGTAGTCTGTGGTGATGAGGCGCGGTAGGGGCATATTCCATGTGCAAGCGCAGCGATTGCTTCTGGCATGGATGCGCGCAGCGCCAACCACGAGTGGAGCGTGTGCACCTGCGATGGCGGACGGCAGCGCAGTTTGCTGCGGGCGACAGCTGGGACCAAGGACTATGCGGCTGTACTTTCTGGCAAATCGCGCGTGTACGACGCCCTGCAACCGAGCGACAAAATCATGGCACTGCGTCACGACACGGGTAGAATTGCTACCAGCCTCACCGCCGCCCAAGAAAAGAATATTTGACGTCGACGCCGCTGCAGCAATATAGAGATCAATCTTTTGGATGAACCCACCACGTGCACCGTGGCGCAGCGGAGGTTGCAGTGTGGTTCCCGGTCGAAGGCCGGCGGCGCACCGGAGCGAAGCGGAGGTTGCGTTTGGCGCACGCGTTCATCACACATTTGACATGTGAATGCGTGTCTGCATTGGGCAGGGTGTGCTGAATGGTATTACATGAAACCAAACACGGATGATTGATGGCATCCACACAGTCCATGCTACGACACCGACGCACCGCTAGATTGCACGCTGCCCCGATACCAAACGGAAATCAAAAGGCTCCACTGCACAAACCTTCTACACAAATGATACTACTGCGCATGCGACGCAGAAGACCGCTAGATGGCCCACCGGCCCTTTCTAAACCACAAAGATCAACCACACCCTGCCCCAAGAAAACACGAGGTGTGGGGCAGGGTACGCTAAACTTCAATGCACATACGAAGCAAAGAGGAAGAGGAGGAGGCAAACGGGCAAGCGGGAAGCGAGCCAGACCAGAAACCAAACGGAAGTGGGCGACGGTGAAGTCGCCACATCAAATGGCCCGGAATGTATTGAGGACATTATGGGGCATACAAACCGCGATTGAGGGCTGGGAAAACCTCCGAGTGAGGGAAAACCTAGCCTCCGACGGGAAAAATAGCCAATGAAGAGGGCTGGACAAAACCACCCAAGCCGAAAAACGATGAAGGTGTGTCATCTTCGTGTCGGCTGACGAGGCTCTCGAGGTGCTCTCTTGACGTGTTCTAAAGGTGTGCCAGACAAATCAACAATTGCGTGTTCCATGGCCGTGTTGCGCCTTGTGATTGGCTATAAATTATACTGCACCACAAGTTTTGACCAATCACATCGTGATGCTAGAAGGGTGACGTGTCGGTATTATTGAAATCGGCCTGTGCCGCACAAAACAACAAACGATGGCGGACGTGGTCACGGAGTTCAAGGTCGGCATGACGTGCGGCGGCTGCTCGTCGGCCTGCGAGCGCATCCTAATGAAGATCGCGGGTGCGCCCATTCTCTCTATGCATTGTTGCTCACGCATTGTCCGAGTTAGGCGTCAAGTCGGTAGCGTGCAACATCGAGGCGCAGCAAGTGCTCGTGACGGGCTCGGCGGACGCGCAGGCGATGCTCGCCGCGCTCCTCAAGTGGTCCGCGGCCAGCGGCAAGAGCGTCGAGCTTGTCCAATAGAGCGAGTGCATTTGAATCACGAATTCGTATGCACGCTTTCCTTATACGGACTTTACATGTCGGCGGGATCGTCCACTGCGATACGCCCGTCTCCTTGTTGTAGTAAAAGGGCTTGTTCTGCGCGTCGTCCCACTGCTCAACCCACGGGCTTTTCTTGGTCGCTTTCTCCTGGGAAACTTTGGCCTCTTCAAGTTCGTGCAAGTCGTCCTCATCGTCTTCGAGTACGTCGTTGACGCCCGCGACGATCTTATTTTTGTACTTGGTCGTCGTTTCAGCGAGCTTGGCGACCGCACTCGAGTCGGCGACGGCGTCCTTGACCCGAAGGGCCATCTTCTCGACTGCGTTCAGATTCTTGGGCTCGCGCCACACTGCGGGCCAGATCTGGTCGACTCCGACCGCATAATTGGTCTGGAGCGACATCTGGAACGGACCCTCCATACCCGCCTTGTAGGCGGCCACAAGCACCGTGTAGGTTCGAGCCGCGAGGTTGCAACGCAGAACGAGTTGGCGTTCACGGACGGGCGGGCCGCTGTGCTCGACCACAACGTCACGCGTCAGCACTTTGACACGGCTGGCGCGGTCGCCCATCGCGCCGGCCACGATGTAGACGGCGATGGGGAGCACGGTCACTGGTGCAAGTCCCTTCTCGTCGATTTGCGTGATCGTTAGGATCACCTCTGTTGGGCGCGAGACCGACAATGCGAAATGCGGGTTGGCTTCGACAGCGCCATCGGGGTTGTGGCGCGTCGGAAGGCCGCCGGCCGTGTCGGCCTTGACCGACCAATTGCCATGGAACGTTTGCGTGAGCCATTTTGCAGGGTCGTAGTACTTGCAGATGTAGAGGCACCGGAACGCATTGCAAAAGTCGTCAAAGCTCATCCAGAACGTATTGTCGTTGGCGTCCGGTCGGATGCCGAGATGTTTTTTCAGGCGGCGCGTCCAGAGCGGCGAGTCGTCGCCCCAATCACCGCGCCACTCGGGGTGGTCCCCAGGCGGGTTCCGGAGCTTGACGAGCTCGTGGCCGTCAATCTCGCGCACGTCGTAAACAACGTAGCACGCGCCAAAGACGAGGCCCGTGTCGAGGATCTCGTGGTCGGCATTATCGCTCGAGATGGTGCCAGCGCCCAGCAGAAACCGATTGCGCTTGTGCGAGAGCAGCTGCTTCCAGAGCGTCTTTTTTCGCGCGCCGCGGGACGCTTGGGCCAAAAACACCTCGTCGGACGCAAAGCCCGTGAGGTCCCGTAGCGCGTGATGCACAAACCCTGTCTCGAGCGCCGCGTACCCGCCGTGGTATTTGGCATACGCCTTCTCAAGAAGGGGCACCCAGAGTTCTTCAAAGTGCGCACTGTGGGCAAAGGCCGCGCCGCCACTCATGTCCATTTTGTGCGTGTCGTCCAGGATCGGAAAGTAGTCGTCGACGATGACGGTTTCCCACTGCGAGTTTTTGAAAAACCGGATCGCGTACGCACCCGTGAGCGACGTCTGCTTTGTAATAAACAAGTTGTCGATGAGCGCGTCGACCTTGCCGTCGTCGACGCCGTCGGACGCAGCGATGATGCTCACGGCGCTGAGGAACCAGCCGTCGTGGAGTCGCCCAAAACGCACGTCGTCCGGGTCCGTCCCGCCGTCAAAGAGACCGGCGGTGATGTTGATGCCTGTCGAGACGCGCCAGTCGACAACCTCGGCTTCATTGACGCAGCCGGCGAGTGACGCATACGTCGGAGGAAATTCAGGGTCCACAAACTGCAGTGACCGGCCAAACTGCCCGACAATGCACGCGTAGCCCGACTCGATTTCGGCGAGGGCCTCGCGCGCGTTGATGATGGCCTCGGGCACACCCGTCTCGACGGCAATGCCTTCGCTCTCTCGCCGAGTGCGCCGCGCGACGCTCTCTTCGTACATCTTGCGGCACATGTTGGCTTCGTGGGGCGCCCAGTAGCCTCGTACGTCGGCTTCGCGGGCACGCGCCGCGGCGTCTTCGGCGTCAATCACGGCGTCCTTGCGATCCATTTCCTGCGAAAAGGCGGCTTTTAGAGCGTGGAAGCGCGCGCGCTCTTCGGGCGTCAGCGACATGAGCCACGTGGCCACGAGCGGAATGTCGATCGACGCGTGCGACGACGTTTTGAAAATATCGGCGGGCGGGTTGATGCCATTGGACATGAGTTTGAACCGGTTTTCGCGCAGAAATTTCTGAAACAAGACGCGTTCGCGGCTCAAGCGTGCATCCGCCGCGTTGAGAAGAAGGAGCTGGAAGTGGATGATACAGCGCGTCTCTTCGAAAAACTCGGCATCGAGCGCAACGTCCCGACCCGGCAGCGACCGCAAGAGCGTCAACGTGTCTTCCGTGACACTCGCCGCTTCTGGAGCATCCACGTCGTCGTCGTCATCGGCCGCCAATGGCGGCAACACAATCTCGTGCTCCTCGGCCGACGTGGCCGCGAACGGAATTGGGATTGACCGACGTAGTTTGAGGCGTTTGCGATCGGGCAGGAAGCGCAACGCCCGCTGTGTGTATCGGTGCGCCTTGATATGTACATACGCCTTGTACGCGCACCCAAACAAACCAATGTAGCCCAGTGGCCCTTTGCCGTCACGAAACACATCGATGAGGATCTCGCGCAGCGTAAAGAGAGCGTCGCGTCGGCGAACGGTGCGACCCTTGGTCGTGACACGGTGACTGCATTGCCACAGCGTCTCGTGGATCGCGAGTGCATTGTCGGCGGCCGAGAGCCGAGCTGGTGGCGCCGCGCTGGCTTCAGCAGCCATCGCGGCAGCGAGCTGCGCCGACTTTTGCTTGCCATACGACAACCGCTGGTACTCGAGCTCGGCCTCCTTTTCTTTTTTTCCCGCTCGAGAAACTCGTCCGACTCGAGCACGAGGGGTCGTCGTCTGTCGGCAAAGACCTCTTTGGCGACGGTCGCTGCTTCGTGCAGAATCGCTTCGTGAACATACTTGGTCGCGAGCCCCATGCGCACGGGCGTGATCGAGCACAGGTGTGCGGTAAACCCGACGAACGCGAGGAGCGCGAGCGAGCAGAGACCAATGCCAAAGCCGAGCGGGTCTGTAAACATGACGCCGACGCAGCCCCACGCAAAGACGACGCCGAGCGCCTTGTAGACGTTGGCGGCCTCTTGGTTTTCGTTGTTGACATTGTTGGTCGTCGCATTGTACGAGAAAATCGGAAACACGTACGGGGAGTAGAAGATTTGGAGGTCGGGCTCCCGGCAGAGCTTGATTGCGACACCGTTGACGCCCAGTTTGAGCAAAATGACAATGATGCTAATCGAGAAGCAGTAAAACAAGTTGACGCCAAAGAAGAGTGCGAGCGCGATGAAGAACACGGCCGTGCCGACAACGAGTTGATTTGCTCGACGCTGCGCGACGGGGGCGAGGTAGTAGTCGTTCCGGACCCATTGCAGTAGAAAGTAGACGACAACGCTGAACGTTATAATGAGGAAGGCAAAGACACCGCCGATTGGGATCGATGCCCAGATGAACATGACGAAGAGGAAGAGGACCGACCAGCCCGCGCACATGAGGAGGGCCGACCGTACAAACGGCGAGAGCACCCAATTGTCGTCGTGCCACTTGAAGACTGCAACGATAAAGAGCAGCGTGAGCGGGTAGTAAATAAGCACCACGAGAATCCAGAGCGACTGCACGTCGTTGACGTCGAGCTCGAGTACATCTACAAAGAGAGCGATGCCCAGGACCCACGCAAGGCCGTACGAGAAACGGGCACTCGCGCGGATATCCGACGTGATCTCCACGACATGGTACCACTTGAAGACGGGCGACACGGAAAAGATGAAAATGTACGATCCGACCCAGATGGTCTCGCCAATCCACGGCGGCGCCTCGGTGAACGTGGCGCAGAATCCATATAGAAAGATACCACCGAGCAGTGCGGCAAAGCAGTGCAGCGTCTGGTACTCGTCTTCCAACAAGTAGCCGCCCCGGTAGGCGTCGATCACGCTCATTTTTTCAAAGTCGACCTCGGCCGTGGGCACAACCGAGTACTTTTTCCATGGATGGGACAAGAAGCTGCGGGCGTTGGCTATAAAGGCCCGAAGCCGCGCACAGCACGACCTGCGCGGCGGCGCCACGACCGTTGCCGTGGTCGGCGCTACTGGCGCGTCGAGGATCTCGATATCACGCATCGTTGGGTTCCCATCTTCATCGAGGGGGGTAGTGACTGGCGGGGCATCTGCGACGTCGGCTTCCTTGGCCGCGGCCTCAAGTTCATCGTCATCGTCGACGCGCGATGTCTTTTGGTTGTTCTTGTCATCATCATCTGGCTTACTGCTCTCAGCAGTCTGGCCCGCGAGTTGCAAGACAGACGAAGCAGCCCCGCCGAGTCCCAAAAGTGCGCTGCCCTTGAGGACTGGCAGTGGTGGCATTTTGAACTCGGTGCCGGGCGCCGACGCCTGGAGTGACGGCAGTACAAACGCCGATCGTAATGCGTCCGCTTCTTTTGCAAACTCGGCTTCCTCATCGAACGCATCGTCGTCCATGTCGTCGTCGTCGCCGTCTTCGGGTGGCCAGACGACGAGTCGGTGGTCGTTTCGGCGCCACTGCGCCCACACCACCATGCCAAGCATGAGGAGGACAGGTAAAAACACCGATGTCAACAGGACGAATGACGATTGCGTCGCAGCAAAGAGGAAAAGACCCGAGCACACGACCAGTAGCTCCGAGCCCGCAGCGAGGACGAACGGCAGCTTGAAGCCTGGGACACCCAAGTACACGTTGGCACTGTGCTCCGAGAGGAGGTGCTGCTTCATCAAGTAGAACGCGCGCGACGACGCGAGCACGAGTCCTGAGAAGAGCACCAGCACGAACGCGAGGACACCAAAGACGTAGAGTGGCCAGCGCTGCCCGAGTATGGGCAGTGTCACTGTCGTCGTTGCCGTGAACGCAACGCCAACGAGTAAAAACAGAAAGAAGAACGATAGGAACCCAAGCCCAAACTCGGGCGTCGCACTCAAGTCAAGCAGCGGCGGTTTGGAGCTATCGTGGCCAAAGAACGTGATACCGCCAGCTTCGCGCGCGCCCATGCGAGGAAGGTTGCGGCCAATGATCTCACGACAGAGTGCCGATCCGAGGATGGAAAAGGCCATGGTTTGCCCGAGGAGCCAGTATGTGCCGCACGAGACGACCAGAGCCACACGGCAGAGCCCGAGCAGTAGCGAAATGTACCCGGCAGACCACGAGAGCTGGCCCCGCCACACGAGGAGGAACGTGGCATCGAGAATAAAAATCGTAAAGAAGATGCCGATGCCTTGGGTCGGATACGCGCTCCGAAAGATGGCCACGATCGTGTAAACGAGAAGAATGCCGAGCGCGAGGGCATAGCAGCGACGATTGGTGCGTTTTTGGTGCTCAGGCGGCGTCACAAACGCGTTTTGAAGAATGTCGGCGAGTTCAAACCCGGGGATGGTGCGAGCGACCGAATAATGGGCACCGAGGAGCGCGTCAAAAGCCGAGAGTGGCTTGACGCCGCGCTTGTGCTTGAGGGTGTCCGAGGCAGCAGCGAGCTTGATGGAGGCGTCTCCGAGATGCTTGGCTTTTTGGAGCGCACTCGTGTGTTTTTTTGAAATCGTCACGACCGCGAGGACCTGCGCGAGCGACTTGCTCAGCTGGTCGTCGTTTGTAAAGACGAGCCAAATCATTGGCATCATGTTGAGCGAGAGAAAGAACGCGGTGAGCGAGAAGAAGTCGACGTTGGCGCCGCCAATAAACACTTTGGGGTCGGCAAAGATGGACGAGAAGAGAAAGAGGAAGCCACAGATGCACGCGAGGCCCAAGGCCACGCGCACTTCTTTCGTCATGCGCCAGCCCATTTGCGTCCACTTGCGCAGACCGTAGTAGCCGATAAGGACGCCGGAGCCAATAAAAATAAGGAAAAAGCCCACGGCCGGTGGCTGCACGGTCGAAATGGCTGTAAAGCCCCACGTCCAGAGAACAACAAACGGCGACGCGACGCACACGTTGACGGCGATCTGTGCATAGTAGAGGTGCCGTCGAAACGTTGCGTTAGCCTCGTCGTCCGAGGCAATGTCGTCATTGTAGCAGAGGAAGAGAAGAGAGACGACGGAGGGGGGTAGTTTCTTGACCTTCTTGAGAGGCTTCGTCGCGTCCGCCATACTAGCGTCGTCGTCCTCGTGGTCGACGACTTCTCTTGCGATCTCGGCCAAGTACGCCTGGACGCGGTCGAGGCGAAAGTGCATCTTCTCGCAGTAGCGCACCGACATGAAAAGCAGGATCGCAAACGCAATGCCAAACTGCAGCGCCGAGAGGAAAAACGCGTTCTGGCTAAACTCTTTCGAGTAAATGGGCTCCAGGTCAAAGAAGCCTTCGTTCGGTACGAGCACGATAAAGTACATGGAGAGCGTAATGTCGCGGTTGGACGCCTGGATGTTGGGTCCGACAACGATACCGCCGCCCAGCGCGTCACCGTACGTGTTCACGGGCGTCGCCGACACGTTGCGCGTCACAGCGACAAAGTCGTCGGCGATGTTGACGATCTGCGCCGACTCTTCCGCGTCGACGTAGCCAAACTCGGGCGTGAGCCACGACAGCGTGCCGTATTTTCGTCGGCGTCGACGTCGGTTTGCCGTCGGAACACGTACATGGCCGACGGAAAGTTGATGCTAAAGCGCCCGAGGGGCGGGAATCCATACTGTCCTGCCAACGACGCGTTGCCGTAGTCGTTGTTCATGCCTGGGTTGTTGTCCATGCGGACGAGGACACCGCCTTGGGATTTGGCCATCTTGTAGTAGGGCTGGAGCCGCTGGTTCCCCGGTGTCCAGACGCGGCCGTAGATGGTCGACGTGGCGTCGCCGTAGTAGCCGCCAAGACCCATGGCCATCGTAGCGACGCGGGTCGTCGCATACGTCTCTTCGATTTGGACCTGGAAGGGCACGACGGTTTGGCGCAGGCGGAGGCACGGAAGGGTGGTGCTCACGGTGCCGTTGACAATGCACTCGCCGGGTGCAAGTGGCAGCCAGATCTCTTCGACGCACACAGGCTGCAACGGCATCGCGAAGGACGAGTCCATGCCAGCATTCGGCGTCTTTTGCTTGTACGCCGTCAGAGCTGTGCAGTAAATGACGTTGAGGTTGAGGCCCCCAATAAAGTCGTCGGCAAACTCGAGGCCGTCGTCCTTGTCCCAAGCTTGGAGCGTGAACGCCTCGCCCGCGTACCGGTACCCGAACGAGAGATCGCGGATGGTTTCTTGTAGCCGAGGCACCCCAGCGTCCGACACGGCGCCCAGCTCGGGTTGAGGCTGTTGCGGATGAACGACGAGTCGCGCGAATTCGTGCCAAACGCGACTCGGATGAAGGCGTCCGTGAGCCCACCCGCGGCGCCAAAGCCGTCGAGGTTGGGTAAATTGCGCATCTCAATGACGGTGACCGTGAGGTTGCCGCCCGCCGACTTGAACGTGCCAGCGTCAGGACAAAGGGTTGGGCCGCCAGCGCACGAAAAGGCATTCGAGAGGTTGAGGGCCTCGACACGCTTGTCGGGCTTGCCCGTGGCGCGGCTGGTTTGGCCGAGCACGACAACGCTGAGCGTCACCGCAACGACGGCGGCGACCAGCGGCGCGCCCATTGCTGCCGACGTTTAAATGTGTAACGACTCAATGCAGTGCAACCGCCCGTGTCAAACGGACGGAGCAACGATTGCAAGCCGCTATATAATAATGCAGCATGTTGGACGATTATTTATACAGGCTCGGGAGATCGTATCGGGCGCGAGGCACGTTCGAGAATGCTGGCTTCGAGACGGCGAAAGAGCGTTGTAAATGCACTTTGTATGAGCACGTCCAAGCTTGCAGTGGCGTCGCTTTTGCCGACGTTGAGTTGTCGCAAGAGCGTTTCAATGCCTGCAAGACCATCGGGCGCTGGCCGCGGGCTCGCTGCTTTCAAATACGCTCGGTACACAACGTCGGACCGATTGGCCTCGATGCAGATCCTACCACACGTCCGTTGTATGCACCGCAAATAATTGGATGAGGCGTACCAGCCGTGCTCGTCGTTGACGTAGCCGTCCACGGGATGGGCCTCGTCGTCCAGCACGCTGCGCCACACATAGGTAATTCGGCCGTCGAAAGCATAGCGCTTGACAAGCATGCGCGTCGTGACGTGGACAGCGGCGTTGGACACGACTTCGAGCGTATACAGCGTCGTGGCGTCAATGACGCTCGCTCGCGCGTCCGTGACAGACCCGCCCTCGACGAGCGCGCTGCGGTGCCGCAACACCTCCAGGATCGCTGCATCGACGGCCGCGAGGCTCATGTTTGGAAACGTCGTGTAGCGCGCGCCCTGCGAACTGAGCATGTGGGCATCGGAGAGCAGCTGGATGCGGAAGATGTCTCTGTCGGGGTCGAGCAGCCCTGTCGCAATCATCTCGGACTCGACGACGTCAAACTGGCGATCGGCGATGGCGTGCATCGCGCGTACCCGCGGCGCAGCGTCTGCGCACAAAGCTAAGAATGGCCGTTGTGCATCGAGCATCTATAGGCAGCGCAATTAAGGATCAATCACATCGTCGAGAGGGTACCGTTGGCCACGTACGTAGTGCGTTCTCGAGATGGGCGCGGGCTACGCGCTGCTCGCTTAGAAGTGCGCGCAGCACGGCATTGGTGTGTCGAGCTCGCAGCAGCTGCGCGTGCTGGCCCATTGCATGTCGGCCCCAGAACGACAAGGCCTTGGCACTGTGGCGGCTTTGCAGGCGACAGAGTCGAACCTGCAGAGACGCCTCCTCGTCCTGCAGAGCTGCCACGTCACGCGCCAATGTCTTCTTGCGTACGCGCTTGGGCACCTTCGGAGGTGCCACGTCATCGAGGAAGGCCAGCGCGCCGTCGTCGACCGGCAGCAGGTCCAGGAGCTCCATCTCGCTGGTATTCCAACGTGTCAAGCCCAAAATGACGTGCCTCTCCGGATATATCGCTGCCGTATCCGGCCGGTACAATGCCGGTAACTACTGCGAGAACAAGCAGGAAGGTGTTGCATCTTTTCTCGAAGACATATTGCATACGAGCAGTATTGAAGTGAGAAGGAACGTCAGCTACGCATGCAATGAAGCTCCTAGGCAGCGCACTTGGCGTGCACCTCTTGCTCGAATTGAGTAAAGAGGCTCACAAACGTCTTGGAAATGGTCTCGGTGATGCCGTCGATCGTCACATCCGTCGACCGATGCGCGGGGTCAATGCGCAGCATGTCGACGAGGTTACTCAGCGTGTCGAGCTCGTCCACGGGCGTCGGACTCGTTGCGCGCAAGTAGGCCTTGTACCGCGTCACACCGTCGCTGCACGGCGAGTACTCGACCCTACGCGAGCAATACTATGAGACCATGGGGCAGGATGCAATTGTGTGTTGTGACCAGCCGTGCTCGTTGTTGGTAAAGACGCCGGGCTCGATCGGTCCGGCTTCGTCGTGCAGGACGCTGCGCCAGATGATGGCAACGGCGCCCGACGTTGGATGGATGTAGCGCTTGGTGATCATGCCCGAGACGACCTTGATAACGCCATTTGGATGCACGAGCTCGTCGCGAATGTACGTTGTGTCGTCGTCGACGTGGAAGGTGGTGCGCTTGCCGTGGGTGGCGGTGAGACGCCGCCGGTCGAGAATCGTCTGGTGCGCGGCGGCCGCAATCGTAGCCACGGCGCCTTGGATCGTGCGCGAGCGAATGCCCTCGGAGACTACGCGACCCTGCATTATACTAGTGCGAAAGTCCAAAATGCCGTCTCCGTCAGACTCGACAAGGCCGGCGGCGATCATCTCGGACGCGAGAAGCGCGTACTGGCGGTCGGCAATGGCGTGGATGGCTGCGATGCGCTCGTCGGCGTTGGCGTCCAGCGTCAAGTCGCGCCACTTGGTGTCTTGCAGTTGCTTCTACGCGTGCAAATGCGCTTTCGGCATGCGAGATCACAAGAACGTACGTGCAGCGACCACGGCAGCCTCCGAAATGCGCGCTCGAGGTAGTCGCGGAAGGCCGACTGCTCGGTCAGCGCCGCGCGCAGCTCGTCGTTCTCGCGCAGCGCCTTGCGCTTCAGCGCGTTCTGCGCAATTGAAAGGTTGTGCCACTTGGACGAAGCCTTGCAGCTGCGGCGGGCGCGCAACCGCGCAACCTCGTCCTCAAGGTGGCTTTCGGCCGCCCGGAGCTCGAGCAGCTCTGCCGCCATCCGGTTCACACGCACGCGCTTGGGCTTCGTCTGTGGCTTGGCCAACGGCAGCACGTCGTCAAGGAAGGCTAGCGACTCGTCGTCGGCGGGAGGCAGCCAGTCGAGGACCTCGTCGACTCTGAGCTCCATCGTCTCGATCAAGAATCGCACGTGTTCGATTGGAATGTAGGTCAATCGGCCGAGCGATGATCCCTTCGTCGAGTTTTGCACATCGGTTTCCGGTGAGAAATGTGTGCGTGCGCGTGGGAAATAAAACCCAAGCCGTCGCGATGGCCAGCGACGACCTCGCGGACCTCGACCTCCTCGACTTGTTGCCCGCAGCCGACGTTGGCTCGCTCGCCTTCCTCGATGTAGCCGCGTCCCGGAAGCGCCGGCGCGTCAATCGCTTGGCCGTCGACCTCGTGGCACTGCGGGGCCAAGCCGCCGAGCTGGGTAGTTGCGTCGCGGCCTTGCGCGCCCAGCGCGGCTGCCCCAAGGAAGCGTCGCCGTACGGTCGCCTCGCATTGCAGCAGAAGGCGCTGAAGGATAAAGCACTCACGGAGCAGGCCGAGCTGCGCGCGCTGCTGGCCGAGCAACATGCGTTCCGGGCCTTTCTCGAGAAGGCGCTTCTAAAGCGCCCGCGCAGCATGGTCCGCTGCCCTCTTCCGGCGCATAAGCATAAGCACCACTTGTTTGTAGATACTCAAGGTCGAAGACTCGAAATGGCGCCGGTATGCACTCGGAGCGACGGCCGAGGCTCGCAAATCCGCCATCCACGCCATCGCGGACCGGCAGTACGAGCTCGTCGAGTCCGAGATGCTTGCAAAAGGTCTCTTCGAGCCGTCGGAAGATGTATTCAACGTACTCTCAACCCTCTCGGACTGCGCAATGACATCCGAGGCCATGCGCTACACGACGCTGCCCGTCCCCATCAAGCGTGCTGCCACGGCCGCGATCGAGCTCATGCGGGAGCGCCACGCAATGGCATCCTCCGCGCAAGATGACGACACGTATGCGCCGCATGGGCACACCTCCCACGAAATGCAGTGCATTGACGACCACACAACGTACGTTCGCAGCGTGTACGCGCCGCCGGGCGGCCTTGTCGTCACGTCAAGCATGATCACAAAGACGTTCGAGCAGCGCGGTGTCGTGACGGTCGTGTGGCGCAGTGTGCTGGAGGACGAAGGCGTCCCGCAGATTCCAGCGTCGTTTGTCAACGACGAGCATGGCTGGTGCGATCAAATGATGCATCAAGAATCCACGCGTACTATCATGTACTCCTACGTCGTTAGGATTCAGCTGAGCCAAGACAACGCAGATGCGACGCGGTATACAGCCTACGTCCGCGTCTCCAATCCGATTCCACCGCAGCGCGCCGGCGTAGACAAGCTCAACGACCTCTTGCAGCTGCTCTATGTGGGGACAAAAACTGATCTGCCTCGTCAAGCTGACATGACTGCGACCGTGCAAGCGTCGTTTCGGGCCATGATGGCGCAATTTGAAGCGCTCGTTGTGCAGCGGGCTTCGATTTGGACAGAGAGCCCGCGAGACGTATAAGAAGCACGAGCCAACAGGCCACGTGCCTGTATTCTCGACGACACCCCGTCGCAAGTTTCTGGGCATCGATCCACTTTCCGTCGATCTCGATTATCGTCCGCGGCTTGCATGACCGCGTGAGTAGACAGTAGTGTACGTCGACAGGAAAAAGTATGTTACAAAATATGCGATTTGGCCATGAGCTGAATCTCATGTTCAAAGTGCGTCGTGGCGCGAACGAACGCACTGCGCACCGTGTCAACAAGCGTGTCGCTCGTGCTTGGCAGTGGCGCCGCATGCTCGGCCAAGTCGATCATTTGCACGAGGTCGCTCAGGTGGTCGACGCTACTGGAGACGTGCGGCACGGACGAGCTGAGAAAGACCTTGTAGTGTACGTGCTCTGCGTCTTTTGGTTCGAAATAGAGCCTAGGATCGCGTGTTGTCTTGCATGGGAAATCACGTTGACGCACCAGCCGTATTCGTCGTTGACAAAGCTGCCGACGGCCGGCGGCAAGAGCTCGTCGTGAAGCACGCTGCGCCACACAATGCACACGTTGCCTGTCGACGGCGCGATGAAGCGTTTGATGACGAGGCTCGTTGCCACTTGCACCTTGCCTCTCGGGTGTGTTAAGAGCTCCCGCGTGTACATGGTGTCGGCGTCCAGCATCTGCACGTGCTTGGTCGCATCGATCGCCGCCGAGTGGCGGTCGCGGGCCGCAGCCTCACGCTCGAGGATCTCTTGGCGACGCCCAAGCACCTCCATGGCCACGTCAGGCACATGTGTCATCGTAGCTTGCAGCACCGTGTACCGGACACCCTCGGCCGTGCACAGGCGCGGGTCGTGGGGTGCGAGCTTCACCTCGAGGAGGTCCGTCGGCATCGGACCAAAGAGCCCTTTTGTCACCATTTCGGTCTCGACCATTTCGTACTGGCGGTCTGCAATCGCGTGGATGGCGGCGACACGCGAGTTGCTCTCGGCGGGCAGGGTGAGCGACCGCCAGCGCTCGTCCACGAGCTTGTCCATCTAGAGCAAGACCTCGTCCTTGACGTACTCCTGTATAAAGCACGTACGATGGCAGTGATTGCGCGTGGTCGCTTGAGCAGCATGCGCTCCAAGTAGTTGCGGTACTCGTTCTGCTCGGCAATGTACCCACGCAGCTCGTCGTTGTCGCGCATCGCCTTGAGCTTAAGAGCCTTTTGGCTCATGGCAACGCGCTCCCACATCGCTTCGACGTCAGAAAGACCCTGGACCTTGAGTGCGGACGCGCGCTGGAGGCGGTCGAGCTCGACGGCGAGGTGCGCATGCTGCCTGCGGAGCGCATCCAGGACAGTCTTGGTCTGGACACGCTTGCGCCGCTTCGCACGGCCCGTCGGCGACGTCTCGAGTGCTGCCGAGCTTTCGCTGGACGGTGCGTCGTCCAGAAAGCCGAGGATATCGTCTATCGGTGGCGGCAGCAGGTCAAGAAGGTTCATCGCGGTCTGACCTTCTCCGTGACGTCGACTTGATTACAGCATCAACTGGTCGGTGGTAATCAGAAGACCAGATAATTGCTGTATCGGATATTTGCTACACTAGGTTGGGCTGGTAGGAAACCTCGTTTTGAGGTAAAGTTGAGCAATGGAGTCGGTGAAAGTGCGAAAGACTTGAAGCGTGTGTCTTCCGCGTCGCTCATTGTGTTATGTGCAAGGTTGTGAGTTGCTGGGCATGCAGTTTGTGACCGCATCTTGCGTGCTGTCGGCGAAGCTGCTGGCCAGGCTGACGCTGCTTGCTGCCAGGAAAGCCAGCGTGATGCCGGGTCCGAGCGCATCGCTGCGTGCGCCTCGTGCAATGAGGCGCTGTAGGAATGCGAAGGACACATCGTTGCAAGTGGCCGTTGAAGGCGAGCACGGGGTAGTTAAATTCGAAATTGTCGATCGGTTCCCTTCCCACGACTTGCTATGGTGGCGTTGGTTGATTCAAGTTGACAAGTGTAGCTGTGACGACGGCGCGAGGGTTATACTATCAAGAAACGCGGGCAGATCGTTGGACACGTGACCAAGCGGATGGCGAGGGACGAACATCAAGTAGGACGAGAAAACAACACGGTTGTAAACTGACAGAAAATGTTCCCGCGAGCCGCTCAACCTTCTGTGTCGGCGTGTCAGTAGCCTTTTGAGCGGAGCGTGCATCGGCTTTGCCCTGGCGCTGCTCTTGGAGCCGTGCAGCCTCCCCTTCAGTTGTCGCTCGCAGTTGTTGTGTGCATGCTTTTCTGAGATAATGGTGCATACAGACAACCCCGGCGCAACGCCACAGAGCGCACTGCCACAGAGCTCACGCCCACACTCTTTGTATCTTCATGGCTGTGAATGATCAAAGTACTCATGAAAGAGAACAGACATTTTAGAGTCATTATATGGCTTCTTTGGACACGAAACTATTTTTTTCGTCATGTTATTCGTCTAGAAAAATATTGACATTCATGGGGCTATATGGCAATGCTGCGCTTATCAAG